AGAATCACCCAGGATATGGGACGTTTATCGTGCAACGACACTCCAGAGACAGAGTCTCAACACGAGTATAAACAAATCGTGTCTTCAAAATTCCCAGCTCCACGAGTCTAACAGAAAAATTGTTTTATATTAGCATGCTTGCACAAGCATTCCCTCGACCTTCAATCAGCAGCAGCGGGAGAATCATCCTAAGAAAAATACTCTTGTAATACTCATTCATTTCAGAAACATTTTGAGAAGAGTCCTGAAGATTCAAAATCGATCCCACGGTGAAACGAATGTGAATCAAAAGTGCCGGACCCACTTGCCTGGTAAACATTTTGAGACAAGGACGTCTTTGGATAGATGACGACCGCTGTCACATGACCTCGAGACAAGCTCATTTAATCAGCACATCTATCTATATCACAGTCATAAATAACCGGTCAGTGATAAAGGGAAACTGATGCCAAGAGATCTTCAAGCCTCCAACATTCAGTCCGGAAACTATACCTTGGGTTCTTGAATTTTTCTAATTGTCTTACTGTTGTTTCTTTTCAAAATATAAAAACCGTTAGTTATCACCTTAAAGACGATCGTACTTCTTCGGCTACAATGAATAGAATTGCCATTGGTCAAATATGTTCATCTAGTTCTTTGACACATAATCTGAAAACCATTAGCAAGCTGATCGACTCAGCATTGATGCAAGATGCCAAAATCATTTTTTTCCCCGAAGCCTCAGATTACATCTCAAGATCGGCTACACACTCCAAAAAACTGGCATCCCAGTCGCCAGAGTTTGTGGAAAACTTATGCAGAACAATTCCAAGTCTCTGCGACAAATACGGCAAGAAAATAGACGTCTCAATTGGAGTTCACTTGCCAGCCATTCAGCTCGATGAAAAGAGGCCCGATGACAGGGTCAGAAACTGCTTGCTCTATATCAACCATAAGGGCGAAATTGTTCAGACGTACCAAAAGCTGCATCTGTTTGACGTGGATGTTCCAAATGGACCGGTACTAAAGGAAAGTGAATCTGTGCAACCTGGCTCCAAAGTCCCGGCTGTTTTAGACACGCCAGTAGGCAAACTTGGACCGGCCCTTTGCTTTGACATGCGCTTTCCTGAACTATCGCTAAAGCTACGTTCTAACGGAGCTGAACTGCTTTGCTTCCCAAGCGCGTTCACAGTCAAAACTGGAGAAGCCCATTGGGAACTCCTCGCAAGGGCCAGAGCCCTTGACACACAGTGCTACGTTGTAATGCCTGCGCAACAAGGAGAGCATCAAGTTAATCTCGATCTCGAACCCGGTGCTACGGATGATTCGTCTGTCAAAAGAATCTCTTGGGGACACTCAATGATCATTGATCCCTGGGGCCAAAAGATTGCCGAAGCTGATCCACAGGGCGAGGACGTCCAATTGGTACTTGCAGATTTGGACTTTGCTGCCCTCCGTAAAACTCGTACAAACATGCCCTTGTGGGAACAACGGAGACGGGATGTGTTCGGAGACTACGTTTAAGAAAACATGTTCTTTTTACTTTATTTGTTATTTTTTGTTAGATACGACAGAATCACGGCTTGCCTTTCTTGTTTTCGCCTTTCGTCGGTATCGGGGTTTTCGCGGCGTTCTCTCGTTCTTGATCGGTGATTTTGGTTACGAGAGTCTCGTCGCGGGTCTTTTCGACGATTTTTGAAGCGAACGTGAGATAAGAAGTGTGCGACTTTATTTCAGATTCCACTTTCGAAACTTCTTTCCATTTGAATCCCGTATCACCTTCTTTGACCCGAGAACCTTTCCCAAACGGATTGTACTCCGTTTTTGGCGTTTCTGGTCTTTCTTCGTATGGTTCTTCTTGGTCGCTGATCAATTTGTTGAACATACGTTTCCTTCTTTCGAGACCAATTTGTTTGCGCTCTCTCACGTCCCGCAATCTCTGCAGAGCATGATCCAGGTGGCGAACCATCTGTCTGCGCGACTCGTACTGTTTTCCTTGAATTTCCACCATTTCTATATCGACCCAACCGTGTTTTTCTAGCATCTCCACAGTCTTGTCCACTTGCTCTATACATGGAGAAAAGCAGCATACAGACACTTTCGAATCTTGAGAGATAACCTCCTCCAGATGTGGGATGGCGGTCCAAGGAGCTGGTAGATCAAGAAATACCACATTAGCGTCAATCTTGGCAGGGCTAACTCCATCGTCAGATTGCAAATTCTCGAAAAATGTGGTTGTATCATTTTTCCCAATGGCAAATCCGTCTTGGCACACATCGCGATGCGTTATGGCCAAATTCCCGTCTCGCAGAAGACCGTGGTCCTCGAATTCCTGTTTGGCCTGTCCGTATCTGACCTCGTGAAATTCATATGAAAACACGAACCCTGCAGAGCGAGCAAACGCATGTGTGAAAGAACCAGATCCGGTTCCAGCTTCTATGACTCTCGAGTGCGGACTGCATTGCAAGCGCTGCATGATGTACGAAGAATCTGGAGTGTACACGATTTGTGTTCTATGCGGCAGCGATAGCGTCCACAACTCCGGCGTAGGTTGCAGAACATGAATGAACCCAAATTTGTTGGAACCACGGGTTCTTACTGCAATTTGTGACCCAAATGGTTTACCAATCATGTCATCGTGCGGAAACGACCCATATCTGGTGTTAAAAGTGGCCCCTGGGGTGATTCTTACAGGTTTTATATTATCTCTTGAGATCCAAGCTAGAGCCAAGTCTCCGGCCTGGATCAGGTCTTTATATTCAGAGAATTGAGACATTCTACTTGCCGAGATCAGTGCGATGAGCTAGCATCTCTATTTCCATCGGTAGTAGATCTTCTAAAATTTTGTCTAGATGTGTGAAAAATATCGAATTTCAGAGCGAAAGCGACAAGAAGCGATAGCATTTACGACGAGCTACTAGAGATGCCCATTGAAAGTTGATATCCAAACATCATTCCCGCTGATTTTAGGGCCTTCCAAGCTCATCTTGGGATTGAGACATAGAAACCGTCATTTGTTTCTTGGTTCTTGTGTATGATTCCTGCTTTTTTGTTCTTTTTGGGACTATATATATGCTACAGATAGACCGTCAATCCTCAATATATATCAGATTTGTGGAATTCGTAGATAAGACCATGCTGGGCCATGAGCTTGCCCTTTTTGCTCTCAGAGGCGAACCTGGCCTCGTCCTGGGCTTTCTTCACCGCCAACGCCTGGCCGAACGGGATTTGTTGCATTTGACTCAACGGCTGGTCCTCACGATCTATGTCCACCTCCCCAAGCATTACCACGTTTTCTCCACGCACCATGAAGACGCCGCGGTCGCATTCTGCGTATTGGTTCTGTTTGGCCACATATATCCTTTCCACGCAATGCTGGAGTATTAAATTGGCATATTGGTCGAAAGTTCTGAGCACGCCGAAGAGCATGCGTCCATCCCTAAGCAGCACAAAGATTTTGCGGTCGACGGAACCCACAATCGCCGCCGTTGTGGTGAAATTGTATTGGTCCAAGTACAGGTCTGCTTCTCCTTCGGACATCTTGGAAGACGAACCGCTCGTCGTGGGCGGATTATTCCTCCCCTCGGACATTGTATGTTGTTTTTCTGTGAAACAATCTATCCAATTGTAGCAAGAATCTTATATTTGGTCACCAACTAGACCTACTGTGTGCAGTTTTCTTTTCCTGTCGCCGATGCTTTGAATAACTTTTGACATGATGTGTATTGGAAAATCTTCTGAAATTGTATTCGCAGTAGTGTCGTCAACGATGATAAACTCTCAAATCTTTGAAGTAAACATCTTCAACAATAGGAGTGTTTGATAAATTTCCAAGTACATAGATATTCGACAATCTGGTCAAATCCAGATGTTCGCTTTGCATCTGTGAATGCTATAGCGGGCTTTTAGTTTGTATTGGCTTACTGTAGGTTTAATTACTGAAACTAAACCAACGATGACTGGGGTCATTTTAGACGATTAAGTAAATTAATACGCTTTAAATCCCTTATTGGCCTTTAAGTGGTAGTACTACTACTACTACTACTACACACCATAGCTTGAGACTTAGAAAGTAGATAATTCTTCAGTATTCCTAACCATGTCTCTATTCAGAACCTTACAAAGCCGGCCTCGAATCATCACCTTGTTCACGCACGATGTGGCAAGCAAGCCTAGCACACTAATAATGCAGCAATTGCGTGCAGGATCATCGGATAAATACGAAATCGAGGTTCACACGAAATTCCCAACTTTGGACCAGCTCAAATACATGAACGGTATTAATAGCGCTGCTCTACAGGCTCAGGTGCCAAATCTGAGCACTCTACTGCTTAAAGATACCACTTACGAAACGTTCAATAAGGATCTCAAAAAATGCGTATCACTCAAATCGTGGAATTCGTCGTCCTCGCTGTGGGTAGATTGGGAAAAACAGAAACTGGGTAATGATGCAAGTAGTATCAAATCAGCGCTTGAAAGTGTCTAATCACATGAGAACCTAAGTAATATATCGTGAAATTGCACCCGCCCTGAGATAATATCACGAATCCACTCTTTCTCTCTTGCTTTGTGAATAGGCCCAATATAATCTAAAACCCCATGCGATCAATCACGTAGTTTTGAGCCACGATCCCAAAGGAAAGGCTCAACCCATCTTCCACCCATTCTTTGACCCACTCGCTTGCATCCACGTCCTCAGTGATCTCGGCGGACTCTGGACGCTCTCCGACATCTTTCTTGGTTTCTCTGTCTTGAATAGCATCCTGTTTGCTTTTCAGCTCCGAGGTCCCCTCGAGCCATTCCGCCCATCTCTGCGGAAAGCCCTGGGACCGTGTGATGGAAGTGAAATCGTTCCTGATGTCTTTCAGAACAATGGTGAAGGCGAAATTTCCCGGGCTGGTGGGATCAGTAGTGCTGATTTCCGGAGCCTTGGCCTTTTGAGGTACCGCTATTGGCAGAATTGATATAAACACGTCTGAAATGGACTGTTCTTGGGTGGGTTCGTCTTCCACGTCCTCGGTCTCGGTACGTTGTTTCGCAAGTTCCTCTTTAGCCTTGTTGAAAAGTTTGATAGCATGGTTAAGGTTCGCAAAGGCTAATTTTTCTCCATCGGCAACTTTGCCAACGAACATATTCAGATGTCTCTTGCCGTCTTGAGTGGATTCTTGGCTTTCGGATGGGTGATCCCATTCGTCGACGAAAATCCTTACACCACCCTGGACCTGGGAGCTCAGTACAGAATCGAATTGCTGCTCCACATGGTACGACAAAAGCGGGTAGTTAATCAAGCTGTGTACGAGATGGATCCTCAATACCTCGTCCGTCTCACCCACTACGATCCGGCTCAAATTTCTTGCCAGCGTAGAGATTGTCGCCGAATTGATTTTGGACGCTAGTGAGGTTGTTTGCAACCGTGAACTGATGCCTTGCTGCTCATGAGCAAGTCGATCTTTGAGGTGAGTAGCCTGCTCTGCAGTTTTGCTGAAAAAGCTGTTCACAGTAGCAGAACCGGACGACGACCACCAATTGGAGATCGAGGTAATTGGGTCGTGCAGTTCTTCCTCAATGGTTTCATTTGCTTTAGTCTCAGACTCGATTTCGTCGTTCTCAGCCTGTGTAGTAACAGCTTCAGCTGGAGACCTCTGGGTAGTCGTACGTGGCTCTGTATCATTCTTCACGTCTTCCGAAGTGCTGTTGTTGGATTGTATGGTCTCCGGACCACTTGACTTGTTCTTGGCTAAAGTTGCCTCTTCCTTGCCAGCTGGCTTTTCTCTTTTCAGGCCAAGATTGCTTTGTTCGAGTTCGTCCAGGAAATCCAAGATCTCAGTATCATTTTTGGGGTCTTGAGACTTTGTCTTTGTCTCCTTCTTTGTGCTGCTGGCATCCTTTTTCTTTCGTTCGGGAAGCGAATCTAAAAAGTCCAGTACATCATCGGCTTCGGTAGAATTACGTCCACTCATTTGGTTGGTAAATGGGATCTAAGGCTTTTGATGAAAGACGTCCCAAGGTGTATCAAATAAGACAACTTGTATCCACATATAGACCTTAAAAAAGTGTTGATGTCACGTCAGACGGTGGTGCGTCTGTCAAATAACAACAGAGTTTCGAAACCTTTACAGCTCTTGACCATTGCCTAAGTTTTACATTTGACTCAAACGTCACCTTTGAATTTTCATTTCGGGTCGCTTGGGATATTATTCCTGTCAAGAGAAGCTTGTCAACATTAGCATGATAATTTATGTCGTGAGAGTAATCTCGGTGTTTGTCACTTAAACTGTAACTCAATCGAATGTGTGTTCGGGGCATGTAATCAAAGTCGGCAAATTTTCCAAGGCTCACACTTACCAAAGAGGTGGGAACTTTGGAAAGAAAAAAAAAACAGCGTCACCAACGTGAGTATTACCGTTTTTCAGAGAATTCGAATTTCTCTTCATTGAAGCAATTCACAAAACCGTTTAAACAACATTGACATCAGAGCTAAAAATTTTAGCCATAGCTTCAACGAGAAACCATGAACGTCCTTATTCGACTTCTTAAGTTGTTCATTACTGGCAGTGACAGCCTACCTTTATAGTGATAGAAGAGGCCAGGAATTCACGTGGTTTGCACGCATTGAAAATTTTATGGCACTGACTTCTACAATTCTTGGTCAAGCTCATCTCATCGCATCTCATCGCATCTCATCTGCAAGCGACCCAGATAACAGAAACCTATTTGAAAGGGCCCACCCACGTCACAAATGCCATCCAAGAACTCTATCAACAGGCCCAAACAGCAGATCAACCTTAACCGGAAAGTGCACTCGCTAGCTAAAAAGAGAGATGCCATGGATCGTGCCGGTCTTTTGAAGCCTGCTCGGTCATCTGAAGAGTCCAAGTCAGGATTGGCAAAGTCCATTCCCGTTGAGCTCTACAGAGGCGGAAAGCTCTCAGCTGGGCCTCTTACAACCAAGACGCTCTCGAAGAAAAGGGCCAAAAAGATAGAAAGAAATATAAAATACGCTGAGCAAAGAAAACTTCTAGTGGACGTTCAGAAAAAAGCCGACGATAGCATGGATTTGGACCTGGACAGCAAAAAACAAACGGTCGCTCCAAAAAGTCAGCTCGAAAGGGTGAAGGCTGCACTATTCAAGGCCGTGGAAGACACCTCGAGCAGCGGCTTGGTTTTGGACGCCGGTGCCGGTACCACCCTAGGAGGGCCTTTTTTCCCATGAAGTTTGACGGAACCTTGGGGGTTTACTTGTTTATTTTTATAAGTATATGGGTAAAGTTTGTACATTAAAGAAATCAAAACGGCACACGTCGTTTCGCTCCAATTTTCTAAGTTAGCAGGTTTTTCTCTTCCAGGTTCTCTGCCACTTCCGACTTCAAAAACGAGATGACTTCAGTGGGGTTTTCAGCCGTGAACACGCTGGTTCCGGCAACAATGACGTTCGCTCCGGCCTTTGCGGCGTGTGGAATGGTGTCTTTCCCCAACCCGCCATCCACTTGAATGTCCAATTGAGGAAACTTATTTCTCAAAGCTTCGACTTTGGGCATCATGTCAATCATAAACTTTTGGCCACCAAATCCGGGTTCCACGGTCATAACCAAAGCCATGTCCAAATGGGGTCCCAATTCGAAGAGAACATCAACCGGTGTGCCGGGCTTGATTGCACAAGCTGCTCTAATATTGTGAGATTTGATCAATTTGACCAAGGCAAGGGGATCTTTGGTAGCTTCATAGTGAAAGGTAAACTGATCAGCACCACATTTCGCGAAATCAGCAACCCACTTTTCGGGAGACTCAACCATCATGTGGCAGTCGAAAAATGCCTTTGGCTTTGATGAACTAGTGTCATCTACTCTGGGGACTGCTTTCCGTAAACTAGCTACAATGGGTTGTCCTAGCGTGATATTAGGGACAAAGTGGCCGTCCATGACATCAATATGAAGCCAATCGGCACCAGCGTTGATGACCTTATGACAACCACATTCCAAGTTTGCGAAATCAGATGCGAGGATACTGGGGGCTACAATAGGCCTAACCATGACAATGAACTGCGACGTTTTTCGAAGCTACGGTAACAGGCAGAACGAATGTCACTACCGGTGCTTAAGGTTATATATATGCGTTGGAAACAGAGCTGTATTTCGGGTACCAGTTCAGGCTGGGTAACCCCCATTAAAGAAACCCACTTAGTATTCGATCGCGCTGTCACGTTGATTCGTCTATTACTCGAGTGAAAATAATACGCGACCCACCAGCAACCCGCATCCTTTGCATTAGATACCCTTTCAAGAANCATCCTTTGCATTAGATACCCTTTCAAGAATCGAAACGCGTAAAGAAAAATCCTGGCGTCAAAAATCTAAATATTTAACGTACATTGTTTAGGTCAAATTTGCTAAAGCCTCAAGCTGCTCATCCGTGATCCATCTGAATCACGCATACGAGATATCCGGAAATGAGTTGTAAACATTAATTTATGTACCCCCCGCCTACTCGATGCGTATACAGCTACTACCCGTTTACTACCCGCTTTTGGACATCCGGGTAGCGATTTTGTAATCCGGGTCAACCCGAAATACAGCTCTGTTCTCCGGGATAATGTTGTACCCACAAGACTCATGCCTCGGGGAATATCGAGATAGACTAAGCTCGAACGCCGAATCACTGAGAATTGAATCTTGCCATCAAGTGGATTTGAATTCTTGAACCAAGGTTATTAGGAATGTTTCTTTCCGAAACTTCTCGTGTGCAAGGTGACAAGCACAATTAAACAGAGTATGCTGAAATCCAAAAAAAATCTCGGACACTCTATTTCACACAATTAAAGAATTGTGACAAACATGTAAGACACACTAAAGTCGCTTTCCTACAAAGCACTAATCGACACCTGTGGGTACCTTTAAGATGCCCGAATGTCCCTTGAGACATTTTCATATTTACTGCGCCGATTCGACTTGTTTTGTTAAAAATAGATTGCGCGATGAACATGACATGAAAAAAGTCCGGTCAAAACCGTACGAAACGCATGATTATAAACTAACGGCTATGGCCCTTTTCTCGAGGAACAGAGTCTGAACATGACCAAGTACTAGCCTCTTTTGGTCCTCTGGTGAACTCCGATCCCGTTGTTAGTTAATCTGAAAAGCCGCATGCCTTCGCTTTCCACAATCATGTTGCGTGGCAAGCGATATCGAAGACTGTGTTTGTTGGCGCTCTTTTTTTTGTCAGCCTTCATCCTGAGTTCATTTCGTTTAACCCAGCTCTCAAATGGGCGGTCTAACGTTGTACTGCAATCCCTCTTCGAAAAACAGCGGGAAGAAAACGCTAGTGGTTCGAAAATTAGTGAAGATAAGTGCAATGAATATTTCAGATCTCTCGCTTCACTCGATAGTGGATGGGACATACGAAGCTTCGGACACAAGCACACATCCTACTTCTCCAGAAGACATGTACAGGAGTCTGTGCGTCACATGAGGGTGTTCGGTCAGTGCTTCATCCAAAACTCCTCGCCAAACGGGGATCCCAACCTTAAAGAGGTCGAAAATAAGCTGTTTCCATTATTTACCCTCGTATTTCCAACTTTTACAAGATGGGACGGACTGATAGTCGAGGGCTTCCCATGGGCAGATGAGGCCACTAGCATTGAGCGGCCAGCGGTTTCCCATGAACTGTTTTGGAGACAAATCACGGACAAAATGAATGGCCGGGGAATAGTGATGAGTGTAGGAGAAGGCGGTGGGGTTTCTGAAGCCAAACGGCTACTCAGGGTACTGCGGGCACTTCAAAATAATCTACCCATTCAAATTGTGCATAAAGGAGACCTCTCAGACATTTCGGTGCAGGGGCTTGTCAAAGCCGGAAGAGATCCAACCAGAATTGAAGTGGCTGATACTAGCTACGAACTAGGACATCCCCAGGAGATTTGGTTTGTGGATGCTGAGAAGTCGGTGAAACCCGAATTTGCACACCTATTCACAAGGTACTCCAATAAGTGGATCGCCTCATTGTTCAATTCCTTCGAGGAGATGATTTTCCTGGACACAGATGCAGTGCTGTTTGAGAAGCCCAGCTCTTTTTTCACTATCGATGGCTACCAAGAAACGGGCGCTTTTTTCTTCAGAGACCGGCTTATTGACGAATATATCAACCGCGGCGATTTGAACTACTACAAGAAGTTATTGCCGTCCAAAATTGAAGCTCACGTATTTAACCTCGAAACCGGTGAAGATATGATGAGGCAGAACGATGTCTTCCAGTTTCGTTTCAAGCATGTAGTGGAAGCCGGTGTGTTTATTTTGAAGAGACGAACTCATATGCCTGGTCTTCTCATTTCTACCGCCCTGAACCTGTGGAAGGAAACAAATGAAGTCTTTCATGGGGATAAAGAGCTTTTTTGGCTAGGCCAGTCTATCGCTGGTACCAGCCGATATCAATTCAATAAGAATCCAGCGGGTGCCCTAGGTTCCTTGACAAGGAACAAAGAGAAAAATATCACATATACATGCTCGGCACAGCCGGGTCATTTCGATGAAAATCATAAACTTCTTTGGCTGAATGGTGGTGCAAGGTACTGCAAATGGCAATCATGGGATTATGACCTCTCGAAACATAAGTCGCTCAGAAAATCTTACAAATCGGCCAAAAACCTAAGAAAGCTTTATGCATCGCCGATAGAGGCGAATGGGGCAATCATTCCAGCTAGGTCAAATCTGTCGCTGCTCCAAAAACTGCTAGGAACGAAGAGCGGTTTTCAGAAGTGCGAGGAGATGGGTTGTGCTGGCTACCTTTGGTGTGCATACAGTCGCGCCGATCATTCCGCTGGATTGACTTTAGAATTCTCACAGGAGGAGAACAATTATTTCAAATTCATTGTCAACGTGTGGAATTCGGAATAAGACTGTAAATCAAGATCCAGGGTTCGCTTCGATAACGATGAAGCGCTAGCATATTTTCGGGGTCATTCGAAAAAGATGGGGTAGCATTGTGATTCCGTCCACACATTATCAAGATGCTTTTAACACAAATAAAGGAAAGCTCACGACGATCATATAAATAACTTGAGAATTTTCTTACAAAGGTCATAAACGCTGCGCCAGGACGCAGCTCATTGTGGAACTACACTATTTAGTCGCGAACCCATAGTTGGCGCGGATATCATCGAGCAGACCGATTTCCTTGGGTTGCCAACCAAGTTGTTCTTGAGTTATCTTACTTGACACTGGCCCACCACCGGAAAAAAAGGCAGCGAGGCCCTTGAAATGCTCAGCCGCTTTATCGCCTTCTACTGATACCACAGGAACTTTTAAGAGCTGGCCAATAGCTCCGGCGATGTCTTTGGTCTTCACACCTTCTTCAGCAACAGCGTGGTAAGACGTACCTGCGTGACCCTTTTCCAACGCCAATCTGAACACAACGCCAGCATCAAACCGTGATACTGCGGCCCACAAATTCGCTCCGTCGTTGATATAGGACTTTTTAGTGCCACTGGCAATCTTGACTAAAGCTGTGATGAAGTTGGGATCCCCTCCACCGTGCACACTTGGTGGGAGTCTGACGGAAGTAGCACGGACACCCTTGTTTTCGTGGCTCAACACAATGTCTTCGGTTTCAGAGCGTATGGCACCAGGCCCAACAGCGTGTTTTGGGGAAGTTTCAGTGCCCAAAGTCCCTGGTGGGAAAACCAAGGCCACCGCGGTTTGCACGTAGGGCTTATTAGTGCCTTTCAAGGCATCCAACATTGCGAGGGTTGCCTTTCGATCAATAAGAGAGACCTCTTCGAATCTGCTGAAATCCTGGATGAAACCCAAATGTACCACACCATCAGATGCAGCTGCTGTTCTTTTGAGAACATCCAAATCTTTGAGGCTGCCTTTGACGATTTCTATATGAGGGTCCAGCTGCTTAATTTTTTGTTCAGCCTTAGCGGAACGGGCCAAGGCCACTACTTTATGACCTGCCTTCAACAACTCTGGAACCACTGCCCCACCAACAAAGCCTGATGCTCCTGTGACAAACACTTTCATTATCTATTTATATGCGGGTCAATCAACTATATCAACGAACTAAATCCACTGACTACTGCTCGAGTAATTCTTGAGATGGTACAACTCTGCTTGCGAGTAGCCGACCATCCATGTACAGAAAGTGGTCTTTATATAATGAAATGTTACTATTAGCAATGCCGTTGTCCTAATTTTTCTCCGTGCAGTGTCCATCTCAAAGCATTCCATATCGTTCAGTGACTGCGTCGTTCTTGCTAGTTGTGTAACTCCGGTGATTTTGCCAAGAAAATTATATGCACTATATTGAACTATATGCACTGCACTATATCTTAATGCAGCCGTTCCCGAACAAAGGCGCCATCGCTTAGAAGATCGGGAAAAGAACAGTAAAGCATTACCACATCACTTCGGAGCATACAAGAGAATAAAGCTCTCAGCAATGATGCTGGCGTCTGCTCACACCATTATCGTTTGATTACAGGGACACCACAGGCCGTGTGCGGTTTGTAATGGTATGCTGCGCTTATTTGTTCGCTTGTTGTTAGAAATCACTGAATCTATCAACAATTTGACAGCGCGGCCTCCGTTGAAGGCTTCCGTCCACATAACCACATTCGGTGTCGGAATGGAATTGCTGAAAACAAAATTGTTGCCATGAAAATACCTCTCACGTAGTCTGTAGTAAGCTTTCGCTTGAAGTTACGCTAGCTAGAAGCTAATAATCAGGAAAGGCATTGAATCAAGGTATTACCATTTAGGAGCAGTTCTCAATAGACATTTTTCAATTTAGAAAAAGTACTTGCTGAGTCAATTGCTTCACCACGGGAGCTGTTAAAATCTGATTGATGTAAGTCTAATATAAATTATTGAGATGATGATGCTTAACCAAACTTACTGAAAGTTGCCTCGTTGATGCGGTCTGCCGTTGAGAGTTTGAGTTTCCAACATGATTACATCAAGTGCTTGCTGGACAGGCTGATCATTCTTACGTCGGTGGCGTTGTACTGATCTCTCATAATTTCCTTGTTCTATTTCGTACTTTGTTCAATTACAATATTCCGACTTTTCAAAACGGTGCATTGTAGAAATTGAAGGATAGCAAGGGCAAATCACGACATCACCGTCTGCAAAATGTCTTCAAAGTGTTTCCCTGGCATCCAACTACACTGACGGTCAGAGCGCCTCAATTCGTTCTCTAAACTACTTTTATCTTGGAGGTTATCCAACGGTCAAAATATTCTTCCAGTGTTTAGAGTTAAGTGCAGTACTTTCTTGTGTATCTCAAAAATTGATTGATATCTGTTCCATCTCGCGCATAATTATCAGAGATCGCACCGCGTCCTCTTTGTACAAGAGCATCCCCTGACCTTGCAAATGAAATCCGTTTTCCAGTTTTATAGACATACTGCTCGGCGCTTGAAATCAGTACGCGCTACCAGCTGGTACCTTGAATGGTTCTTGAAGTCTTAACGTGGAAAGACAATTCCACTACGACTCTGCGTAAATATGGTTTGTGAAACGAATTGTGGCATTTGTGGTAGCACTTTGCTAGAGGCAAATCTGTGCGGTACGAAATACATCTAGAGATAACCAAACTGGAAGAGAAACCCCCTCGAATGATGCTTGCCACTTCCCTTTCAATTGCTGCAAGGCGTTCAGGAATGCCATATGGCGTCATGTAAATTATCGATTTAGTCGCTGATATCGACTAATCTTCTTGGAAGTTGGAATCCGATACAGAAAAGTAAAACTGTGAGGTGGCGTATCGAAGGAAAGAATCGAGGTAATTCATAAACTTTGGCCGAATATACAGTCGACGATACATAAACAAACTATAGAAACAAAACCCTGTTTTGGGTGCCATGCCGCACCCCATCCAAATCTGGGATACCTCGAGCTGCTCAAGCACCATAGTTAGTGAGGATATCGTCAAGAAGACTGATTTCCGTAGGTTGCCAACCAAGTTGTTCCCGAGTAATTTTACTTGATACTTGTCCACCATGGGAGTAGAAGAAAGCGAATCCTCCAAATTGCTCAGATGCCTTGGTGCCTTCAATTGACACTACGGGTACTTTCAAAAGCTGGCCAATAGTTCCAGCAATATCTTTGGTCTTGACGCCTTCTTCGGCAACAGCATGGTAAGCTGAACCAGCGTGGCCCTTTTCCAATACCAGCTTAAAGAGACGACCAGCGTCCAAGCGGGCCACGGCGGGCCACACGTTTGCACCGGCATCGATATAGCCGGATTTGCCGGTTCCACCGGCGATCTTAACCAGAGTGGTAATAAAGTTGGGATCCCCCTTACCGTGAACACTTGGTGGAAGCCTGACGGATGTAGCACGGACACCCTTGTCTTTGTAGCTCAACACGATGTCTTCAGTATCTGAACGCAAGGTGCCCGCGCCACTGGTGTGTTTAACGCCAGTTTCAATTCCCAGGGTTCCAGGCGCAAATACCAAACACACCGAGGTTTGCACGTAGGGCTTATTGGTGCCCTTCAAAGCGTCCAACATCGCTACAGTTGCTTTCCGATCGATCAAACAGCTTTCTTCGTATTTGCTGAAATCGTGGATAAAGCCCAAATGAATCACACCATCAGATGCAGCAGCCGCTTTTTCCAGGACGTCCAGATCTTGTATGGTGCCCTTGACGATTTCGATACCGGAGCCCAACTTATTGATCTTTAGAGCTGCCTCATCTGAACGGGCGAGGGCCACCACTTTGTGACCTGCCTTTAATAACTCAGGAACCACGGCTGTACCAACGAAGCCTGATGCGCCTGTAACGAACACTTTCATTGTCTCAAGTGCGTAAAATGTGCCAAAAAACCGTATAATCTCTTGAGTACTGTGTGAGAAATCTTCGAGATGTTCCTATTCTACATGCAATAAACGGTTAATAAACTTCAAAAGCTACGCTTTATATACAAAAAATCACTTTCACTAGCGATCAGTTCTTACTACGAAGGGCATCTCCGTGTAGCGTCCGTGGATGTTCAATTGACGAAGTTATCGTTACTAATCGTTGCTTAAATAGCTGTCTAACCAGGATTATTATATCAAATGTAACTTGCATGCAGCCATCTTTAATACAACCGTTCCCGAACCAAGAGCGACGGTGGCTTCAGAACTCCGAACATCAGTTGTCAACATTGCAACGTTAGAACAAACCTCCAGATTAGAAATGAACTCGGTGCTAACTTCTGCTCGCAATGTCGTTCGGAAATAAAAGGGAACTAAAGATTTGTAAGATTGGTAATGCTCACCGGAGTTTCCAAAGATAGGATCAGGGCTCAGGTTGGAAGGGAAGATGACATTTCAGTATTTGTCAAGACCTGGACTGACCTTTGTGGGATCCTGGAGACTCCGAGGTACCAATAGCAGACGACTGTGCGATTGAGTTAAAGAAAGGCCACCTTGAATTACCAAGATGCGGTCTTGCTCCACTTCGATTCGTTCAAATTCACTACTAGACTTCGAGTGACAATTGACACTTTGACAGTCCGATTAGAAGTACGTCCCCAAACTCTGTTTCGATGCATATTTCAATGATTTTGATGAATCAATGATCCCGACATCGTACTCAAGGAGTTCTCAGTAAACTCTAGAAGCGACTTCCAAAATTGTCAAGAAATCGAATGGCGCCCTTAGTGATGCAGGCTATATTAACAAATGTCTCTTCAAACTAAATTACACAGTCTGAATTGCTGCATAACGTTGGGAATACGCTGCGAGAAACTGACTTGACATATCAGGAAAGACATAAGATGAATGATGAACAATGAGGACCGTCATACGCATAGTTCGGATGCTTCCACATTCCAGCCAAACAACTGTATGTGATAGCGCTTTTCAAATTGTCTCATAGTTTTTAACAATGTCGTCTACCAGATCGAGTTCCTTTGGCTCCCAGCCAAGTTCCTCACGAGTAAGTTTGCTGGAGACTGGTGCATGGAGACCGAATAAAGTAGCCAGGAAACCAAAATGCTCAGGCGCCTTTGCGGCTTCAATTGGCTCCGTAGGGACTACCAAAAGCTGGCCAATGGCTCCAGCGATATCTTTGGTTTCCACACCTTGTTCGCCCACTGCGTGGTAAGCTTTTCCGGTGCGTCCTTTTTCCAATGCCAATTTGTATACACGGCCAGCGTCCCACCTGGAGACTGCAGGCCACACGTTGGCACCGTCGCCGATGAAAGCGGATTTACCACTGTTCTTGGCCACGTTGATGAACGTAGCCATGAAGCCCTTGTCGCTTTTCCCATGGACGGTGGGAGGCAATCTAACGGCAAGAGCACGGACGCCCTTGTCCTTGTAGCTCAACACAATATCCTCAGTCTGTGCACGTAGAGCGCCCATCCCGCTAGTCAGTTTTTCACTAGTCTCAGTCGCCACAGTTCCTGGGGGCAACATCAGTGTTCCCGAAGTCTGGACGTAGGGCTTATTGGTGCCCTTAATTGCGTCCAGCATAGTGACTGTAGCCTCCCGATCGATCAAACAGCTTTCTTCAAACTTGCTGAAATCATGGATAAAGCCCAAATGGATCACACCGTCGGATCTGGCTGCAGTCTCTTTGAGAACTTCCAGGTCCTGGAGGCCACCTATGACGATCTCTATGTCAGAGCTCAGTTTCTTAATCTTCTGTTCTGCCTCATCTGAGCGGGCCAACGCTACTACTTGATGCCCCGATTTTAACAACTCTGGAATAACTGCTCCAGCAACAAAACCTGATGCTCCTGTCACAAACACTTTCATCATTCAAGGTGTGTAAAATGTGCTAAAAAACTGTGCACCCTTTTGACTACTATCTGAAGTAATCTAGTAATCTTCGAGGGATGGTCCCATTGTAACATGCCACATAACTATCATCCAGGTTCTTAGACGCCGCTTTATATACAAAACCTGTCGACATGAGCATTACTGCCAAGACTTTCGTTCGTTCAACGCCAAGTCTGTCTTTGACAAGTGTCCTTGAACGTTCCGCGGAAGGAATCTCGTCTATGAACATCACTTGAAAGCCCAAAATAAGTTTATTTTAACAAAGCTGCTTTTGCGTGATGATTTGTCCGCTACAGTTGTTCCGCTCCATCATGTAGCAATCCCGGGGAGAATACGGTGGTCGTATTATACATGAGAATGGACCTTTCAACACTACAATTCCGGCTACGAGTCGAGTACTAAAGCTTATGAAGAAAAAAATATTGTCATTCGTGAGTCAAAGGACGCTACGCTGTGAGGTTGAGGGGTGTGCATTAGGTTTATCAATCAGGTTACTGATGGGAACTCCGGCGTTGTCACTTGCTTTTACTGCATAGCCTGTCGTAAAATATCTTTTCAATGTGGCCCGTATCTAGTATATACGTAATCCTCCAGTAGCTAACAAGAAGACGTGTAGTTTGAAGCCTAAAGACGTAGACTTGACTTGGTAAGCAATCGCTTGCTACCGCGATATTTGCGCATTCGCTAAAGTTCAAGAGTCTAGAGACAACTATATATTTTGATGATTGGGCGCTGGTATAAGGCTCGATTAAAGGACAAAAATTTTTGGTCTTCAATAGAGATTGCTGCTTTCTTGACAGATGGCGATCGTGTTTTATAAGAGCCAAGCGCTGCTAAACGATGTTCGCTAGAAAATTGTGCGGCAATAAACGGCTTTTATGTTTCTAAGGCGCTCACCAGGTCCCCTACAAGGTGCTCCTTAGTATAGTGTACACCCAAACTAATTGCAGTCGTAGTGCGCATCGCAAACCAACCATAACCCCGTAGCCACGGATGCGTGTTTCGGCTGCGGGCAGACCTACCCGTGAAGTATCGACACAAACGCGAGAATAAACGCAAGAAACGTCTGGACACTAAGGTATGGTATTTCGACCGCAGGTCGATACACAAATGTGTTCTAAAAGTACATTCAATACCGAGATTGGAAGAGACTGATGACTCTTCTTTAATGGTCTCTGGTTCTAGCGACGGAAGGCCCGTTTTAGCATGATAAGTAGCATTACAAATGTTTGACTGAGATTAAGATGATATCAGATTTTATTTGACTTCTATTCTGTGACGCGAATGTGTAGTTGATGTTTTCTTCTTACCTTAGTCTTATTCCTATTCCGACCTTCTCTATATATAACTACGGTCACTTTAGGATCGACTTTTATTTCGGGACTTTTCCATCATTATCCACGTCCTACCCTCGAGGCTACCTCAGACTAGCCCGAACTTGGCCTATAAATACCATAGCGTCCGTCTTGCCTTTTTAACAGTCTCTACTCCAGCTATAGCCACATATCTTCATCATGTCGGATGCTTGGGGCTCAGGGGCAAAAGAATATGCTGAAAAAATACCAAAGGGACCTCCCAAAGACTCGGTTGATGCTATTCTTCACACAATAGATGGTTTACTACCCTTTGACAACGCCACTAGTATCTTGGATAACGGTTGCGGCACAGGGTTGGGAATGCAAACGTTGATCAGCAAGTATGCGGATCGGCTGCCTGATCGGACCCGTCTGGTAGCTGCCGATCTTAGTCCCGGTATGCTGGAGTCCGTGCGCAGAACAAAAACTGCCCATGACGGTAACAAGTTTTGGGACAGACTGGAGCTAGAAATATGCAACGTGGAGGATATGAATCAGTTCTCGAATTCCAGTTTTAGTCATATCATCGCCTCACTGGTCCTTTTTTTCGCTGAGGCGGAGCCTGCGATCAGCGAAGCTTACCGCATTCTACAACCAGGTGGGGTCATTGGCTTTACTTCGTTTCGCGAAAACCAATGGATGCAACTGCTCAACGTTGCAACAAAAATAGATCCAACACTGAAGCCAAAGCCTTTGCCTGCTAATTGGGCTTCTGCAGATTGGATCAGGGCGCAACTTGAAAGTGCGAATTTCACCGACGTGAAAGTCGAGCCCAAGAAAATCTACCTCCAAGTGGATGACGCCGTTGATTTTGCAAAATTTATAGTACGGTCTGGAATTCAAGCAATGTCCGGCATTTTCGAGTCCTTGACAGAGGAGGAAAAAGATCGTGCGGTGCAATTGATCGCCGACGAGATTGCTGAAAAGTATCCCGGCAGTCCAGCAAGAATTCCGGGCGTGCTTTTGGTATCTAGTGCGCGGAAAGATAATGGTGGAGCTCATTGAGCTACAGGGATTGCAAAGTTCTGGGTGTCAAGAAACGAGATGGCTTGCGAGTGATTCAAAAACTATGAGTGACTAAGACATCGTGTTCCTGCCACCATCAGCGGGGCTAGTGCGTCATCAAGCCTTGAGTAATGAACAGCACTCGAAAGCACGTTCCATATGAGTCGTTGTGTTCAGGGCTTTACTGTAGGTTTGAGACAGTCCATTTGAGAGGAACTACCAGGATTGGAAAACGACTACTTACACATAGTACTATGCACAAAAGTGATCACCTTGCGAGGTAGCAGAACCAGTAAAATATTAGCATCTACTCGTTCTTGGAGTTTGAAAGCTGAGTAGACAGCCCAGAGATTCAAAGGGAAAGGTAAGCGGTACGAAACATCATGCAAGCCGCACATACATTCGCTAATATCATCATTGCATTCATATGTCCTATCTAATTATTTACATACTAGACTACATAATTTTTGACAATGTCATCTACCAGATTAATTTCCTTTGGCTCCCACCCAAGTTCCTCGCGGGTGAGCTTGCTGGAGGCCGGTGAGTCGAGACCAAAAAACGTGGCAAGGAAACCAAAATGTTCAGGTGCGTTTGCGGGTTCAATTGAAACCACTGGAACTTTCAAAAGCTGGCCAATGGCTCCAGCAATATCTTTCGTTTTCACACCTTGTTCGCCCACTGCGTGATAGACTGCTCCCACGCGTCCTTTTTCCAACACTAGCCTGAATAGACGGCCAGCGTCCCAGCGGGACACTGCAGGCCACTGATTAGCTCCGTCTCCGATGTAACCGGACTTCTCGTGCTTTTTGGCAGTGTTGATCAACATATTTACGAAATTTGGATCGCCTTTGCCATGGACCGTTGGGGCCAACCTAACGACAAGTGCACGAACACCCTTGTCCTTGTAGCTCACCACAATATCCTCGGTTTGTGAACGCAGAGTGCCCAATCCACTAGTGGATTTGTCACCGGTCTCAGTAGCCAGAGTCCCTGGTTGGAACATTAGCGTTCCTGTAGTCTGAACGTAGGGCTTATTGGTGCCCTTAATAGCATCCAGCATCGTGATTGTGGCTTCCCGGTCAATCAAACAGCTTTCTTCGTATTTGCTAAAATCATGGATGAAGCCTAAATGGATCACACCGTCAGATCCGGCTGCCGTTTTTTTCAAAATGTCCAAATCCTTGAGGCCACCTCTAACAACCTCTATATCAGAGCCCAGTTTCTTGATCTTTTGTTCAGCCTCATCTGAGCGGGCCAATGCTGCTACTTGATGCCCGGACTTTAACAACTCCGGAACGACTGTTGTACCAACAAAGCCTGATGCACCTGTAACAAACACTTTCATTATCCTACGGGCTAAAGATATTCAAAAGGTATTCCTTGGATGCTTTCATTCTTAATGAAAGAGACACTACTGGTCCCAAGACCTCTACCCTTTATATACTGAGTGGTTTCTACCTGTGCTAGCCATTTTGCCAAGGTCCTTGTAACGACCGCCCGGCCCTTAAGCGGATTGAACTTCAATTATTGAGCACTCATAACGAAATGATTTATTGATATACGAAATGGTAAAAACTCCGAGATGGTAAAAACTCCGAGATGGTAAAAACTCCGAAATCCTGAAAAGTCCAGAATCTTTGAGAACCACTCCAAGAGTTTCATTCTAGTGGGTCTGAAATTTCGAAAGGGTTTCTGTGCAATGTTTATTGCTAGTTTAGTTGGTTGTTCTGCTGTTTGTCTCATTTCGAAAAGTGTCGCCTTGCAGAAGCGTAAACTTGGCTCAACCGCTTAAAACGGTTTTCCAGAAATGTGTATACGAGGCTGTTTGAACGTGGGGCATGCTTGAACTGTTTCAAAAGATAAAAAACATTATTATCTGTTGGCGGTACAGTTAGACGAGAAAAATACAGCCGTAGCCATAACGAATTTTCGTCGGTGTCTGAATGTCATTTTGAGTTCTCATCTCACGCATCGTTGACAGAAGCCAAAATAGACATTATGCTGATATCCGTCTGCTGTTGCCCCCATACTGTCTTATCCAGCCCACGAAACGTTTCCGAGATAGGGTATCGTCATGAGATCTGTATCAAAAACAATAAGCTGTGCTGCCTTCAAGCACCCTGCTACTAGGGACGACCCACTCGCGTGACTGATATCCAAGACGTTTGGTAGTCAAAGATGTGGAGTCCTGGAAATGTGATAAACAACATGAAAGTCTGACTCCAGGAGGCTTGATCATGAGCTACCATGGTATCGAATGCCCGCGAAGACCTCGTGAGGTGGTCTAGATGCCACCAATAATACGTGCTTCAGCACGCAAACTGTTTTCCATAGACGGATGGCGCAATTAGTCCATCATATCTTGCCGCATCACTATTGTTTGCTTTTTGGTGCTGCTCATCGTCTAGGACAGCCCATTGCAAGCGTAGTGACTAAAGAGCCGAAAAACTGTTGGCCATCGAGCGCATCCGTTCCAGCAAGCCAGGTGATGGTGTTTCTTACTTCGAAAAAAGTCAAGTCCGCGAAGCCTTAATGGACCCTCGATTGTATCTCCAAGTCGCCCTTTCTATTTCAAAAGGTGTATTTCCAACCTCAATGTAAGGGATTACAATAGGGTAGAAGTGAAGTTTATGAGTGCCAACTGATGCTGTCTCCATTTTCGTATTGGTGCTATTTTGATATTTTTCAATCATCAAAAACCACGGATTGGGAATCGCTTTTGTCGGCTCATTTCTGGCTCATTTCTGGTGACCTAATAACGCTCGCAAAATCTTTACAAGCCCAATGGGCAGATTATCACAAACTGGTATTTCCCACCTCATGCACTTGTGCACAAGATTCGCTGCTTCGAACAGCGGTAGTAACTCCCATAAGGTGTTCGTTATAGCTAAGTCCATGCCAGAAAAACGTGCCGGGATTTTGAATAGACTTCAAACTTTCCGTAAATCACAGGCACTACACGACCAGAGTGCTAATGTTATTGTCTAACTTTTTTCATTCTCGAACCTTCCTACCCGACCAAGTAGATGTGATGCTTTGAATGAGAAGCTTTTAAAGAATGTTACGAATCCAGAGTTTGCCGACGTAGTTGGTTTACGAAATCCTGAGTTCTGATACCCGATTCGAAGTCAGCAGGGGTGACGCCAGCGGCTTTAGTTTTCTCTATAAATGGTTGTGTTGCTGTCATGGATGTCAGCTTCAAAGGCGCCTGTTTAAATTTATCTGTCATATCGTTGGAGATAAATGCACTCAACCTAAGCTCTCTATGGTCGTCCATCTGATATTCTGACATGTGGTCCTGGGACATGAGGCGCCAAACACCTATGGTTCAAATGACTCACATCTTATTCATGCGCCATTGATTTGTTTGTCAATTTGGTCGAAACTTCTACATAGGTGGTAACTTCGAAGAACTCCTCAATTTGTCGAGGGAAACAGTCATTCTGAACTGGTTTGCGAAAGTTAGCTTTTGCGTCTGCTCAAACGATATTCTAAAAAGCGAATTTGTACAGCTTCAGACAGAGCTTGATACTCACTTCAAAGACTGGTGTTGGTCTCACCACCACTCATTTTGTAGAGTTCATGGCGTCTCAGAATCCAACAGATGATTGAACTTCTTAACTCCTGAACGTTTTGAAGGATAAATCCCTCGACCTTAGAGCTGTACAAGCTACTATAGCGGATTATGGGGAGGTCAAAAATTTGTTCTCGCTGCTCTTCGATTACTTTATTTCTGCTTTTAGGCGACTCAGAAATTACCAGATGAACAGCTAGGTTCCAATACGTGAAAATACCAATCGAGTGCCTATGTTAAAAGCGTCACGACCGAGGTATCACTGCGACCGTCGTGATCTCATAAAGATCGGTAGCTTTCATTAAAATTTCAAAAAATGTGCATTTTGCTTGGTCTTGCTCTGACCTTATTTCAAAGATCAAGACCGTTCTACGGTAGCGTATTTCCGAGTAAACGATATTCAAATACATCGTAGAACAAAAATACTTAAGCTGAGATGTGAACTAAGTCATTTCGTGTCACTGCTCCAACAACTACTCGTCCAGCAACGTCGCATTGTAGTGAGTGGTATTCCAATCCCAGAAGAAAGTCAGCTGCGTAGTATTGCTGACGCTAGAGACATTACAAACCTCGAAAAAGTCCTGGCTGGCAACTCTCTGGTCTGCGTATTCGTAAAATTTTTTTGCCTCGCACGAAAAACCAGGCCCATCTGAGCAGTTTTGCAATGGAATCACTGCGTCGTTGACCACATATCTGATGAAAAAATCATTGCTACACTGGTATTTTTGAGTGTAGACTCTAGCGCCCTGGGGAATCATCCACGATTTGTGGAAAACTTGATCAGTAAATGGGATGCGAGAAGGATCTAGGTCCTTTCCGTTATCAAACAGTCCGACGGTGGTCAAGTAGTTGAGGATATCAGTATCGTGAGTGAAACTCAACCAGACTTTTTGATCGAGCTGCTCGCTCTGTTGGAGTAGCTTTATCGACGCATTGAAGTATAGCGCCCCAACTGCTTGAATCATTGGATAACCAGGGCCGTCTTGGTAGTAAGCTACCAGATCATTGTAGTAAGAGTAGTGAATGAGCTCCTCGGGCGTGAACACATTACAGATCTCACTGTAACCACGGGCATTCAATTCGTAGGCACACCAGTCAAAAAGATTATATGCGTCTTTAGTCGTCAAATTTAGGCCGTGATTTTCCCCATTGAGTCTTGTTGCCAGCTCTTTCAAGTAATCCGTGGAGAAGTTACCCAGAATATCATCGTTCTCGTCTGGATTCCAGGCAGGACAGGAATAGCCTGGTGATAAAGTATTAGCGCCCGAACTAGGATCCTCGCTCACGACATTCAGCGAGATATTGAATTTGTCGCCCAGACTATGGATGAAATATTGGGCGGTATCATGGACTCGCTTGGAACTAGCGGCAAAGACAGCAAACTCACGATTGTCCTCCAGAAAATCACCGTATTGGGCCAAAAACTCTTGTGCGTGTTTCTTCGCGTCCATCTCGCCCGTGTATGGGTTGATGGCATTCACAGAGTTCTCCAAAGTCGTTTCTTGCTCCAGATTTGAAATATCTTGAATGAAAAACTCGTAATCCTCATCAACAAAAGACAGCGATCCATTGAGATTGCGGGGGTAGTTTAGAATCTTGTCCCAGGTCTTGAACAGCTTTGCGGCCTTGCTTTTGGTGGGGTATCTTTCGCCGTGTCGAGCAAGAAGCTGGATCTGAGAAATTTCGCATCCAGCAGGTGGATCTATCGGAATTCCATAGTCTTCAGGATGTGAGAAATATGGTCCTGAGCCTGCTAGCAAGGGGAAAAGGTGCTCCTGAGTACCAATGTCGTAGAGGTCTCCTTTTAAGTTTTTTGGAATAGCGATTGCATCGACTGCACAGAGTCCTGCCAGGAAAAGAGCCTTACTGAACGATAACATGACATTCAATTGCACGATCAATGGACACCATCATGAGTTTGATGCTAGAGAAGAGCAGGGTCCTTGCATCACTTGATATTTATGCCCTGGAATGTGCATAGAAAATTTTTACATGATGGTGTCATTGGGTGTGAACGCTCAGTTCTGTCACTTGCCTAGTCTTGATAAAATTGTTGTAGTAAACGGTACGCAGTAAAGTCAGTGAAGTGGGAGGGTGTTTGCATCGTCATAGATGCCGCATCAGCATACGTAGCCTGTGGATAAACATCCCTGCTTGGTGCGTCATATTTTCAAATCAGACCGAAATTATCATTGGGATCGGGTTATTCGATCAGTTCCTCGGCTATCTCAAAATGTTGGTCATAGTAGTTCATGGTCATTGTAGGCGTAGACTTGCAAGTGGTGGTGCTAGTTTAGATGGCGTAACGTCTTTGACTCACTGTTTGAGGGCATCTTGAGAGAGCATGAGATACAGTTTCTTCTCGTGCGTTCGCAGTTGCTCTACCAGCTAGCAACGATCTTGTCAAAACTGATTGAATGATAGCGACAAGAACAATTCATTGAAGTCGGGCTTGAAGGACGAGTCTTTCCCAAATTTGATTTTTATGCAGGTAGTGTTGGCTGCCGATCAAAGAGTCCTGTTAAATAGAGCCAAAGTACGCATGTTGTTAAAGGAAAATAACGCTGTGGCAGATACATCTGTCCAGAAAAGACGATCCAGAAAAGACGACTAGATGTACATTACGTATCTATTAACCGAATCCTAGTATGCTAACCAAAGTGTGAAGCGTCGATTGTGTGACTGGATCTTGTGGGTAATTTATTCTGAACCTGTGATGAAGATCCCACTGGTTAGTTGATGTAATTGTTGATGATAAGTGATAACTGTTGATAACGATGAGTTATTCGAGACGATGGCATGTTAAAATCTTTTGGTCCATAGAAATTGTACTTAGCGTGAAATAGTCACTCTTTGTAATGATGCCAGCCCATGATCAGAACGTAAGCCCACACGGAAACGAGGCTCATCGTTTGGAGTCGGCTTAAGGGTACTTCGCTACGCCTTTAGAAAAAATGAATGCAACCTATCTCTTAGCGCCCCTAAGGGTCCATCGTTGAACAATGGCTTCAAGAATTGAGAACCCCTAAACTCCCATAACTAAAGAAAATTTACCCAAGATGGGCTGGCAGATCTTCACGCCTCTCCACTTTGGGTGCAGGCCTGGTAAAAGGGTCAAGGATTTGGGTATACAACGTCAGCCACTAATGGCCACGGCGCATTTTTGGCTGCAATGACGTCCCAGTTGGAAGCCCCCTAGCGATTAGTATAAGAAACTTGCATTTACAACAAGGTCAACGCGCTAAATCTAACTCCCACCTCATTTCCCTCAGAGTTTAAATTGCCAAAATTCTGATATCTTCATATCATGGTAGTTACTATCACCACAAAGCGAAACAATCATCTCAAATGGCGACATGTGCCTCCTGAACAGCTACAGCTGCAGTCACTTAGAGTTGCTGTTATAGGAGGCACCGGCGGGATCGGCCAGGCCTTGAGCCGTTTTTTGGATTCAAAAGGTGCAGAAGTTTTCGTGGTGGGTCAGACCTACAGGGAAAGCGACACAAGCAACATCAAGTTCATAGGGGCCAATCTGGAGCTGATGTCAGAAGCGCAGCGGGTCGCTCAGGAGCTTTTGGCCCAGCCTTTGGACCTGATAATTTTCTCTGCCGGAATCGTCGCTGCTCCTACGCGCGAGGAAACCGTTGAGGGACTCGAGCGTGACATGGCCGTCAGCTATCTGAACCGGCTGGTCATTTTGCGTGCAATATTGCCCAAACTAGAGAAAACCGAGACTCACATTTTGAAAAAACCCCGGGTCTTTATAATTGGGTATCCCGGTACTGGAGCTCTGGGAAGCCCTGATGATTTGAATTCTGAACGTCACTACGGAGCTGTGGCTGCCCATATGAATACAGTTGCGTGTAATGAGGCCCTGGTTTTCGATTGTGCGAATCAATTCCCCGACGTTAGTTTTTTTGGTCTGAACCCAGGCTTCATCAAGACCAACATTCGCAACAACCTTCTCGGGGCTGGTTCCATAAAATCTCGCTTAGTTGAAGGCTTTATTGGTTATTGGTTCCAAGACGCTGACACTTACGCAAAGCATATTGGACCCTTGCTTGTGACCCCCGATATTGACATGCACAGCCCGGCTTTTTTCAATTCAAAGGGCCAGGCCATATACTCTCAGGGATTTTCCAAGCACCATATTGAATGGCTGATTCGCAAGTCCGAAGCACTGCTCGAGAAAGCTGGAGTGCCAGTGAAGTAAACTGAACGACTAAAGTCGATACCCTGTCCGGACTTGCGAGTACTTTTTAAGCTTGTACTCATGACTCTTATAATCTCTTGTCCACATGACTTTTTCGCGGTGGAAAAATATATATGATAACGATGATGATGTTGATGATGAGTTGGAAAATTACAAGTGAGTGATGAGCTAGAGCCGTCATCCAGAATTCTATATAAACGTTGTTACGCGGCCTCACACTTCTGTTGTTTGGACTACCGGATTTACGATTCTTGAACGTAGCGTATTAATTTTAATTAAAGGTTTTCATAGTCCCGAGAAATGTCAAGCGAAAAAGCTGAGCTCAAGCTCTGGGGTGGCAGATTTACTGGGAAAACCGACCCATTGATGGATCTGTACAATGCGTCTTTGCCGTATGATCAAAAAATGTATAACGCGGATTTGGATAATTCCAAATATTACACGGAGGGTCTCTTGAAAGTCGGGCTCTTAAACCAGGAAGAATTAAGCGAGATCCATAGAGGACTGGAAATCATCCGCGGGGAATGGAAGTCAGGTTCGTTCGTCGAAAAACAGGGTGACGAGGACATCCACACGGCCAATGAAAGAAGATTGGGGGAGATTATTGGCCGTCATATCGCTGGAAAAGTCCACACTGGAAGATCCAGAAATGATCAAGTGGCCACGGATATGAGAATTTACTGCCGTGAAGCACTTGAGAGTTTGAGCCAAATCTTGCGCGATCTCATTGGTGCCATTTTACAGAGAGCAGAGTCTGAACTTGACGTTTTGATGCCCGGTTACACGCACTTGCAAAGAGCACAGCCTATCAGATGGTCGCATTGGCTGAACCTCTACGCCAGCTACTTCACAGAGGACTTCAAAAGACTGCAGCAGATCAAAGAAAGACTCAATGTGTCCCCACTGGGATCTGGTGCTCTTGCCGGCCATCCGTACGGAATTGACCGTGAATACATCGCTGGAAAACTAGGTTTCAACGGATGCATTGGCAATTCGCTGCAAGCCGTTTCCGACAGAGACTTTGTTGTTGAAATTCTGTTTTGGTGTTCTCTTTTCATGAACCACGTTTCGCGTTTCAGTGAAGATCTGATCATCTACTCCACCGCGGAATTCGGGTTCGTCAAACTTTCCGATGCTTATAGCACTGGGTCCTCTTTGATGCCCCAAAAGAAAAACCCAGACTCTTTGGAACTGCTTCGTGGTAAGTCCGGGAGAGTGTTCGGCTCATTGTCCGGTTTTATGATGTCGCTGAAATCGATTCCATCCACTTACAACAAGGACATGCAGGAAGACAAAGAGCCGCTTTTCGACGCGCTTACGACTGTGGAGCATTCGATCTTGATTGCAACAGGCGTTATCTCTACTTTGGACATCAACAAGGAAAAGATGTTCAACGCTTTGACAATGGACATGCTAGCAACAGATTTGGCAGACTACTTGGTCAGAAAAGGTGTTCCTTTTAGAGAGACCCATCACATTTCCGGTGAAGCTGTAAGTAAGGCTGAGAAGCTGAATTTGTCCGGTATTGACAAATTAACAGTGGACCAGTTTAAGGAAATTGATGAAAGATTCAGTTCTGATGTGGCTGATGTGTTTGATTTCGAGGTATCCGTTGAGAGAAGGACTGCTATTGGCGGTACTGCAAAGAGTGCTGTTTTGCAACAAATCGAAAACTTGAAAAGTCAACTTGTATAAACAATAGAAGTGGAACGCCTTCTGTGGACGGAATATATAAATGTTCAAGGAGAAAAGCGCCTATTCGCTCGACATTTTCAGTAAATGGTTCGCTATGTAAGAAGACAAAAGAATTCTTTTCGCCGACGGATTCAAGCTGGTTTTCTATTATTTTTGCTTGCTATGTTGGTCCCATTGGATGACTGGCGCGATGAAGAAAACAAACACAGAATATATGGCCCTTGCGATGTACATTCTAAAGATTTAAAATTTGATTGAAAGCTTTCTGCAATGAGCGCAAACTATTCTCTTCTTCATGTTTTGCCCTCCAGCCCACTAGACCGTCTGGCCTCACAAGAGTAGCTCCAAATTGACCCACGCCAAATTTCTTCACAAACTCGGCGTCATCGGAAAGTACAATATCTTTGCCAACCAGGTAAAAATCAATTGGGAGCTGTAACGACGCGCTGACAGTTTCAGTCGCAGCCCGCCATTCTTCATTTTGGGTAAGGACGACAAACCGCTTGTTGAAAAGATCAATCGTTGAGATATCTTTTCCATCCTTTTTTACCCACGCGTGCGGCGCTCGAACGCCAGGTTGTCCATGCCATAAGTCAGGTCTTTTCGCTTTAGTTTTCACGTCGTCTGGACTACAAATAGCTTTGGAAATATGCAATTGACCCAATTCCATTCCGGCGTCGTCAATGATATCTTCACCAGAGGCCCATCCTTCTGCAAATGCAGCGTAGTCCGGCCTGGCAAAAGTCTGCTGATGTCTGAGCCAGCCGATGGGTTGTCTTTCGGCAGAGTATGTGTCTAGAAGGGAAGGAGAAGCTTTTCCGTCGAGAACCAACTTCAGCTTCCAAGCCAAATTATGAACGTCGTCAATGCCGGTATTTGCACCGTAGCCACCTCGCGTAGGTGGTAATGCATGTGCAGAATCGCCGGCAAGGAAAATACGGCCTTTAGAGTAGCTTTCACAGATGGATGCGCTTAGATCCCATTGGCCGGTGGTGATGATCTCTATGTTTGCATCACTTTGACCCAGTGCCTTTTTGATGCCATCTAGAAGCTCTTTCGAATTTCTCTGTACCCCATCCCTAAACATAAGTGCCCATCTTCCGTCGTTATAAGTGGTCAAGAAGGCTTTGAGATCTGGTTGGTCAATATCGAATTGCAAAATTCCTCTTGAGAGTACTTCATCTGCCTCAGGGCACCGGAAAAGAACACTTGAAATGGTTTGCATATAGCCCCTGCCCTTGCAAGGAAGCTGGAGTGCTTCGCGAATAGAACTTTTCCCCCCATCCGCTGCGATCATGTACTGAGCTCTGATTTTGTAAGAGTGGCCCGTTTTCTTGTTTAACACTATGGCAATGACCTCCTTGTCATTTTGCTCAAAACTCAATAAAATGGTCTTTTGACGAAGATCACATCCCAGCTTAATTGCCCGCTTGCGCAAAATGGGTTCTAATTTGTCTTGTGCAATAGCAGCACCTGTGAAGGGCGAAAATTCTTGGTAAGACGAATCAACTTTTTTTTTGCCTGCCCATGATGTTTTCTCAATCCACTCGCTTGACAAATCGAAACAAGAAGCTCGACGAAGGCGAACTCCTCGTTCAACTTGAGGAATTTGATCGATAATTCCTACACTGCTAAAAAATTCCATTGTATGTTCAGTGTATCCAATGGCCCTAGGATGGGACGACGATCCTTCATGTTTCTCAATAACAATATTCGGGACCCCCCAGAATGACAAAAACAGTCCTGCATTGAGTCCCACCAAGCTACCTCCGACAACGAGGACCGGAGTTTGGATCTCTTCTAGATTTTTATTTTGATCTGAGGTTGACATGATTCAAGACGGCACTGCGATACGTTTTGAACATTGAAGCTCAGTAGGGAATCGGGCGTCCCTTCACATTCAAGTTGGCATTGGTTTTTTATATTCTTTTATACTTAGGTCCATCTCAAGAAATGCCTGGATGAATTCCGTTAATATCCAGGCGTTAAATGGAGATTGGCTATAGAATTAAGTATTTTTGACAAGTTTTGACGGACGTTAGAGAAGAGAAGATGATTGACGTCTGTAAGCTACGAAAGGTAAGGTTTCGGATCGACAGAATAATGCAGAGACTCAAAAGGGTTGGGAGTGCTAAGATTGGTTTTCGTTTCCAATGTTGTGATGTGGAGTTGATTTTGGTCAAATAACAAGTGACGCGATTTGGTAAAAGTGCTCTGGTGGAATATGATGAGAGTTACAGAGTGCAGTAAAATAGTTCCGAAGGCTTTGTGATGATACCCGATAGTATACATATTCATTAGGATTGCCGGAATCCTGAAGTGTCCCATGAGAAAGTATTTATAGACCACGTGACAAATGGGTCTTTAGTGGGTCTTCCGTGGGTCTGGAGTTCTTAAATGGGTCCCAAATGAATTTCAAGTAGCTCTTGAATGGGTCTTCTCATATTCTCTCTTTGAACATTAAGTTATTCTTTGGAATCCTTTCGAAAGAATGCTGAGGCTGTCCTTTCGATAGTAAAAACTTCTGTCACATAGCTTTTGATGACAGATGACAAACGACAAAAAAATGATGGACAGCCAAAAACGAAATACAATCTTACACGGTGAGTTCAGTAAAATATCATTGACAGAAAGTTACTCATCTTGCTGCTACTTGCGTACGTTTTGCAACTTCTTTAAGTTGATTGCACTAGTCTCCTCTGAGATTTAACACCGACAGTCTGTACTCTTCCACATCTTGAAAACCCGCCAGAAAAAACTACCCAAGCGATTAACACTCAAAATACATCATCCATGCTCCTATAAGTTCACTAACCCTTCAACGACCAAAAATACCTATAAAGTACTTCAATTGACTTCAAGAAACCTTGCCTGCCTGAGCATCCTTGCACCACATTATATAGTCACGTGATATATGCATATATACTATAATTCCACTTAACAGTTAGAAGTACCCACCCACCATTATCAACACCACCAGCAGTCTGTGTGTCCCCAGCGCCCGCATACATGAGCCAAACTCTGAGCATTGTGCCCCTACGAGAATGAATAACGGTACTTCAGACGTTTTCTGTACGGAAGTTTCTCTTTTCACCAACAGGCAACAAAAGGAACAAGAATTACACTTGCTGAAATATGCTTTGTCAACAAAAGAAGATGCAGCTCAAGCCTTGGGGCCTCTTGATCAACCTCCGCTAAAAACACCCCAAGTTCCATTTTTTGTAACCAAAGAACGGATCGCAAATACTGGCGATTGCTACGTCCTTGTACAAGGAGATCAACAGGGCGAATCCAAAATTGATAGATTTGGTAAGTTATTGGGAAGCCGTCATTTCTTATTCTCTACTTTCAGTTTAAGTAATAGGCCAAGACAAGCGTATGTGATACTAGAAGACTTGCTTAGATGTCTTGGTGTCGATTCGCCCTCTGAGCAATTCCTACAGCAGCATCAGCAGCTTTTTGGAGTTAGTGCAAACCCAGTAGAAAAACTAGCCCTGAAGGAAGCCAATTTGATAAAAGAAACTGAACTTGAAAGATCGCATCTTTTCGTTACGGCCAAATCCGTCTTTATGCTCTTTGGAGCCCGCGTTATTCTGGGAGGTGCAAGACTCGTAGATGACTATTGGGAAGGGGCCGTTAAAGAGCAGGGTTTCTCACCGCATTCTCGTGTCTTCTCAATCAGCGCCAAAGTCTTTGAAATCGCGAAGCAACTGAAGCCTACTTCTCAGCTAACAAACGATGAAGAGGAACTTGAAGAAATCTCGTCTGAACCGCCATATGTGGTTGTCTCAGAACAAACGTCTCCCGAAATCAGACAAGAATACGCCCGTCAACTGGCGCAAGGAGAGCGCCAAGAACTAATAATACCTGGTCAAAGCATCGTTGGCTCGCTCGAATTAAGCGCGCAGTCAAAACTTCCGAAATATCACAGCAAGATCTCGCTGCAAGCAGCGACCCAAATGGGAATTCAGGATACTCCGATCGGCATAATGCCAGTTGCACCAGCGGCTGCAGGAGCGACTTCTAATCCAGAAAAAATTGATAAAGAGTCATCTGATGCTACACGAGATGCTTTGGTTATATCAAAAGTGGATAAAGGTGGTATCACGCAATGGGTAAATTCAGGAATAGTTGCTCAGGATGTTTCATTGAACATCAACGGGTGGAAATTTGATTCTCTTCCGGTGAAGTCGACCAAGAATGAGGATTTGAAATTTTCCATCAAGGGTTTGCCTCTTTATGATAGCGCCAAACTAGCAGAGCGGTTGAAAAGGCTAACTCCCAATGAAATAAACGAAATGCAACATCTACACGATGCCGTCTATCTCAATACAAACCTCCAGAATGCTCGAAAAATCAGAAAGATGAGATGGACAAAATACTGGCAGTACAAGGCAGGGTTGCCTATCGGTTTGACAGATCAACAATGTGGTCCCGCCTTGGACAAATATTTTGAAAGGGCCGCTAATCACGTCGAAGTAGTAAGAAGCATTAACACTAGTTTGAACAAAGAGGAAGTGAAATATATGAGGAAAATACCTAATGCGAATTATAAAGGCCGCTCTAATAATACAGGCGTGAAGCCACCCTATGTTAATGAATGAATGACAGTTTGGAAGCGATCAAAACATCAAGCTGAGAAGAGTAAAATGTTTCTAGTTAATCTTACAATAACTTTGTTTTCACAATTTCTTGACGGATTCTAAAAGTGTGGTACGCCATGACCATCATTACGGCAACAAGCGGTATCAGCCAAATTGTTAATTTGCGCACAATTTCATCAATGTGAGGACCCCCGTTATCTCCAAAAACGTTCTGTTTGGAAGATTCCCGTATCCTTTGCTGCTCTAAAAGTAATTGTTCTAGCTTCTCGTCCATTTTGAAAAAATCTTTAAAACTTTCGTCTACCAGTGCCCCTTCTTCACCATCTTTTCCTGAGGTGGACTTGCGTGAGGTCAAGAGGGTAATGACTCTTTCCAGCCTCCTAGACTGAATATTTTGGACTTCAATCAAATCATCAATGGCTTTAGACAAGGTTGCGATGTCGTTGGCTAGAATTTTCCCTTCCAACCTGTTCATCTTCTGTAGCAAAACGAAATTGGTCACAGAATCCGCATCTCCGTTCATTTCAAGTGCAGTTTTTTCAACAAGTTCTTCTTCGCCGGTTTTCTGATTGATAACCTTGGTGAGAAGTCGGGGTTGCTCCATGATATTGGCATTAGGGATCATTGATTCTTCGGTGATGCCATCATATACTTCTAGCTGCAAAAGCTCAAAAGACTCTGCATTGTCTGCATTATCAGCAGTGACCCCCAACTTGTAGTTTTGGGCCGGTAATTGCACTTTTTTAGTCTGGAAACAGACTCTGTTATCGACTTGAACCTTGAGAAGTGGAAAATCCCCACTTGAATATGTTAGTCTGATCGTTAATGGGACTGTGGAGTCCTGGTAGCCAAGTAGACACGAACCGAAGGTTTCATCATATATGTTGGTCCCTGTAAATTTTTTTGAAGCGTCGCTCAAATGTGCACGAAGAGTGCTTCCCAGTTCACCATTGTTGTCCATCAGCAGTTGCAATCCTTCAAATTGGGAAGGACCATTGTAAAGTTTGAGATCATCGGTTCCCTTGGAATTGACAAACCACATGGCCAGCCCACCGGCTGATTTCCCTTTATGATTGATGCTTCTCACTGTCCATTCTGCAGTGAAAGATTCGCCTAAATGGTACTCTTTTTGGGCCCAAATAGAACCTTTAGAGCCCGTTTTAGGCGTCAAAACCACACGCCCTTCTTCTAACACTGCCTGGCCACCCGTTATGAAGGTGCTGGGCAGTTTTTCCAGTTTTACCAAATCTAACAACGAAAAGTCTTTATTCACCGAAACTGCTTCATTGCTAGCACTACCGTGACCCAAAACTTGGTGAGCGAAAAGGCCCAATGATATAAGCGATCTAGCTATCATGCCAACAGTTGAGATCTTCAGAGCTCTTCACAAATGTTCCTAATGGTTCCAATTTTTCTTGTTTTATACAAGATCAATGCAGGGAAGAATGTTTTGTTCTAAATAATACTATAGAGATCAACTAACACATGATAAAGTCAAAATCGTCGAAACTAACAAAGAAGTAAGGTCGGGAAAGGAGAAATGAATCAAGATCGAGGTGAAACCGCTTGGTTTTATTTTTGTTTTCTGTGCGAGCTGCCTTGTTCGTGCTTAGCTTCTTTGTCCTGTTTCCAGCGACGACGTTAGACGTCTGCTTGCAATAAAACTTTAGCGCAGTTGATTCAATCCTTCTGTGAGCATTGAAAGATAAAGGGACAGCGGAGTAGTGCGCTGTTAGTTCTTCATCTTGGTTTTCACACTCAGATCACATCTGATTCTTTGAATTTGAGACACAATTTCAATGTCCGATTTCCCATGCAGATGTGTGATGAAAAAGACGGTCAGCGATTAGAGGAGATAACTTTCCTCTTCAATATTGAAATCAATTCCATATCCCATGGCTTTTCGCCAATTTCTGTGACGTCTACTGTTTCCGAGATTTCATGGCCTGTCCAATAGCACTTGACATGTTCACGAAAAAACACCTTGTCATCATTTCCTGTATTGCAAACAGGGATTCAAACACAGTCAGCACACTCTTTGCCCGAATTTTCGCCTTCTTCGCCTGTAAGTAGAATCGTAGATTTGGCTTCTCTCTCCAGATGAGCACCAACACTGATATCGTCCAAAAGACGCGATTTGACCCTCTGTTTCAAAAACTTGCTATCTGGGAACCCGCCATCAGTCTTGCGATCCCACAGTACTATCTCATCTTGCATATCCATCTTGTATCCCATAATTCGAAACTCACCTGTTTCGCCCGGAATCAACGATAACTCTGCCAGAGAGTCTTGGAAAGTTTGCATAAGTTCTTGCACGTACCACGCACTACGTAGGTTCCATTTGCATCTAGTGCAAAACCTAATTGATACCTTTGGATATGGCATTATCTCTGCCAATGTGTCAGTTCCCAAAGCCCTTTCAGAATGAATCTTTCAAGTTGATCTAAACTCAAAATATCTTTGAACACTAGACAACAAACACATTCCAAAGAACACCGAACATATGCCGTCGTTCGCAGATAGTTTTTGGTCTGAGGACCTTTCAATAGGTGTGGATCGGCTATTTCAACAACTTCACCGAGGTGGCAGCCAGAATGCGCTATTCATACAATTGTTTGCATCAAGAATGCAGTTCGAAGTGAACTACGGCCGCCAATTGTGCACTACAACAACCAACATAGAAGGGTTTTCAGATGTTTCTGAATCACAGCAATCTTTGGATGGGGCTTTACGCCAGATGGCTATTGCCATGGAAAAAGAGGGAAACGAGCATTTGGCAGTTGCCACAGATATCGAAACTACAGTATTAAGGCCTTTCAGCCAATGGTGCGAAGAGCATAACCAAAGAGTAGAATATTCCGAGAAGATCCTAAAAAACAATGTTTCCAACTATCAAAAATCGACGAAGCACGTTGAGAAGCTCGAACAAGTTTATTTCAACAAGTGCAGACAATTTGAAGATCACAAGAGAGCTCATTTCAATGATGACGAGCTAGCAAGTGCCATGGAACAGCTGAAACTTGTCCAAGAACAAGAAACAGCCTTGGCTAAGGAAAAAGAGTTCGAGACCTTCGGCAAAGTCGGTAACCTTGATTTTGACATCAAGACAATGCGCGAAACGCTACGCCTTTTGCTCACCAAACTAGAAAAGACTGACTATAAAGTGCCATTTATAAACTTCCACTTTGAAAACACCAATAATGGTAGCGAGCTCGTCAAGTTTTTGATGGAAAATCTTACTTTGAAAGATGTGGATCAGGCAGAAGCCTTTGGACAAGACCTCTTGAATAACGGTTTCCTAAAATACTGCAATGGCGTGGGTAACACTTTTGTCAACTCCAAAAAATTCCAATACAGCTGGAAACCATATGCATACAAATTCGCACAATTGCCACCACCTAACAGCTATGGAGCTGAGGAAGGCGAAACAGAAGAAGGAACTCAAGCGCTTTCTGTGTATTTCAATGACTTCACTTCAAAGATCGCGAATTCCCAAAACCCAAATACAACTCTTCCATCGATAAAAACCACAGAAAGGGCCCTGCTGAAATACATGAAAGAAGTGGAGGCAGCAGATACACGATATCGAAAAGAATGTAAAAAACTAGATGCAATGCGATGCACTTTGGAAGAACTTATGGTTGACCATTTGACATTTATGGAAAAGTGCGAATTGGACCGACTAAGAGCTCTTGAGAAAGTAATCTTGGATTTTTCCCCGATTATCGCGAAGAACGCATCCGCTTTAGAGGACTTGCATACTGCCGTCTTGCAAACGGGGTCTGAAGTAGATCCATCCCTCGACTTGCTCAAATTGGTTGAAAGAGCCAGAACGGGAACTTTCCAACCTCACGTCATTACCTACAACAATTACTACAATCCAGGTGGGTTCCAAAATTTCGGAATTGACTTGGAGACTCGAAGTCGAATGGACAAAGAAGCTGTTCCGTTGATCGTTTCTTCAATTCTGTCGTTCATGGATCACATCTACCCGGAACTTCCTAACGATAAAGTGAGAACTACCGTGTGGACTGTTCCCGTGAAGCTGTATTCGACCCACCAATTGAGAGCGTCATTGAACGAGGCTCCTTTTGAAGACGCGACACAAATTACCAAAGTATTGGAGAAGTATATCTCAGAACCTAGCACGATAGCCAGTGTTCTCAAAATCTACTTTCTGGAGCTGCCTGAACCTTTGATCTCCAAAGACGTATACGATATCTTGAAGGCTCTGTATTCGGAATTCCCACCTTCAACAGTGACGAGTGAAGAACAGGCCGCAATCGATTCTCAAAGAGTCAATGGTATAACGTCCTCATTTAACTCCTTATCAAAACCACACATTGCAACACTGGATGCGCTTACATCACATTTTTCCCGACTCGTCAAAATTTTGAAAATGGGATCGTCCGCATCCAGTGGGACTTTGGCGGACGATTTTGTTCGCTCGGTTTCTCAAGAATTTGCAAACTGCATCATCAGGGTCAAACTGGAAGACGGAAATAATTTGGGCTTCAAGATTTTTTCTGATCTACTTCTCTATCGTAAGCCAATCTTTCGCAGTTTGAAGAGACAAAACTCCAAATCCCGCGACGAAGAAAGTGCTTGAAAATAATAGCTTTTGTATCTTTACCTTAAAAGGCAGAATGCTCGATTTAAAAAATCTCGTTAACCTTCGTTACTATACAACGCTTGGGAAAGTGTATATTAATCTCCAAGCCCCAATTTACCTAATCTTGATTCCTATTTCCTTTGTCCTGCTTATCGGCGAACAGCATACGCGGACGAAATCGTTCTTGTTCCTCGGGACTCAAAGTTCTTTCCTTGACAACCTTGCCCCTTTTGTCCACATATTGTATCGAACTTCCTAATTCTGGATATTCTTGTATGAGTTGTTCCTTGCGTCTTCTTCTGGTCTCTTCACTCGGTACCGAGCCCGAATCAAAAGGGTTTTCCAAAGTTTTTGACTTTATCATAGTTTCTTCAGCCTCTTCATCGGAAGAGATGCACGACCCTGAGTTGTTATTCCAATCTTTGGCAAGTTCGAACGTCACAACTTTATCACTGGGCGTTCCTGGCGTCTGCTTGGCCTCTTTTCTTGGAAAATCATCACTGCTTTGATCCATTTCCCAGGTGTCAGCGTAAATTTCTGGGATTGCCCTTTTGGACGTATCCAAAGGATCTTGCATGATTGAGGAGAAATCCGGCGGCAGAAGTTTTGGAGCACATTGCAGCGACGATGGTTTTGTAGGAGGTGCCAGAAACCCGCTCTGGAACCGTTCTGAGCTCCCACTACTACTTTCAGGGAAAAGTACGCGCCCAACGTTACGAAATTCTTGCTGATTTTCTCCAAAATCGAGTTTTTTCCGTGCACTTTCAGATGGCTTTATAGGAGTGTATTCTGGAGTTCTAAGACCTCTAATGGGGGACGACCGACGTCGCGGTGATTTCAGTCTATTGAAAGGAAGCGAACTAGGTTTGGCACCCACACTTCCTGGTGTTACCGGAACTGAAGGCTGTGTGTGGAATCGGTGTGGTGACATTGGAGGAAGATCGCCTCGAGGAGGTTCCAGCATCACTGGCTTTTCAGATTTATTTCTGGACCTGGGAGGAGTGGCCGGTACCATTTTGCCGGTAATTCCAGATCGAAAAGTTGCGAAGAATCGTCGACAACTGGTGTCTATAAAGAAGAAAACCTGGAGTCAATTCTAGCTCGATATTTGATCTCTTTTATTCCGGAATTGATCATAAATCATGTTAAATATTGTATCAAATTTCACCTTATAGACCCAGCCATCATATTTAATATTATTGCTAGTATTTAGAAATTGGGTGAAAGATCCAGCCCAGCTATAAAATCCTCATAGTTAAGGGAAAGAATTCAATGATTTGAGTTGAGGTTACTGGCGGGGAGCGAGAATTGCGACTTGGTGCGGAACCGGTTTTCACCTTGTGGAATGGCCAACTAGCGGACAAAAAAGGACGAGGTCAGTGGGGGAAAAAGTGATGAGGGGAAAGGAGAGGTCAGTCGTGTAGAAATGGCCCAGTTGATCGGAAAACAGTGTATTTGAGGTTCTTTATAGTGCTCTTAGGTGGTGAAGCCAGATTGTATGCGTAAAGAATGCACATAGATCACGCGACTCAACGTCAGGTAAAGATAAAGTGATTTGGAGCTCAAAACATTAAAATGTGTCAACAGTGACCACCAGTGCTTTCAGTATCGAAAGAAAAGGTTTAATTCCATTTCGATGTCCATGTTTTCCAAAATCTCGTCAAACGCTTGCAAGGTGGTGTTTTTTTCCACCCAGCATTCTTTGACGAATTGATTGCGGTATCGACAGTGACACAATTGAGTAGACAAAAGTCTCAATACAATCTCAAACCCTACCCTAGATCTAAATAATCCAGTAACAAAGTCTTAACCTACCTGTCGCTGAACATTCTCTCTAAAGCTTATTCCGAAACTAATTATCACACTGGACGATGAGAGTCTTTCCAATATATACAACAGGGACCCTTCAGCTAACGAGATGGATCCCACGCTTTTGGGCATCACCGACTTGAAGAGCAGCTCCCAGTTCCACAAATCCGACGGATTTCATTGTCACTGCTATGGTATGTACCCTCTGATCTCCAGATTTGCCTCTCCCCCCGATTTACAGATCGCTAACCTTATCCTTTTTGCCTAGAATGCCTTGTTCAACCATGCGACAAAGCAGAAAAACCTGCTGCAGCGAGACTTGGCTAAATTCGAACAGGACCTTACAGTAGCACCGATTTCGTTACAAGGTTCAATAACAGCCACTTTAGTATCATTCGAAAAGACTATTCAACAATATCAGGAACATTTGTCGAGATTTCACACAACAAACTCCGGTGAAGACGAAACCTCAAAGCTGAAATACGAGACCAGACTCCAGAATTTGCGAAATGAGCATGACACTGCGAAGAAAAGGTTCCAGGATCTGAAAAAACAGTGTAATGAAATCAATTCCCGGGAAAGACTTCTGAAATCAAGTAGTAACCCGTTCGACGAAGACTTCACGGTAAACAAACGCAACACAGCAACATCCAATGCACTAAACAATACCAGTAACACTACCGCGAGCTCATCATTGCCCTTGTATCAAGGTTTACAAAAGGAACAGTCTGTTTTTGAACGCGGTAATGCACACCTTGACTATATCTTGGAAATGGGGCAGCAATCGCTGGACGACATTATTGACCAAAATGCGGTGCTACAAAAGATGGAAGAGCAGATGACTAAAAGTATGCGGACATTGGGAATGTCCAATGATACTATCGCTAAAATCAACAAACGCGTCTTCAAGGATAAGTTCATATTTTGGATAGGGTTTTTCCTCATGCTTTCTGGGTTTTATTTTGTGATAAAACTGCTTCGGTAGTTACCACAATCAAGCATATGTACAATAACTAAAGGGAGAACGTCATCATCTCCGCACATCCTCTCAGGTTTAAGCATCCCAATAAATACAGCTGGATCTTTCTCCTGCTTTAATTGTTTGACCCGGTAGTAGCTGAAGAGTGGTCAAGAGGTGTTTTTGCATGTTCTCTTGAGAAGAGCTCAACTCGTTACCAGGTTCCAAAAGCTGAGGAATATTTATAGGTCTGCAAGACTTAATTTTCTTGCCGTTACCAAGTTGACCTTGGGTATTCGATCCCCACGCTAGTACTTCGCCATTCTCTAACTCGGCTAAAACGTGGTCAGTTCCACAGGACCATTTCGCAATTTTTGATGGTCTAAAATTTGGAGCAGAGCTGTCGTTTGAGGCTTCGTTCACAACTTTCAGTTTCGTTGGATCTTGTTGACAATGCTTGAAGTTACCATTCCCCAACTCGCCGCTTATTCCGCCACCAAATGAAAAGTACGTTACTTTATCCAGATCATCGCGCAAAGATTCATTACCTCTACTTCTGATGAGCTTGTGAATATCTTGCGGCACAACACTGACAAATGAGGTGTCTCCCGATGCATTGACATCGACGCACTTTAGGTAAGTGTCTCTTGGGAAATGAGCGCTGAATCCACTCACAACTTTTGGGAACGGGAGGTACTCCATGTCATATCTTATGGGCTGGCCCAACTGACCATGGGTATTGAGCCCAAAAGAGTAAAGTTCACCCAATGAGTCAAGAGCAAGGGTATGGTAATCCCCACAGGTGACCTTCTTGATTGTTCGGGCAACACCTTCGCTCCCAGCGGTACTATGATTCAAAAGCTCAATCTCATATATTTTATTGCATTCTGGGAATGGATCGAATTGTGAGAGAATTGGAACGCCGAATTGACCTCTGGATTTGGCTTCCTGCGCTTCTTTTAGTCCTGTGGCGCAAGTATACGCCTTTCCTGTGTTGGACAAAAAAACCAGATGCTCTTTACCAACATCGAAATGGGTAATTTTATTTTCGTGACGGCCTGAAAAGGCATTCTTAGTGTCTAGTTTGTGGTCGTATTGGCAGTGTCTCCTCCATGGTCGTAGCCACGATCTGTGCTTGCGCAAAAATTTGGATCTCTGCTTAGGATCGGCCAGCGGAACGATCAAAAGGTCGCCTTTCTTTGTTAGTGCGTAAGCAACACCGTTCGATGATTTAGCCGAGAGCAGATCTTGATCGGCCAGAATCAATTTTTTAGATTTGGTGTTCCAGGTATACAAATCTCCGTTTTTGTCGATAGCTAGATTAGCATTTTCAGTTGAAAGGCACACGTCCCTCAGTTTCTGGCCATCAAAATGGGCAACTCTCAAAGGAAACTTACTGTTTTTGTGATCATTACGACCAGAACCCCAATAGTAAACGCCCGGAACGCTGCTGGGAGGCTCCGAGGCTGGAATCTTAGGAAACTCCAATAACGTCTTCTCGTCCCTCCGTTTCTTCAAGAGTTCAATTGCATCATCATCCAAAATGCTTTTCTCAGCCAACCACCAACTTTTGATCTGTGGCCATTGCATGTAAGTCGTGTAAGCGGCTCCCACGCCCACAACCAAAAAAAGACCTTGGAAAACTGCGCGAAGCTTCATCATACGAGCCATTCGATCGTTATGCTCTTCCTCCATCTCTTGGGCGGACCTTTCTGCCCATTGGTAGGTGTCTTTGCCTCTTTTGGCTGTGTATGATGCCTTGTTTAACTTCCCCGCTAGAAGCTCAGCATCGTCATATTTGGGCACATTTTGAAGCAGGGGTCTGCAGTTGGTCAAAGAACGCTTTGCCTGTCGTCTCACAATTCTCGTAATCATCGAAAACAAGCTATAAAATGGTACTTTTCTACCTAGTTACCAGTTTCTATGATGGATGGTCATCGGCTGCATTATCCAATTTGAATATATACTGGATTGATATCATTGTGTACGAAGACTTGACAGCCTTAAATTAACAATAGTGGACCAATACAATCGATATAAATCTAGCAGTTGCAGATGGGAAAGATATGACATCAAGTACAAAGCGATCAAGACTGTTTGAAACAATGCTACAAACTCGTCTCAGACTTTCACCGCAATCTCCAATTTTTCGTCGTTCTTTTCATGGCACTTTCATCGTGCAAGACCAAGATCCCGTCCATATACGAAATACTAACCGATTTCGACAATTACTCGTGGAAAAGGGGGAATTTGCGCCACAGCAAGCCAATGCGTTGGTAGATATCATGTCTGAGGCGTTGAAGGGCGGTGTTGAACATGTATCACAAGATTTGGCCTCTAGACAACGGCTCATACAGCTGGTTTCGCAGCAACGAGTCGACTTTTCAAAGCTGAGAGACCAACTTTTATCGGCAGATCGTAGTGAATTCCATTCCATACAAAGTGAACACGAAGGTATACGGAATGATTTGGAGAAAATGCGTACGAAATTGAGAGAGGAGATTACAAGGGCCAACGCGGGCTTCAAGCTGGACTTGTCGCTCGAAAAGGGTAGAATACGCGAGGAGTCCAGCCATCACGACATGCAGATCAAAGAAATCGACACCCGAATCGACCAGGAAGTAAGCAATATGAAAATGCAGATCGACTCTGTCAAGACCCAAGTGATGCAATGGCTCATTGGAGTGTGCACCGGTACATTTGCACTGGTATTGGCATACGTGCGTTTACTTTCCTGATCGACGAAAGATTGGAAAAACACCAGTTCAAAAAATTCTACAGCGTAAAATCTACGTAAGTTGTGCTTAATAGTAAAAGCCCATTACGACCACCACTTATTTCAAGTTGAATAGTTCGCGCAAGATCTTGACAGTGTCGTTTGGAGTCTGCACGGTGTGTCCGATGGTTCTGTCATCGGTAAAGATCTCGTAATCGTTACCACCAACCATGGTCTTGTCACCGAAAAAGTGGATCTCCTTGAAACCGTCTTGCTGCACGTGCTGCAGACAGTAAGTCTTATCCCAGCCAGTAGGGAAGACGTCGAAGGAGATCTGGCCACCAATGGAGAAAGTCAATTTCAAGTGTGAAAACTCCTTTTTCAAGGCCTCGACGAACTTGGCTCTGATCTGGTGTTTCTTGTCGTACTCCTCGTATTCGTTACGTTCCGCAGTGGAAGCGTTTCTACCGATTGGAGACACATTGATCATACCGTTTCTGAATTCCAAGAAAGTACCTCTTCTCTTTGGCAATTCAAGGTTCGATAGATATTTCAAGATGAAAACCGATAGCTTGTTGTATTCTTCTTCACCAATCCAGTTGATGAAAGATTGAGAAGCCAATTTCTCGCCCAATCTGTAAGCAGTTAGACCATTTTCAGAAAAAGCGTAGTCGAACTCGTTCAACACGTTAGGACCCAATTGTTCGAGCTGTTTGCTCAAATCGGAACCACCAACAAATCCGATAACGACCTTCTTTCTTAGTTGGGCCAATGTGTCTCTGACTTCATCAGAAACAGTAAGTCTGGCAGGTGTTAGAGTACCGTCGACGTCGAAGAGAACCAGCGTTTGCGGCTGTTCTTTGTAGCTAAATTCTTGCGCAACCATGTTTAAAAACGAGTGAAAGAGTCGAGTTGAAGCTCAAGGATCTTAAGAGTAAACAGATCTTGAACAACAATGTTGAATTGAACATTGCCGATGCGCTGTCTTTTTAAATACATCGATTTTCATATCGTGTGATTTGGTAGGGTAATGATAAACGGGAAAATTTTTGATGGTAAAGACTGTAGGTAGGGTAAGGAAACAGGATCAAAACGCGAAAAAGAGTAAGACCCACAGATCGTTTACGCGTCTGGGTGGGCAGAACTATAATTATTAGCATGTGAGGATCGTGTCCATGAATGATGATTTTCGTAAAGGAGGTACTTGGAAGGGCATTGGATGTGATAAGGCTGTGAACGTGTGAATTTAAACGTAGTGAAGTAATTGAAGTTTCTCTTGTGGTGTGCTTTGTCTGAGAGAAGGTACTCACTTTGAATTGGCTAGCGTGTGAAGAGATACGAAATGAGTGGGTCATAGTCTGACACGAAACGTGGGTCGTGAAAAGCAAGTGGGTCGTAGTTTGACACGACATGTGGGTCCTTTACCCAAACCTAATCAAAAAAGTGGCGCCGGGTCATCGAAAAGTGGGTCTTTTCCCTCACTGGGTCCTAGTTTTACACGAAAAATGGATCTCTTCCGTCACTCTCGCACACCTGCAGATATCACTAAGCTTTGAAATTAAATTCTACACATATCAAAAACTAGTAAATTATAACCAAACTCTTGACTACTAGACCATTTAAGCCTTGGCAAAGAAGTCTGGGAACTCTCTGACGTTTTCTTCCAAAGAACCCTTCTTGGACAAGAACTTGACGAAAGCACCATCGTCCTTGACCTCACCAGCGTCTCTTCTTCTAACGTATTCAGCTCTGTTCAAGTTGGTGAAACCCCACTTCTTGGACATAATGATCTTTTGTTGACCTGGGAACTTGTAACGGGCTCTTCTCAAACCTTCAACAACAACGTCCTTGTTGCTGTCCTTGGTTCTGACAGAGAAGATAATTTGACCGATAGCAACACGAGCGGCCAAACCGTGGGGCTTACCCCAGGCACCTCTCATACCTTGTTGCAATCTATCGGCACCGGCACACGACAACATTTTGTTGATTCTCAAAACGTGGAATGGGTGGACTCTGACTCTCAAGTGGAAAGCGTCTCTACCGGAGATCTTGGTCATGTACTTGTTGGCGCAAATACGAGCGGCTTCCAAAGCTTCAGAAGACAATTGTTCCAATTCGTTGGAAACCAAGTGGACACATAGAGGGAACTCATCAACGGTGGCCTTCTTCTTACCCAAATCGTAGATTCTGATCTTGGAGTCTGGGACGGCTCTGTTGTATCTAGACTTTGGGTAAGGCTTGTTTTTTTGGTATCTGTAACATCTAGCTGGTCTTCTCGCCATCTTGGATTGTTGAGTTAGGTACTACGGAGGGAAATAACAAGAAACTTCAAAAGCCTCATCAGAATATAATGTGGTGAACACTGGGAAAGGTTTGATTTTTAAAAGTCTTGCCTGGTGTGTCGAGAGAGAGAGAGCAGTGTGAGAACGGGAAGACGCTGACAAATTTGCTTTCGTGTAGAGTGACTATAATTCGCGAGTACTCCATGAAATATATCACGTGCCTGGATTTTTCAGTGCGTTTGTTTTTTCCTGGGTGTAAGGGTGGATACATTTTTTCAAAAGAGTTTGGAATTAGATGCGTTTATTTTTTGGATCGTTAATGGTGTATGGGTGTGAGCAGTCACAAGAGAAGTATAATTGTTTTTGGTCGGATGATTCTTAGGACATGAAGATATTCTTACTCTTTGTATTTAGCGTGTATAAATACTGTAAAGAACACTTGTGATATGAAGGGACTCCAAACCCGGAGGCAAGCCAGGAGTGGTGTTTACTGTATTTGGGAAGCCGCGCTCTTTCGATTGTAGCAGCATCTCACAAACTGGCCGTACATCAAGTTCGAGCGCCAAACGTTGCCGCACCAGCAGCAAATGTATCCAGCTCTCGTCTCAATAGTCTCAAACATTGAACTTCTGAATGGCCTCTTGCGGGAATATATCAAAAGATTCGGTGACAATATGGAGTACTGTTCCGATGTATCGTTCCACACGGTAATGGCTTCGAATTTGATCTCGGCGGCTAAAATTGGCTTCTTTCTTTTTTTTCTCAACTTGAGAGCGACAGTGCCGTGTGAAATGACTCGTTTTAATCTTTCAATTATTTTTCATCAGCTGACCTCATCTCATCTCATCTCATCTCATCTCTTTAAAATTTTCCACACACACACACACAACTCGAAGGAATCCACTCCAAAGAACAACTCCCCAGTTGATCCCAAGAATTATCTCACAACCACACATCCATCATGGGAAGATACTCAGTTAAAAGATACAAGACCAAAAGAAGAACCAAGGATTTAGACCTTATATTCGAGGATTTGACGTCTCCGGCTAAAATCCAACAGCTACTAAACCAGCCATTAGACGAAACCAAACCTGGTTTGGGACAGTTTTACTGCATACACTGCGATAAATATCTCGAGACCGCTATTGCACTCAAGACACATCTCAAGGGTAAAGTTCATCGTCGCAGAGTAAAAGAATTGAAAGGCATTCCCTACACCCAAGAAGTCTCAGATGCCGCTTCAGGGCTCAATCTGCAGAAGTTCTTGAACCGGGTCGAACAAATAAATACTCAAAAGGGACCAAATAAGGAAGCAAACGAAACGGAGCTAAAAGCGCATCTGGACTCAACTTTGGAAAACGTAGCAACTACGGAACCCACTCTACCGCATCTTGTGCAACCTGAGCCAGTGGAACAGGATATCCAAAACATCAACGGTGGCGAGGTTCAAATGGAATAAATGTTTTTTCGTTAGCGCGCTGGCTTATGAAAACGGCTGCAGTGCAGCACAATTTCTTCCAGGTTCCTAGGCGAGGGGTTGTGAACTTACTTTAAATAATACAACACCCCAAAAACGGTTTAAAACAAAACTTATTTACTCTGTCCAAAATCAACGTGGCCCGTTGTTTCCGCATGACGTGCAACGTCTCGCTCACCCGCCAGGATCTCGGAACACACATTGCATTGGATACGGTCGCGTGCCGTGTTGAATGAAAAACCTTGGTTCTTTAACTTCACTGCCACCTCCTGTGCTCTAGCCAGCACTCGATCGACATTTTCTGAGTGTTGGCTCAGAACCCTAGAGATTTGGCCGCTAACTTCATTTACAACTTCCATCGCATCATAGTGCACCCCGTTGAATGCCACCATGATAAAGTCATCAAATTGGTGCTCGTTAAACTTCTCAAATTTCCCCGCGTCAACATCCAACACAAAGATTGCCAGTCGCAGAGCCTTTGACAAAATGGCCAGCTCTATGCCCCCTCCCCAAGAGCTTTTTTTCAGTATCCATTGAGCATATTCCCTATTGGGTCTACCCAAAATAGCATCAGAGTATTCCAATGGGTTCGATATCACCTCTGCTGCCACTTGTTCCCTAAACGGCTGTGAATGCGAAAAATTACCATATGTGCAGTGAGAAATTGCATGGAACATACAGGAGTTGTCATCCGGAACCGAATAAAGCTGCAAAATCCGATGGGGCCATATGCCATCTAGTGAAATTTGATTTTCTCGCAATTTGCGGGTGGCAGTAGAATCCGTCTTACTACTCTTCTTGAGTGGTTTTTCTAATTTGTCATTTTGTAACGTTGTCGTTACCGTTTTCCCAGTCAACACCACCTTCTCTCCTGAACTTATACCGATATCTTCCAATTTCTGTTTTTTGGTCACCTCAGTCACCTGCACAGTTTGTGGAGGGAACCCGTATCGGACAGACTCTATGGCGTTGCTGATGCCCGAATCTTTAGAAACCAAATTCAAGAATTCAGATAAGTCGCAGTCGCCATCAATATCTACAATTTTGGTAGCCAAACCGGCACCGCTAACTTTTACTCGCATCTCTATAAATTTACTTAATATGGTCGACTATCTATAGCTTGGCTTGAGTGGAGTGAGAGAACTGGAGACGACTACTTCAAGTGACCAATGCTTTAAGAAAACCTGCCCCATATGAGAAAGTAGGCAAGCAGAATCTTTGGGTATTATTTAGATCGTTTATGACGAGGTGGTCTTTTGGAGCGTCAGGAAAATATAACGGTGATCCTCTCGATGTGAGCTAGCCTAAGGAAGTTCGTTCTCAAACCTCCCGGGTTTTAGGTTCTAGTTCCTATGTGACTACAGATTTGACTTGTTTCAGCTAAAATTCATTAATCAGAAGCTTTGTTTTTTGAACTTTTCTCGTTTTCTACCAACCCTGGCGCACATCAAAGATATGGATCTGGTGACATTAATACGATCCTGACTAACAAGTAAGGAGAACCCAGTAGAATAAGTCAGTACTTTCTCCACCTAAATTAATTTTGCTTATAGTAAAAATATGTAAACCGGTCTATTCACATTTTTAGTGGTTTGATCATATTCAAGGACATGTGAAAAGATCCGATCCAACGCCTGGAATATATGAAGATGCCTTTAAATCTAAAAACCATAAAACTCAAAATGAAAATATACCCAACGTTCTTAAACCCCAGTGTTAGACTTTTGGGCTTTTTTATTTTTATTTTCGTCTCGTCTTGGATAATTATGTCGCCGGAGAACAGACGCATAAAATAAGCACCTAGCTCATCGCCTCGTCAAAAGCGTCAAAATTTTTTTCATACGAAGGCTCGAGCTCAACAGAGGCCGATTGTTCAGACCAAGGCAGTTTGACTTTTCGAGATTGTAGAGTGCTGACAGACAATTCGACAATCGTGCTCTGAACAATTGCAACATTGGGGGCCAAAGCCTCGAGAACCAACTTAATGAGAGTACCAATGAGCAGCTGTCACCAATTGGGCCAAATGGCATCGGACTACAAATTCAACCCAAGAGTACCGCTGAAACTGTACCTGAAAACGTGCGTAAGTTTGCTGGAGGAAGCGCAACAATCGTTCCAGCTGGGAAATTTGCAACGCTCGTACATAATGTACCTCCGTTACCTAGATTTATGCACCAAAAAATTGCCGGCCCATCCTGATCTGCACACACTTCAAGGTGACACAGACCGCGCTCTCGCCAGGAAAGGATATTTGCAACTACTGAAATTGGAAGTCCCCGCAATTCTCAGAATTTCGGAAGACCTGAGGGTTCAACTAGAAAAATCTTTCGCACAACAGGCAAAATCGCTTGCGTCCAACGTTCCTAGACCACGCACATACTCCAAAGAAAAACTGGAAAAGATCGAACTTCCGTCCACTTTTAGTGAAACCCGTTTCAAACAGTCTCTCTCGGTGTTACAACACAATACCGAAAGATCGACAATAGCATTCAATCAAAAGGAGGCAACCCTCGTATACCCTGAACTGCCGCAGCTGGGTCACCCGTTTTACGCATCCTAGGCGACCATTTGATTGGTATATCAAAATACGCGAACCTAAAAAAAGGCTCGCAACTCATGCATTAATCAAGTAATTTAGAGCATTTTGTAGTTCGCATGCATCAACACTACCGCTATTCTTCTTGGTATCGTTAACCAAATTCACGAGCTTGTTCAACCTGCCCAAAAAGTCTTCTGTTTCGCTAATAGAGATCTCACCATCGAGCAGTTGGTCCACAATGTACCTCATGTACCGCTGATACTGTTTCTTTTTCTGTAGGTTTAGATTTAGGGCCTCTTCGTTCCCACTATGCTTGTCAATCCAGCTTCTTAACGTATACCTTTGAGCATTGTGGGTCTCGCCTGAGCCGCCAGGTAAAACCTCATCAGCGTCGGCGTCGAAAAGGGTCTTGAAATGTGATAACATTTGACTGACAGCAGCCTCACTTTCAGCTGTTTGAACCTTACCACTTTGCCGAACTAAAGAAAGAATACGCTCCTGGCGCCACATCAAGGCTAGAAATAGAATGATGTTTACAAACATCAAAACATTTGTGAAGGATAGCCAAAAAGGTTGCGTTCGTTGTACAGTAGTGGTGGCGCGAGTGACAACCGGTTCCTCGGAAACTACCACAGCTGGCTTTTCTTGATCTTTCGCACTGTCAATCGAGCGCTTGGATGGAGATTGCCTCTTCCGTAACGTGCGCTTCTCCCCAGCAGCTGGGCCAGCAGCAGAAGCCGAAGTGACGAAATTTTGCACATACTTGTCCAATAGAGCTACCAAAGCGTCCGTGGCTTGGATTTGACCCGCTCTACAGCTTTTCTCGATCATTGACTTGATCCAGCTCCCGCCGGTCCACTCAATCCAAAACGAAACTTTCAAATTGCTAGTGGTCTCAGAGGCCCACCGCAGCATGTATCTCGTTTTTACCACAAAACTGTTCCCGCTGGGAACGTCAGGAGTTTTTGTTGCATTAACGAGGCTGATACGCTCATTGTAGTTTAAACTCAAAAGAGTTTCAGACACCTCGCATTTGGTAGACTTTGGACCAACAGAAAAGTTTAAAGCTTTAGAGTAAGTGTAATCGCGAAATCGTTTGCCGTCTTCATTTGTGCCTTCAAAAGCTCCAATAGTGGAGATATTAGAAGAGCTCTGGCCTGTCAAAAATTCCACCAAGAAATCCGGCTTGCTATCACTAAAGATCAATTGAAAAATAACCCCCGGGGGAGCATCGAAATCCTTGTCTGCCAAAATCGTTTCGTTGTTTTTTTCTGGCTCATAATCAAATTGTGTTTCACTGGAAGTCGTAGGCCCATCATATTCGAATCCACTATCAATTTTGAATGTAAAACCTTTCTGACTAGACAGCAATCCGTTCTTGAGAGACGAGACACTGGTGGCAGCTGAGCTTGAACAGGTTTTCTCTAACAGAAGGGCAGCCCTTTCCTCGGCGTTTCTTTCAGCCCTGGCGTCTCTGCTAATAGCATCTTTTCCCTCTTCTTCTTCTTCGTCGTCGTCGTCGTCGTCGTAATCATCATCGTCATCAACATCATCATTATCGTCATAATCATTGAGACCCTTAACGCTACCGCGTTGATTGTCCTTATTCATGACGATTGTAGGGATGATATCGTCAACAGAAAGTATAGCATCTTCGATTATTGCATCGTTTTCGCTTATGATAGATGAGCGACTAGGTGGCTCATGGGATGGGGGCCTGTCCAATGTAGTGGCCAACAATTCACTATAAGATCTTCGGAGATTTCCCTGTGCGCTTGATGGCCGTGTGACACCGTCAACTACGAAGCCATCGCTTAAAGAACGTTCTTTGTATTTTTGCCAAACTGTTTTGATAAACTCAAAAGTCGTGTCGCGCGAAATGAAGCTAACAAACTGATGCTTTCCTAGCCGTGTTTCGATTGATATGCCATTTGGAAAAAGTCCTGCGGTGGAGGTTTTTTCCATCAAGATTATGTCCATCATTGAGATAACAATGTGAGTTACCCATCCTAACAAGTTGGAATTGAAGCATATATTGGCTTCTGTGATATAAATCCTTCCCTGAAACAAAAACTCCCGACTAAGCGCACAGCTGAAATCATCAAGAAGACGATCGCTGTCGGGCACGGATTTGAAAATTCTATGCAGTTCAGAATTTCTATCTTCAATGGCGTAATGATAGACCGTGCCAGAAAACCTTTCGTCGACGTAGAGCTTCCGGTTGAACTCAGTGACCAGTTCATTTGGTTTCTCCATCTCTCGAAGCGGGGAGGTAGGAACATTGCTCTCGTTGCTAATCGATCTTCTTGATTTTCGAGTGGGTGTAGCTTTGCGGTGAGATATTATGTTGGGTAAAGTTTGCGTTCCGGACTCTGAGCTTGTTCTGGAATGTGTGAGTGGCTTGGCGGGCGTCGAAGTTGATCCTTTAAAGTTGAAAGATGTCAGCATGTTATTGAAAAACGAGCTGTTCGCCACATCTTCTTCCACTTCAGGTATTGGCAATTCTTTTGGATCCTTAGTTTCTTTCGAAGACCCAATAATCTGAGTGACGGAATTGAGCGCTGATCCATTTTTTGAAGACGGGCTATTGACCCCAGCGATAGGATCAAGCGCAGTAAGCTGCGGATCTGCTGGAGAAGACTTCAAGCCCGTATTGTCGACGGAGGTGATGGAATTCCGGCTGGAATTTTGAAGTGACCTGATGGGTGATCGTGATACCTTGAAATGGTCTGCAGCGCCATTTTCTGTAGGCATTGCAGTGGCAGAGGACACACTTGGGCTTCGTCCATCTCGTGCATAGGTGTCTTCACTGTCATCAACGGGTTCCCAATTGTCGAAGTCCGAATTTGACATTTAAACGTGTGGTAAGGTACAGGCACCTCGATTACACCCATACAAATGTGGCCTTATTTTTAGTCGAAATCAGAGCTGGAAGGCCGGTCACAAAACCAGAAAGAGACGGTTAACACTGGGAGATACAGGATACCTATCAGTCTGTGATCCCTACGGTGTCTTACGGGTTTAGACACTCTATGCAGCACTTAATAATAGATCAGGCCCTTTATACAGTCAAAATTGCATGCAAGAGATTCTTCAAAACCAAATATTACTTTGAACCCCGTAATTCACTAGCTCTCTTTTTTTGCCCCTCCGCAAATCGCCAACAATATGCTGCTAATCTGGTCTCCTTGTGTGCGAATGCAGTACAGCTTTTCGGACCTTAAAATCAGTCAAAAACGACTCGATTTTGCCTCACCGAATTTTCCAAACAGTGAAACCTTACCGCTAATAGACAGCCTCTACGCTTGCAAACTGTTCAAACAGTACCAAAAGTCCACAATCGTCACTCTTATACTCTTTTTCTACCTTGAAATGTTCGATTGTGAACTGCAATTCATCATCGTGTGTCATCGTCCATCATTACATGTGCTGTAATAATTCATTACATCATATAGTGTGAACAGGCCTAAAGTTAAGCTACATCAATAGTCAAGTCCGATCCGGTATAAGGCCTGCGGACCCGTAGTACTGACCTATAGTCCAAGGTGGATCAGCCAACAAGCGGATGACTACGACGATTGGTATGCTGCAAAACAACGGGTTGGTCAACCCTCAGGTGCAGAAAGTGGGGAGCGTGAGTAACGGGCTCAAGGCTGGAGAAATGAACAGCAAAGAGCCGGGCGTCGGCAAAGACTTAAAAAACCACAACATAGGTAATCTGAAACAAGAAACAAAGTCCAAACCGGTCGAACTTCCGCATGTAGCGGTTAATCAGGAACCGTTGGCGCTTTTGATTCGAAACCTGACAGTTTTCTCAATCAAAGAACTTGCACAGTTTTTCAAGACCAGCGTGCACTCGAACCAAGACCCTAGTGCGAAAAAGACTACATTTTTGCAACTGGTGGTATTTTTGCGAAACCAATTCCTCAAGCTTTACGTTTTGGTGAAATGGTGCCGTACTCTTAAGCATAACAATTTCAACACAATGATCGATCTGCTAAATTGGTTTCGTGGCTCCAACATGACCGTCAACAACTGCATATGGGCATTGAAAGCTAGTGTGGCAGGCATGACAAATGCCAAGCTGCCAAACCCGGACCTCATAACAGCGCTGGAAGTCCTAAGTCTAGGGAGACCCAATCTGCCGTCGCACAACTTCACACTCAGTGGCGAGGAGGGAGCCCAAGGAGGTGCCAAGAAATCAGTTGTTCCGCCGAAACTCATTTTGAAGACACTGCGGAATATGAACATCATCTTATCAGTAAAAATCTCCCTCATGGAAATTCCTGATCAATTCAGACACTATACTGTGAACGATGGGAGGCTATACGTCGTGGTGGAAGATGAATTCGAAATTCAGTTATCCACTACCGACCAAGCATCCCCGCTTTTCTTCGTCGACCTGAAGTTATTGTTCAATGAGGCTTTGCCCTTGAACAAATACATGCTTGAAAAAGTCATTAACGAGGTGTTGTTTAAAAGTCCGAAACCTCTATTTGCATTATACAAGCTTCTTCACAACTACGTGCTCTCAGTCCAAATGTACATGATACATGCAGACCTCTTGAGTTTGGAGTCCAACAGCAAATATGCTGGCGGTAATCTGGTACATCACTATGATTCACGAAAGACAATTATCAACATTAGGTATTGGTGCAATAGCCGGCTTAAAGGCAAATGCAATGCCATAATTGCTGTGGAAGAGGCTTCCGGAAGTATTATTCTGGAGTGGAATATCGAAGAGGTTGCAAATGGAGAAATCGCAGTTCCTTTGCGATACGTTAATGTGCTGAGCAATCTGGGAAACATTCTGGATGAGATTATGTTTAACCACTCACAAATGATAAAAACAGAATTGTTGTCCACTGGAGTGTTGCAGGAAGACGAAGAAGTTTCAGATGCTCTACTTTTTAATGTTCCCTCTACCCCGGCATCGGTCATTCCCATTCAAATTAAAATCAACACAATAAGTGGAGTCTTTTACGTCAGAAATCCGAGCAGTTTGTTGACGTTTTACATTAACCAGATGAATAAGACCAGCACAACTGAGGAATTTGTCAAAGTTCTAAATAAGCTCAAACTGGACAAAATTATTTCAATTTTGGGAAACATGTTTGAAAAAGTTGGCTGGACCTCCAACAATGTTGTTAAACTTGACGCCCCAGTCTCAAAAGACCCCAGCTGGGCGCAAAAGAAAATCTTGTTCCGAGAATTGTTTATCAGACTCGAGAATTGGCCTTCTAATTGGTATCTCATTCTCAGCGTAATATCGTCAAATACCACTTGCATGATTGAAAAGAGAATTGGGAAGATTGCCGCCGCAAAAGGCAAGTGGGAACTCAAATACCTCGACAGCGAGAATACTTCAACACTCAAACTTGAGTCCATGACCTATCAGAAAATGATCCACTTGAAGAAAACAAGCCTGCATAAGATAGTCGACCACATGATCATTGATTCTCTTAATGGGCTTAATATGCGCAACAGGATATGCTCTAGAAAGCAGTTGGGGTCAATTCCGAAGTACATTGTGCCGGAGGATCAATCGCACCACTCGTCTGTTTTGGGGATTGAATTAGAGTCATTCGTGGGAGGCACATCAGCTTTAAAACATATCCTAGAGGATACATTGTTTCTGCGGATCGACTATCATATTAGTGAAATAAAGCTTTTTGGAAAGTTCAGACAAAACTGCAAGGCTTTAGGAAACCAGTACAATGAAACTTTATTGCACTTCACGGGGGAAGGTGCTTTATCGTTTTTCATGTCGGAACCTTTCACAGATCTCAACAACATTGTGCAACATTTCAACACATTTAAACAAAAACTGATGCAAATTGTGACCCTGACGGACGTGATCGAAGAACTGCACGGGTTCTACTCCGAAAATTTCAGCATCGTAGCATCAAAACCCAACGAGATTTCCTTCAAATATCTGAAGAACAGCAAGGACCAGTACGATTGTCGGATCCTTCTGCATACAAACGATCACAGCGTCGAGAATCTGGACATCGAATTATCACCGAGCAACCCGCAACACATCTTCCAGCCCTTCATCGAGTCCAGCAAACTGGACTATCACTTTGTGTTCAACTACCTGCAATTCACCTCTGGCTTTTTTGGCATTTTAGATTCAATCTTGACTACTTCAGGCGGCCAGGCAAAATCCAAAAACGAGTTTACTACGATATCTCTACAACTGCACAACCTTTCCGAATACGAATTGATCTACTACAACAACCAAACCAACACCAAGATCACGTTAATGATAGAGCTGCGTAACGTGTTTTTAAACGGATCAAAAAAACTGCAGTACTTTGTACACTTCGCAGAAGACGAGCATATTTCGACCAAGAGTCCAGCATATCCGCTGGTCCACAAGGTCCGCAACACGGTTTTCATGGTTGACAGCACATCCATAATCGCGGGTGACGAAATTTCTAGTTTGAACTCGCCTAAACGAGTCAAACCAAGCTCTTTGATAAAGCTCACAGATGGTGTATGCTGTGGAGCCGCTGAAATAGCGTCAGTGATCGGAGACATCCACGACATCTTGAAAGTCGACTGCGTCTAAAGTGACGCAAAAAACAGAAATGTTGGGAAAATCCGCCAATGCATTTCAACCTGGACATTTCTCTGATCATTTCGAAAATATAACAGGTTTAAAGAAAAGGGAATGCTGTCAGGCGAATTACTTCCATGCCATATGCGTCGGACCGCTTCTTGATCCTGCACTCTACTCACCGCTGCACTTTTCGATCACGTGGTTGAAAAATTCCTCTCGGATGCGTTTCCGTTCTTGTATAGGGTGAAGAACAAGACCCGTTCTCGTGATGCCCTTATTATAGCAAACGGTGCGCTAGTCCGAGCAAACGTCTACGGAATGGTGACGGAAAAAGTGATATATAAAGGACAAGCATGGTGGGAATGGTCTTGAAGTCCTTCCCGTTGGCAAAACAACGTTCCAAATAACGACAACCCTATATTTGTCGACTCTGAACAAAACATGCCAGAAACTCAACAAGCAGTCGTGCTTAAATCCAAAGGCCATATATCCATTGAAGATAGACCAATTCCTAAAATCGAAGACCCTCACTTTGTGAAATTGGAAATTAAGAAAACCGGAATCTGTGGATCAGACGTTCACTACTATGTTGCGGGAGCAATCGGCGATTTCGTGGTAAAGAAGCCTATGGTTTTGGGCCATGAGTCCAGTGGTGTTGTTGTAGAAGTCGGTGGTGCAGTATCAAGCGTAAAAGTAGGCGATCGAGTTGCTATTGAACCCGGCATTCCAAGCAGATATTCTGACGAGACTAAGGAAGGACGATACAATTTGTGTCCAGACATGGCTTTCGCTGCTACTCCTCCTTTTGACGGTACACTGGTCAAGTACTACCTTGCTCCAGAGGACTTTGTAGTAAAGCTACCGGATCACGTGTCGCTGGAGGAAGGTGCATTGGTAGAGCCTCTATCTGTTGGTGTACATGCCAACAAGCTCGCCAAAGTGGCCTACAATCAAAAGGTTGCAGTTTTCGGTGCAGGCCCCGTTGGTTTACTCACAGGAGCCGTAGCACGTGCCTTTGGTGCCGGCGAAGTGATCTTCATCGATGTGTTTGAGCACAAGTTGAAGCTGTCGTCGAAATTCGGTGGCACCAAATTTGTGAATTCGTCTCAATTCAAGGATGAAGAATTTCTGGTTGCAGAGATCGTGAAAGAGCTGGACGCACACCAGCCCGAAGTAGTTTTTGACTGTTCGGGTGCTGAAATTTGTATTAGAACTGGTATCAAGGTATGCAAGACCGGAGGAACTTACGTTCAGGTGGGCTCCGGAAAACCTGATGTGAATTTTCCAATTGCAGCGATCGGTCCTAAAGAGCTTAGGGTCCTGGGGTGTTTCAGATATGCGTTTGGAGACTACAGGGATGCGGTGCAGTTGATTTCCAAAGGAGACGTCAACGTCAAGCCGCTCGTGACACACCGCTACAAATTCAAGGACGCAGTCGAGGCATACGAGTTCAATGCCAAATCTGGCTCAGATGTGATCAAGACAATAATTGATGGGCCTGAATAAGGCCTGCAAGAACGTTAGCGGGTGACATGTACAGAAAAGGGAGATTATATACTTGGAACAGGCAGCCGCTAATGCGTTCACGTGCTATATGCATTCTGGTTTTGCCGAAGCTGGAAAGCTTGGGTATAGGTATAGGGCGTATAGAAACCGTGATGTTGCAAAAAATAAGTACATTAACGATATTCAAACGGCTGTTCCATGAAAATTTTGGCTGTAGCTCAAGTGACTGATAGTATCAAACCGTTTTCTCAGTGGTAAAGTGTCAACCAACCCTATTTGACCATCCAGTCCTGCTTCAAATCCAGTTAAGCTGACATATCACTTTTTACCTTTCGTTACTTATATGTTGTCCTTAGTTAAAGCATGCGAGGAAATCACTAGAGGATTTATCAGTCGTCGAATAGTCATAAAGACTGATTCTGAATTGCCTTGGAGAATAGAGTGAACGTTCAGTACCAGGTTGTTGTGGCCTGCAAATGGGACGCTACAATAATGATCAACATCAATAAGTTAAGAGACCAGTGTATGTCCGATGGAACGAATATTTACAGTGATTTGCCGATAACTTACAGACATCTGGACGATCAGCAGCACCGCAACTACTGTTGCATAGTACAACGATAAACGAGAAATTCCATCAATTACTTCAATTCAAAACAGCCTTCCAAAACTCTAGTTGTACTGACACGCGAAACAACTAGCGAAACTATCGACCATTAGTCGTTCAACGGCGCTTACCTAATCACAATTTAGATTATGTCATTTATGACGAAGAGTGGTAATTCCACCCAGGTTTTTGTGCCAAAAAATAAAGAAGGAACCGCCAGAGTGAATCCAGAAACGTTACAATCTCGTCACTTCTCTTCACTCCACCAGTACCACCCTTTTGAAATATCCAAAACACCGGCAACTCAAAGTTCACCACTGATCGGGCCGGTTCAACGCTTTCTTTCGCGATGATGTTACGAATAGTTACGCTACTAATAGATCTATTACTGCTCGCACAACTTGCTTTAGCAGGAAAGACACATGAATTCAACTTCACCACCGGATGGGTGGCAAGGAATCCCGATGGCGTGAAAGAGCGAAAGATGATTGGATTCAACGGAGAGTGGCCCATTCCAGAAATTCATATCAACAAGGGCGATCGATTGATCGTAAGGCTCACAAACGGATTCGATGATCTGCCCACTTCCTTGCATTTCCACGGATTTTTCCACCGTCAAGCAGACGAAAACATGAACCAGATGGATGGCCCACCGATGGTTACCCAATGCCCGATTATGCCGGGTGACACCTACGTTTACAACTTTACGGTTGTCAATCAAGTTGGGACATATTGGATTCATTCACATTCTGGCGCCCAGTATACCGACGGGATGCGAACCGCGCTGATTGTGCACGATGAGGACGAACCCTTTGAGTACGACGAGGAAAAAGTGATCCAGATCGGAGATCACTACCACAAGCCTTACTACGAGATTATGGACGAGTTTTTGAGTAGATACAATCCTACGGGCGCAGAGCCGATCCCACAGAATATTCTTTTCAACAACACAGTTAACGCGTCGCTTAGCTTCAAACCCGATACCGTTTATCTGTTGCGATTTATCAACGTGGGAAATTTCATTTCGCAGTACCTCTACATGGAAGACCACGATTTCACCATTGTTGAAGTCGACGGTATTTACACGCGGCCTAACACTACCAGCCTCTTGTATCTGGCACCCGGCCAAAGAATGTCAGTCTTGGTTAGGTCGCATTCTCACGCCAACAAAAATTACGCTCTCATGCAGATCATGGACGAAACAATGTTAGACGCCGTACCTCCTAACCTGATCTTGAATCGCACAAACCATATCATCTACAATGAGGATGCCCCTCGAGCCTCAGAGTATTATATCGACTCCTTCTCGGCAGTCACAAACGATTTTTTCTTGACGCCATTGGCCGGGAAGGAACTTTTATCGGATTACGACTATCAGATATCTTTGGATGTCAAGATGGATAATCTTGGGGACGGCAAAAACTACGCATTTTTCAACAATATCACATATGTTGCTCCCAAAGTACCAACTTTAATTACTGCCCTCTCCGCGCCAGAAAAACTGGCCAAGAATCCTGCCATTTACGGTGAAAATGTGAATGCCTTTGTGCTTGAGCATGGAGAGGTCATCGAGGTTGTGGTCAACAATTACGACGATGGTAGACATCCATTCCATTTACACGGACACAACTTCCAGATAGTACAAAAGTCGGATGCTTTCGATGAAGATGACGCGGAACCTGTTCCTTACAATGAGATGGCTCCATTGATGCCATATCCTGACATTCCTATGCAAAGAGATACTGTGGTCCTGGAACCTAATGGTCATATCGTGCTGCGTTTCGTCGCTGACAACCCCGGCATCTGGTTTTTCCACTGCCACGTCGACTGGCACCTGGAGCAAGGTCTTGCAGCGGTTTTCGTCGAAGCGCCTTTGTTGTTGAGAGAGAAGGAAGTATTGTCTCAGAGCTTCAAAGACGTTTGTTCTACGGGAAACTATACTCTTTCAGGAAACGCCGCCGGGCATGATGACGATTGGCTCAATCTAGCTGGATTGCCAAGACAACCAAAACCATTACCAGATGGCTTCACTTTGAAAGGCTATATTGCATTTGCAGTTTCCTGCATAGTTGGCATTTGGGGCATTTTAACCATCGTACAGTACGGATTGAGCGAGTCTCTTCAGAACGATCTAGACATGTACCAAAACCTAAAGAAGCTGCTCGACGATACATCGGGGGAAAGATGATCATCAATGGTCAGCGGCATTGGAGGAGGTTGATCTTCCTCCTTCCTAAACGGTTTCTACGGTTTAGCGTTGATAGCACTTTTTACGAATCTCGAACTCATGAACTGAAAAATTTAACCTTACACACGAACGTGAAAATCGGTCATAGGTAAACTCAAAATTAACTAAAAATCCTGGTCAAAAAGGTTTCCAGCTTGATGTTTATGCTCAGGAGGACCGCGCTGGGTGCGTCGAATACCTCCAGGCCTTTTTGGCGGTCAAAACCGCTCCAATTTGGCGGAAAACATGGTTTTGCAGCTCATCGGCAAATTCATGCATCAAGCATCCTCAGGACCTATGAAGAAGAAAAAGCAGTTTTGGATGAAATGGCCGTTACTTTGACGGATGAAGACCGGGCTACCTCGAGGGGCCTGCGAAACATTGGTATTTCGGCCCATATTGACTCTGGAAAGACGACTTTTACGGAGCGAGTTTTATTCTACACAGGAAGGATCAAGGCTATTCACGAAGTAAGAGGTCGAGACAATGTGGGAGCTAAAATGGACTCCATGGACTTGGAAAGAGAAAAAGGTATTACTATTCAATCAGCTGCCACGTATTGTTCGTGGGATAAAGATGGTCAGCAGTACCGTTTCAATTTAATTGATACCCCGGGCCATATCGATTTCACTATTGAGGTTGAACGTGCACTAAGAGTTTTGGACGGTGCCGTGCTGGTAGTATGTGCCGTTTCTGGTGTGCAGTCCCAAACAGTTACTGTTGACCGCCAAATGAGAAGATACAATGTGCCAAGAGTTACTTTCATCAATAAGATGGACCGTATGGGCGCCAATCCTTTCAAAGCCATCGAACAGATCAACAAGAAACTCAAAACACCTGCCGCTGCTCTTCAAGTCCCCATTGGATCAGAATCTGATTTGAAGGGTGTTGTGAACATTATTGACCGCGTTGCTCTGTACAACGAAGGAGTCAAGGGACAGCAAATTGTTACCGGTCCGGTTCCTTTGGAATTGAACGAACTCGTCGAGGAAAGGAGAGCCATGCTTATTGAGACTTTGGCTGACGTTGATGATGAAATCGCAGAAATCTTTTTGGAAGAACAGACGCCTTCTGTCGAACAGATCAAGGCCGCTATTCGCCGGGCCACTATCGCTAGAAAGTTTACACCTGTACTTATGGGCTCGGCCCTGGCTAATAGAAGCGTGCAGCCAGTACTAGATGCTATTGTTGACTATCTACCGAACCCATCTGAGGTTCTCAATACTGCACTTGACGTGTCCAACAATGAAAGCAAAGTTAATCTCGTTCCATCTGTCAAAGAGCCTTTTGTTGGTCTTGCCTTCAAGTTAGAAGAAGGCAAGTATGGTCAACTGACTTACATTCGGGTTTATCAAGGACGCTTGAAAAAAGGTGGTTATATCACCAATGTAAAGACCGGCAAAAAAGTCAAGGTTTCTCGTCTGGTAAGAATGCACTCAAACGACATGGAAGACGTCGATGAAGTTGGCTCCGGAGAAATCTGCGCTACCTTCGGTATCGACTGCGCCTCTGGAGATACTTTCACCGATGGTACATTGAACTTTTCCATGTCTTCAATGTATGTCCCAGATGCTGTTATCTCGCTTTCCATAACACCAACAACTAGAGATTCCACAAACTTTTCCAAAGCGTTGAATCGTTTTCAAAAAGAAGATCCCACCTTCAGAGTGCGCTTTGACGCAGAATCTAAGGAAACGGTCATTTCTGGGATGGGTGAATTGCATTTAGAAATCTATGTGGAAAGAATGAAGCGTGAGTATAATGTGGACTGCGTTACCGGGAAACCACAAGTATCCTACAGAGAGTCTATCACTATTCCTGCGGAATTCGATTACACTCACAAGAAACAATCAGGTGGGGCCGGTCAGTACGGTAGAGTTATGGGATCTTTGAGCCCTCTGGAAGGATCAAACGGAAACAAATTCGAAACAGCTATCGTGGGTGGACGTATTCCTGACAAATATTTGGCTGCTTGCGGCAAAGGATTCGAAGAAGCCTGCGAGAAAGGTCCTTTGATCGGTCACCGTGTCTTGTCTGCTCACATGCTGATTAACGACGGTGCAATTCACGCGGTTGATTCCAATGAATTGGCATTTAAGACCGCAACCATGGCTGCATTTAAGCAAGCATTTTTGGAGGCCAAGCCTGTTATTTTGGAGCCTGTTATGACTGTAACCGTAACGGCGCCCAATGAATTTCAGGGTAACGTGATCAGTTTACTCAACAAACTGCAAGCGGTTATTCAAGACACTGAGAACGGTCAGGACGAGTTCACTATTGGCGCGGAATGCTCTCTGAACACCCTTTTCGGGTTCGCGACGTCGCTGAGGTCCTCCACCCAGGGTAAGGGTGAGTTCTCTCTCGAATTCAAACATTACTCTCCAACTTCTCCTCATTTGCAGAAACAACTAATTGCTGAGTTTGAGAAGAAACAGCAACAAAAGAAGTAAGCGCAGCGGGAATTTTCTCCGTTGTCTGCCCAAGACTAGAAAAAAAACAAATGATCCCACACAAATGATTCTATTCCTGTACAAAATACTTTGTAAATAGCCCGTATATTCAAGATAAGCTGCATGTATGTTACAAAAGAAAACAGCTTAAGCGATGAAAAATCCCATACAAATATGGAGTCCTAGCGTGTGTAAGTGTCGTCCGCTTTGATTTTGCCCAGCAGATCCTCGATTTTGGGACCCATCAAAGGTTGCCCCGAACGTGTACGTTGCGTCACTTTGGAGGATCGAAGTTCTCTTTGCTTCTCTCTTTTCTTGATATCTTCCACCCGCTCCTTCTCACGCTGTTGACGATCGATAACCTTTGCTCGTTGCTGCTTACCACGCAGTTTCTTCAGTTCTTTTTTCTCATCCACTCTTTTGTGGTTCCCCAAAGCATTTTTCTCCTTCATCTCTCTGAAGCTGAGCTTCGCTTCGCTGGCCTTTTTCTCAGGAGCCGTGAATCCCTCATCTTTCAAAGCTTTCAGGTATTCTTTCTTCAAACGGGCCTTTTTAACTAGATTTTTTTGGATTTCTCGAACCTTGTATTCCTTGGTGTATTGTTTCTCAACTCTAGGCCCCATTCTTATTTGATGTTGAAGTTATGTTTGAGCTTGTCGCGGTTACTTTCCACTGTCTATGTTAGAATATTGACGTGAGCTCTCGATGGGCTCGATGAGCGATGAGATGAGCTTGATCTTGAATAATTTTGACTTTTTTCACTCGAAAAATCAATATGGGAAAACCTACAACTTAAAGGTTTTGAACTGACAAAAAGACTATAAAAGATAGGTAAAAGAGGCTTTCTAGCAGTGGTTTGACCCAACTACAGCTGGTTCCATCCCATAGGAGTGTACGAGCGTTTTTTACAGCGGGTTTCAAGACGAATTTTGAGCTAGTATTCGGCTTCAAAATATATATTAAGTACACATCGACCTATGCACATCGCAAATCCAGCAGTTGTATTTGTGGTAGATGAATGGTTTTAAAACTAACATCCTCCTATCTTTGCCGCTGTATGGCAGCAGATTGGGCCGACGAAACCTTGGAAATGCGGCTTGCGGGCTCCCCAAAGAAGTTCAGCAAATCGTGAGCCAGCAACAGGCGCCTGCGGCGCCATTGCAGACAAAAGACTTGAATACTGTTTTGGCATTTGTGCGGGAACCAAAACAATCACTCACCATACGACAACGTGTCACTCTGATTCTGGCGCTGTATAGACGTGGGGCCCATCGGGATGTGCTAACAGTGGCTAACTCCGCACTTTTCGATTCCCACCAAAACTATAGAGAAAACGTCTCTGCAGTGGAACTGAAAAAATACTTTGCATCGCTCGTCGTGACCGGTAGGACCATGCAGCTGGCTCAAAACATGTTTCAGCTTATTCGACAGTTTTCGCTTCATAGGAAAAGTATGGTCCTGAGCGTGATTAACTCCACATTCACAAAGGCGACCCTGTGCTGTAGCTCGTCCGAATCCTTAGTCATATGGGTGAAGTTCTACAGATATCTGGAAGGACACGCAAATTTCACAAACTATGACAACGACAAAGCGTTTCTAAAGACGCTGCTTTTTTTCCTGCGATCCCGAAAACTAAACGTGAGCGCAGTTCGGGATGCGTTACAATTGATAGACAAAACTCAAGGCCCGCTTGCTGTATCTCAGTTTTCATCGACGCTGATGTATTTGACAGCTTACAATCGGGATTTCAATCTGACAGAGACGTTGTGGGACTACAAGGTCGAAAAGAGACTGCCCATTACGAGCACAGACCTAACTCAAATTTGCAAAACGTATTGTCATTTCCAAAAATTCTCGCTCGTTGACCCATTGCATGCACAATACCCTGAAGCTCACGACGATTCCCAATTCGACTACCTATTGATTGCTTACGCCAAACAACAAGACTGGCAAAGTCTACAAAATCAATTCAATGCATTATTCGGATTGGGTGAGCTGCCCAATATAGCCCACTATGGCATCGTGATGTTCTCAGTCGCAATTTTGGGTGAAAAGGAGATGGTCGACAAGCTTTACCGCCAGCTTCTAAACAGACGAATGATTCCAACCCTCCCTGTACTACAGGCCCTTCTACTTGTACATTATAAACGTGGTGATTATAAGGGTTGCTTCGAGCATTTTGAGCTTTTCAACAAGTATGGCATTAAACCCACAGCATCTACGTGTCAAATTATGCTGCGTGTGTACCGCAATCTGTGCGATATAGATGGATCGCTAAGGTTTCTCAAGAAAATGACAGATTCGGGTGTTGAGATGTCAGAAAAACATTTCGCTGCTATTATCGGGACTTGTGCGAAAACTACAAACTATGCTATTGCAGAGGAACTCTTCCAAGTCATGACAGATCACTATAATATTTACGCAACAGGAACCTCAGTTGCCGCATTAGCCCAAGTTTACATTGAAAGTGATATGCCACAGCGTGCTGTGAATCTGTTCAAAAAATACAGCGATTTACCACACCCTTTGGAGAATAGCATTGCTATCTATAACAAAGGAGCTGAGGCGTATTTGCATATGGGTCGCATCGATAAGTGCGAAAAAATCTTCGATGACATTTTGCATAAGAACATCGCGGCGGACTCTGAATTTTACACGGTGATGCTCAAGCATCTCGCTCTATTTAAAAAGGATTTCGAGACGGCTGAGAATGTTTTGCATCAACTTTTGAATCATTCGCACTTGACGGCCTCGCCATTGCACTTTGAAGTCATCATGAACGCCTATGATCAAGTTTCCAATCGTGAGGGTGTTCTCAAGCTATATCAAAAGATTTTGGATAACAATATACCCGTTAGTTCCAAGATACTATACTGCGTGATCAAGGCGACGTTCACGAAGAGGCTGAAATCCAAAGAAAACTTGACTGAAGCAATAGCATTCGTCGAGAATATCATGACTCGATCTGCCAACAGAGAACTGGACATAACTTTCGAAAAGCTTCACCCATCAGTAATGGCATGGCCAATGCGAGCAGCTGCGAAATTTCACAGTCCTATGAAGGCAATCGAACTAATGAACAAATATAATGAGTTGTTCTTCGATAAGGCCGATGTCGCTGCTGGTAACCTTGTTGTTTTAAGAAGCTTAATGGTAATGTCTGCTGAACTTCATCAATGGGACGATTTTCAAAAACTTTACGACAGATATCTGGGGAAGCTACAGTTTTACAAAAGCCAGCCCTCTGCTATCGTTCCGAACAAAAAGTTGGCATCATCACTCAGAGGTATTCTGACCTATAAAATAAGGCTACTAGTGGCCACGGATCGCGTTACGGAGATTCCTGGACTTTTGAAAGACATCGCTGCCAAAAACTTTGTTATAGACAACGACGCTTGGAACGAAGCGATTACCAATGTATTCGCCGATAGGCGAACCATTGATTACGGCATGCAGGCAGTCGATTCCAAGCTCATCCACGGTTTTAATCTCGTCCACAAGTATAGACTACTGCGGAAGAATGCTGCCACCAATACATCAACCGACCGGAACTCTTGGTTTTTGGAACAGAAACGCCAAAAGCCAGCTAGTTTCCAGCCCAGGCTCTTTTTGAAAACAGCCGTCTTTGAGAAGATTAGTCAAGCAGTGGACGCTTATCTGGGCTCTTTGGATGACATCGAAGCAGAATTGAAACGACTGACGACTCATTACAAATATTTTATGAAAAGTTACTTGATGAAACCAAGAACAAAGATCCCCGGTTGGGACAGCATCGAGTTGACACACGCACCTTACCTCTTTAAATTGAGAAATGATAAAAGGGCGCTCGACGAACCATTTTGAAAAAAAATCTTCACTTAGGTCGTCGCAGTTCCCTGTGGGAATTAGCGTTACGCAAAACTTGTAAATATGCATCCAATAGTTATGACTGCCACGGTGTTTGCTATCTGTACTAGTTGGCGAGGAAAAACCTTGAAAAACAGGAATAAAGGGACTTCAATTCGCTTCTGATTCCGTTGCTGGGCTCTTAGATTTCTTGGGAGCCACTTTACGCTCTGGAATTGTCACCAGTGTTTGACCTGTCGTTTCCCCATAGACTAAAGAGCCAATCCAAGGCTGGATGTTCCAATTTAAATGAAAAGTCAGCTCTCTTTCCGATAGCTTCTCCTCCAAATCCCAAATGGTGTACTTAGACTTCACGTTATCCAGCGTGATGTGTGCCTTGGCCTTGTCAGTTATTATGGTATCCCAGAAAGTGACTTCGCTTTTCACATCTTTCTTTAACTTCCCATTGTAAGTGGCAGTAACGTAGGCAAAGATCTGTTTGGTATTCCAATTGAAGAGCGGAGTCAAATCTGCATCCAAATCGAAAGTCAGCCGTATGTTTTCCTTGGGTTTACCGTTCACTGATCCATAATAACGGCTTGTTCTCACATTAATGTTTCTGAATGATTAACGGTTCCGAGTTAGTACAAAAACTGATACCAAATGTTCTTTAAAAACTGTTTCAAATCACTTACGGGTCCACTTTTCCGATTGAGGAGCTCAGCTCAAAAACATTGTCCCGGTAAAGCTGTGCCCAGGTTGTTGCAACAACGAACACCGCTGCGAAGATTGCAAAGCTCAATGCTTGGTTGCTTATATGCTGAAACCTCTGAGATAAGGAGAACATTGAGAAAAGGCAACGTACTCGGTCTCTAGCGGGTTTCTTGGACGTCGATAGCTCGAGCTTCGGTAAGTTTCCAGTAGGTTGGACTAAACTGATCATTAATTCACTATGGGTTCGGGTACCTAATTTTGAGATCACTTTGTCCTTACGTGTCGTTATTTGTTGTCAGAAGATGTCATTGAAAATCACTTAATAATTACGTGACACTTTCGGGCCTTTTCTGTCGCTGACACTTGGTGTCAGCGACAGAAAAGAAAAAGAGATAAAGAACGGCGAATATTGTCAAAAACGAATGACGGACGGGGACACAGAAGGTTATTGAACGAGTTGTGACTCTACTACCTTGAATTTTGATTGTTCTAGTGTTTGAGGACATAGGTTGAATGGATAGGTTTTTCTCAGCAAGTATGTGGACGACAACAACGTACAGGATCCCCCAGATCATCGCAATTTTGGCGGTGGCAGGAACCCTCCTGGGGATGGATATATCATCCATGTCAATTTTTCTGAGCTCGAAATATTTCAACGAATACTTCAAAAATCCGGGGCCCCTATCCCAAGGCCTGATGACAGGCGCGAACCCTGTAGGAGGTTTCATAGGGTGCATATTTTTTGGCGTGCTGACAGACAGAATAGGTCGTGTTGTTACATTCCAAACGGTGGCAATGACCTGGATTGTTGGTTCAGTCATTTCAGCTCTGGTCGTGAACGTGGCAATGCTTGTTGCTGGACGGATTGTGCGCGGAGTTGCGGTGGGCATGTTGTCGGTTTTGCTGCCAGTTTACATTGGAGAGGTAATTCCACAAGAGAAAAAGGGCAGGGCTACGTCCATAGTGCAATTTGCACTGACGCTCGCAATTTTAGGAACCTTTACCAGTTGCTTTCTTCTCAATTTTTTGGAAAGTCAGATCTCGTTCCGTGTTGCGTGGGGGCTAGAATTGGTCCCTGGGCTATTATTTCTTCTACTCAGCTTCAAGCTCAGCGAGTCTCCTGAATGGCTAGTATCGCATGGTGAATACGATCGTGCCCAGACTATTTTCCAATACTTCAGTAAAGACGAAATTGTAAAGACCAGCTTCACCAAAATTGATCTAGTGGAGACATATGGACATCAGCGAACAAAATACTGGGATCTTTTCCCCCCGCCACTGATAAAATACACCTTTTTCGGATTAACGATACAGATTCTGGTGCAAACATGTGGTATAAACATTTTAATGTTTTACGTGGTCTACATTTGCGAAATGATTGGTCTGCGAGGTGCTGCCAAATTGAGTGCTGCTTCCGTTCCGTATCTCATAAATGTAGTATTCACTTGCATCCCAATCTTGACCTTAGATCGTCTCCGTCGAAAGGTGGTAATTGTCTATGGCGCCATATCACTGGGATGCACTATGGCATTAATTGGTATTCTGATGGGAGCTTTAGGGAACGAAGTTTCACCAATTGAGGGCAATACTACAATCGTTTGGGAAATAACAGGTATTGCTGGTCTAATAGTCTTGGTCCTTTGTTTCCTATTCGTTGCCATATTTGCGTCAACCCTTTCCTGCTGTGCCTGGCTTTATACTAATGAAGTTCTGCCCATACCTGCGAGGTCAACGGGGATGGCACTTTGCATGGCGACTAGCTGGTTTCTAAATTCTTGTTTGACTTTTGCGGCTCCAATACTTCTCAGTAAAATCAAATGGCTTACTTTTGTTTTGTTAGGAGCTGTCACCTTGGCGTTATCCGCAATCATTGCAGCATGGTTTCCAGAAACTCGGAAATCTAATTCGTCGAACGAAAGTTCTCCAGAACGCTTTTCCGAAAAAGGTGGAAATGAGGGTATCAGTGGTGAACCAGTGTCTAAGTCCTCCTTGCCTTCTCCATTAGTTTACACGGACAACAGAATTGAATTAATTCCTGATCAGAGTCAAATGATATGACCACAGTCCTTACACTTGAATTAAACAGTCATTTTTATGTTTCTGACGCCATTTTCAACCTTTAGACTATAAACACCATCAAGTTGGACTCGGGCGTCACATTAATAACAATATTTTCTGTCAAATTCACGCTACATAGAGAAGTATATAAGTGTATTGACGTTCCTTTATCCCTATCATAAGGTGTTTTAAAATGAGACTTCACGCCAAGAAATATAAAGAAGCTGTGAAACAGCACATAAATTCCTTGATTAAGACCCCTTTTGCGTGTCCCATTACCTGTCTGAAATGGCTTAGAAACATTTTAGATGAACAATGGATGGACCACTTTCGTCGTATTCTTGCTTTGAGATCCACATCTGTTGGAAAGTGGTCAAAGAAGCCAAAATGGAACCACCAATCCAGACAGAGTACTTTCTCTCTGGAGGAGCAATGATCTTGACCTTCATGGAAGAAGGAGCCAAAGCGGTGATTTCCTTTTGCATTCTTTCAGCAATACCTGGGAACATGGTGGTACCACCAGACATGACAATGTTACCGTACAATTCCTTACGGACGTCAACGTCACACTTCATGATGGAGTTGTAAGCGGTCTGGTCGATACCGGCGGCTTCAAGACCTAGTAGACTTGGGTGGAACAAAGCTTCTGGAGCTCTGAATCTCTCGTTACCAATGGTGATGACTTGACCGTCTGGCAATTCGTAAGATTTCTCGATGGCAGAGGACTGAGCAGCGGTTTGCATTTCTTGTTCAAAGTCCAAAGCAACGTAACATAGTTTCTCCTTGATGTCACGCACGATTTCTCTTTCAGCGGTGGTAGAGAAGGAGTAACCACGTTCACTCAAGATTTTCATTAGGTAGTCGGTCATGTCTCTACCGGCCAAGTCAATTCTCAAGATACCGTGAGGCAAGGAGAAACCAGCGTAGATAGGAACAACGTGGGTGACACCATCACCAGAGTCCAAAACGATACCGGTGGTTCTACCGGACGAGTACAGGGACAAAACGGCCTGGATAGACACGTAGAAAGCTGGCACGTTGAAAGTTTCGAACAAGATCTGGGTCATCTTCTCTCTGTTGGACTTTGGGTTCATTGGAGCCTCGGTCAACAACACTGGGTGCTCTTCTGGGGCCACTCTCAGCTCGTTGTAGAAGGTATGGTGCCAGATTTTCTCCATGTCGTCCCAGTTGGTAACGATACCGTGTTCGATTGGGTAACGTAGAGTCAAGATACCTCTCTTGGACTGGGCTTCGTCACCGACGTAAGAGTCCTTTTGGCCCATACCGACCATGATACCTTGGTGTCTTGGTCTACCCACGATAGATGGGAAGACGGCACGGGGGGCGTCGTCACCGGCGAAACCGGCCTTGCACATACCGGAACCATTGTCAATAACCAAAGCGGCAACCTCTGCAGTAGGAAAAATCGGTTAGTACACGAGCGATAGTGAGCATGCAACGTGGGCAGAAGAGACATGAGAAGGGACAGCACGGTCGAAGCGCTGTTCGTACAACATGCCAGGCGAGATCTTTGACGGAGTCAGAACTTTCAACACAATCTAGTCAAGATTAGTCACCATCATGAACTGCGTTGAAGGGGTATTTCCAGCAAGCATTAGTTTAACGACAAGCTCGGCTTGCTTCACCGCTGACCTTTTGGCCTTTCCGTTATCTTATTTTTTTTACTGGTCACATGATCAAATCAACGGTAATCGAAAATTAGAATAGGGGCTCTTCAACTGTTGGTGCAGTTTTGGACAGCGATGATGAAAACGAAGCAAAAACGGAAGGATATCGATTCACGAATTGCCCTTGTTTACGGAATCGCTTTGTAAGGTCCAACGGAGTTTTCACAAGCTCTAGATCGGAAAGATCAAATCATTTTCAAAACAAGCTCGGAGAATTTTAAACCCGAAAATCTCCGATCTTGTCTGTCTTGCACAAATCACCCCCAAACGTGAGATACCAGCATCCCAAGCTCCAAAAAAACGACCAATATTGGTCCCTTTTTGTTGCCCCTAAAATCTCGATCCAAAATTTTTGGAAAAAACGCGTGTAAACATATCGAAAACCCACGCTTAAACGCGCAAATTTGGACCAAAATAGCCCTGGAAAGTCTCAATTGCCCTGAAATTACAATTTTAACATACCGGAATCCATTGTTTTGTTTATAAAAGTCTTGTTGATCGGCTTGTCCTTTATCAGACGTGTCCTGGGACGGTTTGAACAAGTGTTTGTTAGAGTGGCAACCTTTTATATAAAACATAAATGCGCCTTGCCAAAAAAAACTCAGTTTCGATCGAGCCGGGTAAGATAGGCACGTGATGAATATGAGTGTCAGTATTGGAAAAAGTGATAAGGTGTGTGAAATGGGTTTATGCGGCGTATGTTATAAACGCTTGAATGCAAATCCGTGACGGAACACATTGCTGAGGTGTGTGTGTGTGTGTGTGTGTGTGTGTGTGTGTGTGTGTGTCTGTGTGTGTGTGTGTGTGCTGTCAACGTTTGCCGATGATCAGTACCAATCTCAAGAGACTCCAGGAAGAACCAGGTTTAGATTAGTTATTTGCCCTGTATAAATATTTATTCGTGGTTCCAAAGCGACTACGTTCCCCGTACCACAAGAATACTCGCAAAACAATTTCCCGTAAAAATAGCACTTATTTCAACTTTCGCTGTCATTGTCGTTTTTCAGCGACACGGTAAGTTTTCGGGAACGTGAAAAAGCGTGTGTGCTTTCTCAGATACACTGAATATCAGCACGTCGTACATACATATCGACTAACCCTTCTGGACTGACTTCTGGTCTTCTGGTCTTCAACTTCGCTTACTTCCTTTGATTCACCTTTAATACCACCACCAATCAATAAATATCACACATGGAAAAACCGTCTTTAGTTGAGTAGACATCACAAATCTCCGCTCAAAGCATCAATTATGGCCGGAAAATCGTCTAAAAAACAGGCACAGGCCAATCTGCAGGCTTTAAAACAGCTGTACACGATTTTGGGTGCTGTTGGAGCACTGGTCTTGCTAAGACTTGTCTTCTCAAGCCGGAGACGGTGGTTTTGGATAACCCTACTCCACATACCAGCTGCCGGATGTGTTTACATGCTAGAAAAGAACGGGAGGCCCAAATATGATGCAGCAGGACACATTGTGCGAGAGGGAATGGATTTGAACCAAAAGGGTCTAACCGAATGGCTGTTTGATATCGTCTATTTGTCTTTATTAGCAGATTCGGGACTCGTTCTTTTCAACAGTTTGAAACTCTGGTACATATTTTTGCTGGTGCCCGTATATTTTGGGTACAAGATCAAGGGCTTTGCAGGTCCCATGCTTGGCGGTATGAATAATGCCAAGGCTCCAGCCCCGTCAGCTTCAGCCCCGGCGACGACCAAATCCAAGAGACAAGAAAAACGTGAAAAACAGGGCGATAAGGTGCGCTACAAATACAAGTAAATACGGAGCTGCGCCAATTGTACACATGCCTCCGTTCTCCTAGTTGCGAAAATTACACCTTATACAGAATTCAACATAGATTTCAAAAATTTTTTTTTTTTGAAAGGGACTAACTAGACACTGGCGAATGGCTATGCACCAAGAGTCATTCAGGGCCTTGATCCTTAGTCCTGTTTCTCTCCTTAAGACGCTGCAAAATAAACCACCCGTTTCTCTCTCTCTCTCTTTCTCTTTCTAACAGCAGCCGCTCGACGAGTTAGACAGGCTTTGACCCTTCAAGTTAACGCCAGCCTTGTCGTCCTTCTTGGTCGAATCTTTGTGCTGCTGAGCCATGCTGTCTTTGATCTGCTTTGCCATGGTCAAGAACGCTTCCTCCACGTTGGACGAATCCAATGCCGATGTCTCCAAGAATGGGATCTGCAGCGAGTCTGCAAATTCCTTTGCCACGTCATATTCCACAACTCTCTTGTCCTGTAAGTCACTCTTGTTTCCTACCATCAATTTCAACACTCCAGCGGTCGCGTACCGGTCTATTTCTTGCAACCACATTTTCACGTCATTGAATGAATCTTGGTCTGTCACATCGTAAACAATAATGATACCGTGTGCGCCTCTATAGTAAGACGAAGTGATTGTTCTGAACCTTTCCTGGCCCGCTGTATCCCAAATTTGTAGTTTTACTGTCTTGCCATCCAGTTCCACAGTCTTGATTTTGAAATCAACCCCAATAGTCGAAATGTAATCGTTGGTGTAGGTGTCATCAGAAAACCTCAACAACAAGCACGATTTACCGACTCCCGAGTCTCCGATCAGCAAAAGCTTGAATAAGTAGTCATATTCGCTATTCATGGTGTAGGTATAGGCCGTCTCACAAACTTTATTGCCTGCAGTTTGTGCGCTATTTGCACTTGTTAGAAGATGTTGGTTGTGGTGAGAGAGCAGGGGTCAAATTCGATCAAGTTCGAGTTTTAGATGTCTTCGTTAGAGGTGATGATATTTGCACTATTTGAAACCTACTAGGTTAAAATAGTGAGCTTAAAAGTCGAAGAAGATACCGAATATGTAGGATTACAACTGAGGAGTGATCTGGATTTGATGGTGCAGATTATTTGACCATGTGTAGTTTTTCCAAATTCTGATTTGGTGGCTCTTAAGGCTTATAGGTGAGGACTATGTAAAAGAAGCAGAAATCGACAAAAAAATTGCTAAACAAGATCTTAGTTTTCTTATAAGCTTATTTGTTGATTGTCCAGCATGGTTACGAACAGCAATTGCCGTCTTAGTTTACATACTTGCGACATGGTTACAGTAAAACTCACTTTTATCACTTTGCACCGGGTTTGTCGCTGACACAAGAGTCACGTGCGAAAGACAGTATAAGATATACTCTACAACATCAGACCACTGATCGATGAGTTCGCAGTCCGGGTTTCAGTTAGGGCTTCGCGAAGCTTTGAGCCATCGAATTATTGTTTCCAGAAAGCAATGTCTCTTCAGCTTTTTGGTTGTCGCTCCATCGAAACTGTAATTTTAACAATTTTACCGTTGTGTCAGTAATCCAGTAACAGTTCTGACACACAACACCTCAAAAACGAACCGTTGATAGAGAAAGTGAGAAAAAAGTTTAGTCTATCAAGCTCGAGAAAACGTTGCGGTGCTGATCTTGGATTTAGTTGGTTTGCGATTGGAGGCTGCCACTAACAAAGTCTGAAACGGTTCAAAGTTAACGGTTATAATTTAGCGCAAGATTAGTATTACAAACACCCTTTAAAGTATATTGTTCAAGCTTTTTAGCTGCAAGATATGGACTTTTCATAATTTTGAGGATCAGAGTGAATCTTTGCAGTGTCTTGGTACGATAACCGTTCCGCGCCCGTGATGATGACTTTAGCAAATAACAAAGGGGATTGAACAATCGAAAGCCTCAGAAATCAGCTGTGTTCGACGAAGGCTCAATGAGGGTTCAAGTGTCCCAGATCAGCTGTTCGCTTGTGCGTTTAACTTTCTCTAGGCTGGTCACTACTCATTGCTCGCGATCGCATTTGTTTGAAAGGTATGAACTGAGAAATGCCTGAAATGACGAGACCACTGTAGACGGTCAATTCGACCAGGAACCACTCCATGCTATTGATGCCGTGGTTATTGAACAACTAGTAACTTGTAGCTCCCCCGGTTCCTGTAGTGTGACGTCTGATCACGTGCTTGTGATCATTCTGCATCGACTCAGACGCTGGATACGACAAGGATATCTGATGTAATTTATACTCCTGGAGACGAATGACAACTTGTTTCAAAACCAGCTGCAAAACTCAGTGGGTTTCGTCAAACAATTGTCATGCCAGTGGTTACAGTGACAAGCTCTTAAATTATCGTTAAGAATGACATGTCACGTGACACTTGGCTTATTTGAACAACATCTCGAAAAGGGCAGAGTTCTTGAGGGCAAATCGAGACCCACGTTTGAAGTTCTATGCAAGCGGTACACAAGAGCTTCACCATCTTTGATGCGCGATAAAGAATCATATCGACATTTTGAATAGACTTATTTCTGGCACGCACACTATTAAGTCCGCAGAAAATGCGGGGAACCAAAAAGTGGAGGACCAAAAATTCAAACTAAGAGCAGTGGCTCTCTATTACATATTGCACGGGTTATCACCACTTGGCTCTGCCATCCTAGTACCAACTCTTCTGCTTCAACAAGAGGTCACGTGAGCACTTTTATCACTTTATTCCTTTTCGACAGCTGTCGTCTCGAAACGCGAAGTTCTCTCCCCTCCCTCAAAGGCACTGGTATTTCTCTTGGGAACCAACATTCTGCAATTGAAGATTCCATAATTTAACTGCAATGCTAGTAGCCATCTCAACTCTTCAAAACTAATCGCTGGCGCTCAATTGTTTAGAAATGCTAATAGTCATTATTACTAGTTGCTGACCGCTGGCGCTCTGAACTTTTGAGCTGAAGTTAATACAGTGCCCGAAACATTTACAAGTGATCACTGTCGTTCTCAAGTGTTCAACTATACTAATGTTCTTCACTTCGATTTACAATTGATCGCTGTCGCTCTCAATTGCTCAACTACCGGCCACATCGGTGCGTAAAGACTGACGAGCAGCGTCAGCGGGTAGCATTTGGGTCTAATCATCCACAAGATCTTTTACTTTTGATGTTTGTTAAATTAGGAACCTTATATCTTAATCTGGGCTGTTTCCCTTCAGACTATTCACCTCATCGCGCATAGTCTTATTAAAGGTTGAGTAATACTGCAAGCGTCCTGATCTGTTCCAGCTCAAACTACCAAGAATTGAAAACGAAACACGGGATGAGGACAGATGACAGAGCTCTCGGATAAGTATGCTCTTGAAACACCATTCGCCAAATAAACGATATACTAGCGAACAGGGAGTTCAACACAAACGGCCATGCTTCGTCCGATAGTAATTCTTGCTGATCGAAGCTGTTCTGTGGCGAAAACCAGTGACCCAGAGGTTGAAGTACTATTGGCCCAGGTAGTGTTATAGTGGTTATGGCCAGGAGTGTACTTGAACAATTGACTGCACACGCTTTGAAATGTTGATTACAGAGCTTGGAATATTCATTACTGATCACTGATGCTGTTGATTGCTTAGGTGTGCTGATAGCCATCATGGCTGTTCACAATTGAGAGCGTCAGTAGAGCGTCAGTGATCAATTGTTCAACAATGCTCAAAGCTCCGATATTCACAACTGGTCGCTGACGCTCTCTGCTATACTAACAATAATTTTCCTGACGCCCTCAATTGTTCAGGTATGCTAATAGCCATTTCTAATAATCACAATTGAGCGCCGGCGCCCTCAATTTTTCAACAATTCTAAGAGCCCTTATTTATCAGTGACGCTCTCAATCCTTCAACTACACCTCCAGGTATTATTATCAATCACAACTGAGAGCGTCAGCGATCAATTGTGAATGGTGGTGATGGCTATTAGTATTAGTATAGTAGAATATCTGATTGCTGACGCTCTCAGTTGTGCAATTGTGCTTATAGTATTCACGTTATTCACACCTGATCGCTGATGCTCTCAGTTGTTCGACTATGGTACTAGCCTTCACTGTCATTCCCAATTGATAGTTTACGCTCTCAATTGTTAAATTGCGCTTACAATACTCACGTCATTCACAACTGATCACTGATGCTCTCAGCTGTTCAACTGTACTTCTAGCCATCGCTGTCGTTCACAACTGATCGCTGACGCTCTCTCTCACTTGTTCAACTATACTACCAGTCCTCTATTATCACTTTCCATTTATGTGTCGTCCTCTCAGCGTTACCCTACCCAATGTTAAGATCCGGAAAAATGTAAACACAAAATTCCTACCGGTGCTAATAAGGTGGGATTCCAATCAAGATCCTAAACTAAACAGTTGATCATCGAAACGAGATCTTTTAGTGCTACAAAGAGCTCATTGATCGACTAGAAACAGCTTCCAGGACTTCATGAGAGAAATCGTATGTCTTTACAAACTGTGTCGAAAAAAATTCGGTTTAAAACAAGCCAATTTTGAGACCTGTTACGTGTATTTTTTTTGAGACGCGTTGATTTCGAACAGCATCCGTTGATGGTTCATTCAGCTTAAGAAGGTTTTACTAACGGGGAATAACTTATCTTTGTAGATCCATATATCGACGGGCCAGTGTGGTAACCAGATCGGTGCGGCGTTTTGGGAAACTATTTGTGGCGAACATGGTCTTGATTTCAACGGAAATTATCATGGTTTAGACGATATACAAAAAGCGCGTTTAAACGTGTATTTCAACGAAGCTTCTTCCGGAAAATGGGTTCCTCGTTCCGTCAACGTGGATTTGGAACCAGGCACAATCGATGCGGTACGGAACTCGCGTATCGGAAATCTGTTCAGACCAGATAACCACATTTTTGGCCAATCTTCTGCCGGTAATGTGTGGGCCAAGGGCCACTACACAGAAGGTGCAGAGCTTGTAGACTCCGTGATGGACGTGGTGCGTCGTGAGGCTGAAGGATGTGACTCGTTGCAGGGCTTCCAAATCACACATTCGCTAGGTGGTGGTACTGGATCCGGTATGGGTACGTTGCTGATTTCCAAGATCAGAGAAGAATTTCCTGACCGTATGATGGCTACATTTTCCGTGGTCCCATCGCCCAAAACTTCAGACACCGTTGTAGAACCCTACAATGCCACTTTGTCTGTGCACCAGCTCGTGGAACACTCTGACGAAACATTCTGTATCGACAATGAAGCGCTATACGATATTTGTCAAAGAACTCTGAAACTAAGCCAGCCTTCCTACAGCGATCTGAATCATTTGGTGTCGTCTGTGATGTCTGGTGTTACCACATCGCTACGTTATCCAGGTCAATTGAACTCGGACTTGAGAAAATTGGCAGTCAACTTGGTCCCATTCCCTCGTTTGCATTTCTTCATGGTCGGTTACGCTCCGCTAACATCCATTGGATCCCAATCTTTCAGATCTCTAACAGTTCCAGAGCTAACGCAACAGATGTTCGACGCCAAGAACATGATGGCTGCTTCAGACCCAAGAAACGGTAGATACTTGACTGTTGCGGCGTTCTTTAGAGGTAAAGTGTCCGTGAAAGAAGTAGAGGATGAAATGCACAAGGTACAAACGCGTAACTCTTCGTATTTCGTGGAATGGATTCCTAACAATGTACAAACTGCTGTGTGTTCTGTTGCACCTAAGGATCTCGACATGGCCGCAACGTTTATCGGTAACTCTACGTCTATTCAGGAGCTGTTCAAGAGAGTCGGTGACCAATTCGGTGCTATGTTCAGAAGAAAGGCGTTTTTGCATTGGTACACCAGCGAGGGTATGGAAGAAATTGAGTTTTCTGAAGCCGAGTCGAACATGAACGATCTCGTTAGCGAATACCAGCAATACCAAGAAGCTACAGTGGAGGACGACGAAGAGATCGAATACGCTGACGAGCAACCAATACCCGAAAACTTCGAGTAATGTCCCCCCACACCCCAAAAAAAAGACAGGTTGCCAGGAGCCACCACTCTGAAGTCGTCAGTCATTTGAATACATAAGGAGATGGCGGAAACCTTCGAAAAGTGACAAAGAGACGACAAATGTTTTATGCTTTTCTCGATACCCTCACACGCCCATCTCACCCAACCGATATTCAAGGTTTTCCAATTTTTGGAGAGCTGAACATATCAAACCATACACAAAACAACCTCGCTCAAGCTCCCTGAAATTGTCCTTTTTTTTGACCCAACCTTCCTTGCACTTCCATCAGCGTGTTCAAATGATTTCCACTACGACTCTCCATCTCCATCACAACCGTAACTACACAAGCTAAAGTTTGCCAAGCTGGCAGCGACTGCCTTATTATCTTCTATAATATAATTTTGATTTTGGAATCTTCGCGCTGAACGCAAGTCCATCTATATAGTTTCGGAAAAGCTTCATACCCAAATTCTATTATACTCAGTATCAAAGGCGTGACGTGGGTGCGTCAATATGTGTTTCAATTGACATTTTTGAGCCCTACGAAGTACGCTATTTGACCTGTTATAATCTCAAAATTCAACCAATGAATTGACCATCAAATAGTGCACTAAATGAACAATAAAGGCCTCGAAATTAGCTACTCTTTCATCTCTTTCTTACTTTCCTTCATGGCGCTGTCGCTGTCATCGAAAATTTTATATAATATTGGTAAAAAAGTAAGATGAACTACTCGATGTGATGCGATGAGCTCATCTCAACTTTTAAAAATAAGGACAATCAGACACAAGGCGGTTTTGTTAAGCCGATTTGAATAGCTCAACTCAAGATGCTACGCTATTCGAGCATATGTCGTCGATCTCACGGCTCAAACCGGATAATACGCCAACTAAGACCTCTTTCAGGAACGGTTTTCTTGCAAAAACCGTCTATGGACTCTTTTGGGATGGATAACCGTGCAACCAGCGAAGATATTGGGTTTTTGAAATCTTCAGTAGTGTCTACAGCTCCGGGATTCACAACTTTCGATAACGCCCAAGCGGCTGCTCAAGCAGGTGAGACCCGAAATATTATGAACCTGTGGTCGCTGCTAGAGGCCTGTCTTCACTCTGGCTACATGGATCGTGCATTCTCAATATTGAAGTCTCTGTACGGTCTCAAATCGCACCGAGCCTCCTTCATAGACGACTACAACAAGTTTCTGGCTAAATTTGCCGAAAAAGCTGACGACTTGAAAGCGGTCGATAAAAAACTGTTCGATGACCTCCAAAAATCGTTCCCAACTGTGGACTATAATGACAAAACCCTTGCGATTCTGATTCACAACGCTATCAGACTTTCAGATTCCCAAGAGACTCGTCTAAAGCATTGCAGAACATACCTAAGAATGGCGGTAAGCGGGTGTAGAGGCATCCTGAGCAACGTCGAGGTATTGACTGTACAAGATTACCGGTGTCTGATAAACGAACTTGAACTTATAGAACTGAATGACTTGCCCGCTGATTTGACTCCACTGGTGGTCGCTAACAACCTCTCCCCGGAAAACAACGAAGAACCAAGACGAACCGCAGGCGGAACCGATGGATCGATGATACCACAAACTCAGGAAACTACGAAACCGGCATTTCAGGAACAAGTCAAGGCTATACCCAAGAATGCGGACGATTTGTTGGCTGTAGACACCATCGGTATGAAAGTAGTACGACACACTTTACTTGGGCTAACCCTTACAGATGAACAAAGAAAGCAGATCAAGGAATTCAATTTTGAAAGTGCGTCCAACCTTTTGAATTTCGAAAACGGCCAGGACAACATAGATTTTTTCGAGATTCACAAGAACTTGAAGACAGAAGAAGAAAGAGAGGCATTTGCAAAGGCCTTAGACGAATTTAATCAAGATAGGCAGCTTCAATTGGAGCACAGAGCAACCGATGCAGCAAAAGAACGTTGGAAACACGATTTTGAGGAAGCTAAGGCAAGGGGAGACTTGTCTATACAAAAGAAGCTGAATGTCAAATTGTGGGAGTGGTTTAATCAGATGTTACCACTCGTGAAGGAAGAAGTTAAGCGATGCGCTGAAGTTGCAAGTGACTCAGTGCAAGAGGGAACTCTTTCTGCCAAGGAAAAAAAGCAAAATAAGGCGAGACAGGACTATGGACCTTATTTGACTCTTGTGGATGCGGAGAAAATGTGTGTTATCACGATCTTGGAACTTTTGAAATTGAACTCTACTGGAGGTGTGATGGAAGGGATGCGGACTGCTAGAGCAGTTATCTCTGTTGGGAAAGCAATCGAAATGGAATTCAGAGCCGAACTTTTACTGAAAAATGAATCTTACGTTTTCAAAGATATCAACAAGAAGTCGCACGAGTTCAAGTTACTAGTGCAGCGCGCTAGGAACACTTTCCGTTCCATGAAAATTGAGGAATCCAAAATATTGTGGCCGCAAGAATCTCGTGCTAAGATTGGCTCCATATTGATTTCGATGTTGATTCATGTCGCAAGAGTGAGGGTCGAAGGTGTTGACCCTGTTACTCAGGAGAAAATCCAAGGTGAAGCTCCAGCTTTTTCTCATGGGTACCAATATCATAACGGTTCCAAGTTAGGTGTTCTCAAAATACACAGAAGTCTTGTGCATCAGCTGAATGGCGAGCGCTTAGTTGCCGCTGTTCAACCTCAGTTGCTCCCCATGCTAGTTAAACCAAGACCGTGGAAGAGTTGGAATTCTGGTGGATACTTTTACACTCAGTCAACACTTATCAGATCAAAGGAATCTCCAGAACAAGTCGCGTACCTAAAAGCTGTGTCTGATTCAGGTGCGATCGACAACGTTTATCACGGATTAAATGTTCTAGGCGAAACTCCTTGGACAGTAAATCGTAAGATGTTCGATATTATGTCGCATGTATGGAACACAGGCAAGGCTTTTCTCGATATCCCTGGCAATCAGAGCAAGCTCATTCTGACACCTCAACCACCCAGAGATGCGGATCCATCAATCCATAGAAAGTGGAAGCTTAAGAATAAAGAGCTCGCAAATGAGTTTTCAAGTGGGAGATCAGCGCGCTGTGATGCTAACTACAAGTTGGAGATTGCTAGAGCATTTCTTGGCGAAAAATTCTACTTCCCTCATAACCTAGACTTCCGTGGTCGTGCTTACCCATTGTCGCCTCATTTCAACCATCTAGGCAATGATATGAGCAGAGGCCTTATGATTTTCTGGAACGGGAAAAGGCTAGAGTCGACAGGTTTGAAATGGCTGAAGGTCCATCTTTCTAATCTTTTTGGATTTGATAAGGCACCTCTCGATGAGCGTGTAACTTTCACGGAAAGCCATCTAGAAGACATTAAAGATTCGGCAGAAAATCCATTGGATGGGAAGGGCTGGTGGAAGCAGGCAGACAAACCTTGGCAAGCTCTCGCTACCTGTATGGAGTTGAACGAAGCTTTGAAGTTGGACAATCCATGCGATTTTATCTCCCACGTTCCTGTGCACCAAGACGGAACTTGCAATGGCTTGCAGCATTACGCTGCGCTCGGAGGTGATGTAGAAGGCGCGAAGCAGGTAAACTTGATGCCTAGTGACAGACCTCAAGATGTCTACTCACATGTTGCGAAACTGGTCGTAGCAAGATTGGAAGCAGCCGCGGCCAAAGGCGATGAGAATGCTGAGCTTCTGAAGACCATGATCAAACGTAAAGTTGTCAAGCAAACTGTCATGACCAATGTCTATGGTGTGACGTACATCGGTGCCACCCATCAGATCGAAAAGCAACTATCCAATGTGTTTGATGATTACAAGCGTTCTTACGAGATGTCAAAGTACTTGACAAAGCACGTATTTGCCTCCGTTAGAGAATTGTTCGAGGGTGCACATTTAATTCAAGACTGGCTTGGGGATTGTGCCAAAAGGATTTCGAAATCTATAAGGCTGGACATCGATGAAAAGACTTTCAAGAACGGTAATAAACCTGACTTTATGTCATCTGTCATCTGGACTACGCCCTTGGGACTGCCTATAGTTCAACCATACCGTGAAAGCGGCAAAAGACAGGTGGTGACTAATCTTCAAACAGTTTTCATAAGCGATCCGTTTGCGGTTAATCCTATCAATGCCAGAAGGCAAAAAGCAGGATTTCCTCCAAACTTCATCCACTCACTGGATGCATCACACATGCTTCTTTCCGCCCTTAAATGTGGAGAAAAAGGCTTGGATTTCGCTGCTGTTCACGACTCCTACTGGACCCACGCGAGTGATATCGACACAATGAACGTACTTTTGAGGGAACAGTTCATCAAGTTGCATGAAGTTGACCTCATCGAGAGGCTGAAAAACGAATTTGACGAACGCTATAGGAACTACCTGCAGATCATAAAGATTGACAAGACTTCAGACGTAGCTGCGAAAATTGTCGAACTAAGAAGGAAGCTTTCGCAAAAGCTCGGTCGTCAATTCACACTAGCGGATGAAATTTATATGGAAAAGAAGCGCATCGAATTGCTCGAATCCGAGGAACCCAGTGAAAACGCAGAAGGTGCGGAAATGACAACTACGGTATCGCTTCTCGGCGAGATCGAAGATATTGGAGCGCTAGAAAAATCAGGCGATTCCAGCGGCATAATGGTTTTGGCGCCCCTGAAACTACCCCAGATTCCCCCAAAGGGAAACTTTGATGTCAGAGAACTTGAAAACAGCAAATACTTCTTTTCTTGAGGGAAACTTCCGTCAAGGTCCAAAAACTTGCATATCGTATTTGCTGTCGTGTCGAGGACTCTGTTTTGATAAAAAAAAACTCCTGTACATAAAGACCCGACCTTTTCATTTCATTGAACATACTTTTATAAAAAAAACCCCATGCATATATCACATCTTAGACGGAATTCTGCTTCTCTCGTGCTTCTCTCCTTCTCAGATGATCTTACCCTGTTTTTCAAGGTTTTCTATCAATGGCTCCAGCGGGCTCATGTCTCTCCGATCTATCAGGTTGTACTCCTTCGCAAAACTCACAAAATGGGCGAACAATGAGTTCCAATGCGCCTCCAGCGACAGATGTATGATTTTGTCGAAGTGATGGTGGTACATATGTGCAAAGATTCTGAACATTTGAACCATTATCCTTTGGATATCTTGAACAAAATTAGGCGGGAAAGAGAAACCGTTCTGTGTGGGGAAGAGTGTTTGATCTGAGACTTTATTATTGATCCAGGTCAAGGCGAGATCGATGTATTGGCCCGCCGGCAGCGAAACTTGTCTGCTGTTAGCGTCAAGCCACATATAATCGGTATGTGGGCCGGCATTCATGGTTGGATAAGCGTCTGCCGTAACGTACTCGGCCACAATTCCATAAAAGAGGTTAAGATTGGTGAAAAATTCAAAAACATTCAGAGCTACCCACTCGCCTAAATCCACGTATTTCGGAAGTTGCACTATAGTTTTGAAGGAACCTTTGACCAAAGCCGTTCTGACGAAGGGCTCACTTAAAAATAGTGCTTGCTGAGTCTTTGGACTTTCGCGTACTGCCGGTGAAGTAGTAGTGCCATTAGGTTGAAAACCTTGATTTTGAAGGTTCCCACTATTATGGGAACTCGCAGATTGCCTGACGGGCGACGCCTGCATTTGCATCTGACGCAACGAAAGCTTTGAATTGCTGCCATGAGAGTTGGTGTAAACGGAATTCACAGGTGTGGCAGATGTGCCTCCATTCTGGCTCTTATTCTTCTTGTTGCTTCTGCCAAACCCTCTGTTTTTAACGATATGAAACGTTAGTCGAAAATGCAACATTTTGGCTTGTAAAGGCTCGGTTGGAAAACTTACTTGAAGGTGTTGAAAAACGACATCAATGGCCGTATACTATGGTGATAATCAGTTGGTAAAGACGCTCTTTAAGGTATGGTTTGGTCTGTTAGTTTACACAGCAGTCGTTTCATTGATGATCTGAACATATTGAAAAATACAGACGTATAGTATGATATCGATTAAGTACACGTCACGTGGAAGATCTAGAGATGTCTTGCCATGAGCACGATCCAGACCAACCAGCATGTCGTCTAGCCGTTTATATTCCAGTCCTGATACCTTCTGATGCTACATGGATCAATAACAATTTTTTTTAGTTATCAAATTCCACCTTCTTGCTTTCACTTCTTCCGGTACAGTCTGTAGAAAAAACGCATATTTTCCACCTTCAGAGGATAGTCTACATCGTCCTTGGCACGGTACCATAACGAATCGTGCTCTTGAACTAGTTCCCAAGCACCGGTATCTTCTTGGCCCCTTTTACCCAGTAGTAGCGTGTCGACAAGAAACTGAATAGGAAACTTCTTGGTGCCCACGGTTATATGAGAAAAGCTGCCGGCGCTCTCGACGATCAATAAATGGCAGCCCGACTTGCATTGATTGCTGAGCAGTTGAAAAAATCGAATGCTTTCAGCCTTTGCAGCCGTGAATAGCTCGTTTGTGGTGAACAGTAGTGTTATCAGATTGAGTGTCGGCAAATTCAAATCTGAGGAGGTCGCTTGTAGGACATCTTTTTTCAGAAATTGGATTTGCAAATCGTTGGCATGGTCGAACAGCCATGTCTTGGAGATGCTTTCCTTCAGTTTCTCCACTTCTGCACTCCAGTCCGCTAGATCGACTAATGTGACTTTGAGAGTTTTGTTTTCCACTTGAGCGCTAGTCGAGTACTTAGAGTTAAAGTCCACAGAGGGTACAAATATGCTGCTGATACTTATCAGCTCACCTCCTGCACCGCCCCCAATGCACAAAATTTCGCTCTCATCAGACTTCTGGATCACAGCTCGAACGGCGTCCAAATGGCAAAAAAGTGAGCTGTACGCAATTGCCCGAGAAGGAGACCACCGACAGCAATAAGCAGTTCGCTTCTCTGCTGTATCAAAAGCAGCCGAGTAGTTTCTGTTAAACAGCTCTGATTTTACAAGTTGAATATCATCGCTAAGAATTTGGCGATCATCACGATACAACTGTTGATCGAAAGTAACTTTGAACAGGTCCAGTATATCCTGTGGCGATAGGCTTAGCTCATTGTGAAACGGGAGTGTCTTCAGGTCATTTTTGACCATGTTCGAAAATGCGTTTTTCAGCTCATCGCTTAGAGATGGAAAATTGGCATGCCTGATATCTTCATTTAGTACCTTACATGACAAGACGTAAAACTAGAGCAGTGTTTGGCAAGGTCTATAGGACCCAAACTGTAGGAATTTGGGATTTCATTAAATCCAGCAATCAGCGTCACTCGGATGTTCCTTAAGAGCGTTTTAACTATACACTCGATTAGTATACACGAAGCTAATTAAGTAGCCGAAAAGATTCAAGTCATGGATAAACGGTTTGAGTCAAACGACGCCAACCAGACCCTTACCTTGAAGCCCAATGCCATGTCGAAACATGCAAAACAAACACATCCGATTAAAAGTCGAGACAGAGAAGAAACGAAGAGATTAAGTACTTAGAGATTGAAGTCAAGTTACCACAACGTCGACCATACCCCGTTGATGCATTTACTCTTCGTCTTCCTCGTCCTCTGGAGTGACTTGGTAGAAGGCCAATTTGTACTCGTTGGTTCTCACCGAGATGACTCTGATCCAGTCTCTCAATTGGTTCTTCTTCAAGTACTTCTTGGTTAGGTACTTCAAGTACTTACCGGAGAATTTGGCGGTGGAGACAACGGTCACAACAGAGTCGTTCTGCTCCACAGACACAGCGTTGCCCAAGTTACCCAAGTGACCGTCAACCTTGATGTGGTCGATCAAGTACTTAGCGTAGTTGGCTGGGACGAACACGGAACCCTCAGTTGGGGCAGAAACGTCGACAGTGAAGGTCTTGGTGATCTTTTGCTTTCTGGTGGTCTAAAAAGATAGCAAGATTCGGTTAGTAAAAAAGCGGACGCCATCAAAATGTGCCAGTTACCAAATCAACGTGCCTACTGCTATTAACAATTACAATGTGGTAGTTTTCCCTCCATGTAAATAATTAACAAACAGCAAAGCCTCTCAATTCTCCCACACGGAAACTCGAGTCGATTCAACTCAACTCGTGAATCGAATGCTTGAAAGTTCTTTGAAGCCGCAGCTTCTCGGAAATGTCCCACAAGTAATGTTTAAAGCAGCGGCACCCACTTATTTGATACCGTTCGAATCGCATAATAATCCTCCTTATTTGTCACATACAGATGGAGCCATTTTTGTCTGAGTTGTGCTTGAGTGTGATCGGAATCTGAAGGTACCAATATGTTAAGAGCTGTCTTCGAAGTGTAGTTCTTGAGTAGCTTTGGCTGCCCTGGCGCTTGCTCCATGGGCAGTGGAAAATTCCAGGACACTTTTTGCGTGGGTTGTTAAAAGTAGACTACCTGAAGATCCTGTAACACGAGTTAAACACAATGTCGAAAGTCTAATTTTTGTAAAGAGGTCTGGGTGTTGAAATTCAATTTCTCACAAAACAGTCACAAGCAAGCAACAGCAGTGTTACAGATCAGCGATACGACAGCGAAACGACAGCGACAGATGGCAGCCCTGGGTTGAACGCTATGCGAGCGAATGAAGAGGCCACGATGTTGCTGGGAGAGTAATTAATGAAGCGAGTCTAGTGTTAGGCTCTCGAACTTGTGGACGGAATGAAGGGAAGTGCAGACAGTAAGAGGATCGCACCTGGATGATTTTGGCCATTCTTGAAGAATTTCAAGACTACATCGATGGAATACAAACACCGGATATTGTTTGCATTCTAGGCTTCGAGATCCTCGAAAAACTAGTGATCGTCATCTTTGACACTACGAAATATCACTTTTTACTCTGCTGTCGTCACTTTCAGGATGAGGACACCTCTAATGAAATACATGAGAATAATGAACCCTGACCTTTTTTGTGAAGCTTTCATTTCAACATGGCATACCGAAGCGTACTGCTATGATGTGACAATTGTCGATCGTAGAGCAATTCGCGTTCTTTTGATAGAGGATCGTCGGCGACACATTAGTACAGAGTGATACCAGCTATCTGAAAACCGTTCACTTGTTATTCGTCAAAACAACAGACAAAAATTCGTTCAACATCAAATAAAATACCGGGTACTTCTTGGCTATATCTCAAACTACCAAGAAAGCTTAATATCCGGATGATTTGTACCTTTCTCGAGCTAAATGTTTGAAATGACGCTCTGTCACATGATCAAATCTATCCAATTATTGACATATACTGTAATAGTCATTTCTAACCTATATCAACCCAAGTTCAATTGAACCACCGGTAGTTCTGGATGATTCAGAGGCCTGGGTGGGCTCTTTTGGACTGTGAATCATGCCCACTAATCATGCGAATGACTTAGAATTTGGGTTGAAAGAATTGAAGCTCACCAAGAAAGTTCATGATGAACGCATTGCAGGTAATAAGACATCAAGGTCGGTGTCACCAGTACCAACAAGAACGATAGTAAAGCCGTCTGACACTCCACCACGAATTTCACTTGAAGAATCTGCCTCAAAAGCGGGAGAAAACGAATCTCCGAAGCCATCGGATGCTATTGGAGGACCGATGGGTGAGGAAGAAACAAAGATCAATGATGATATGAATGACCTTTTAGACTCAGATTCAGACTCTTCACGAGAATGGAGCACCGTTCCAGCAATTGCTACTTATGATATTTACGACGACAGTGGCGAGCTTGCTCTCGCAGCCTACAAAGATCCGCTCAAGACGTCTAGCAATCCATCTTTAGGCAATTCCGCCAATGAATCCACCGATCAGCTGAACAAACAGAAACACTCCTCTACATTTGGCTACACAAAAATAGCGGATGAACAACAGGCTCAGAGGTCGCATGCGACTAACAAAAAGACCGATTTTTTATTTAATCACAAAGCTATGAATGAATCAAGCCAATCTCTGAAGGGGGCAGGAACCTCAACGGAACATTACGACGAGTATGAAGATGCTGAAGAGCACGAATCGGAGCTCAACTCGCGCAGTCAATTGTCTTTTACTAAAAATTTACTCAGTGGGCGTGAGAAACTTGCATATGCGGGATCCATCTCGGTTCTGGCTAACACTATGTGTACCCAACTGGCATTAAGTTGTCATTGCACTAATGTTACGGGCCGAAAGAAATTAGCTCAAAGACTGCAGCATATTCAAAGGGACATGGGAATGTGGAGAAGGACTCTAGAGTCGAAACTCTGTGAACACTTAGAAATCTCACCCGAGGAAATTAAAATGATAGAACGCTTGGCCGTTCACGGGATAGCGCTCGAGGATCTTTGCAAATGTCTGAAAGTGGCTCAAGTTGTTGAAAATCCGTGGGAAGAACTCAAATCGGTCGACAAATGTCCTGACTTGAAACAAACAGATATTAGCAATCCTCCTCCATCAAAAGTCATTCACCCAGAAGATTTGAAAAACGAGTCAGAGCTTCGAATAGATGTGGCATGGACAATCGTGTGCGATTTGTTTTTGCTTCTTCTGTCAGGAAGCCGATACGATGCTAGGTCAAGAACTCTATTCATCAAATTTTCGGAAGTCCTTAACATAACGCAAACTGAGATTTGCGAATTCGAAAGACGTGTCATAGATGCTTTAGACATGGAGCAATCAACGGAAGAGCAGGAATGGAACGAAACAGAGCATATGAAATCTCGCCGTAAAAAGAACAAAAGGAGAAAGTTATGTTACGTTGGTCTCGCTACTATTGGTGGTTCGCTAGTCTTGGGTCTCAGTGGTGGACTACTCGCTCCCGTGATTGGTGCAGGTATCGCTGCTGGGCTTACCACCGCGGGTATCACTGGTGCGACGGGGTTTTTAACCGGCGTCGGTGGTACTGCAATTGTCGCAGCAACAAGTACTGCTATTGGGGCCAAAATAGGTACTGAGGCAATGTCTAAAAGAATGGGAAGTGTACGAACGTTTGAATTTAGCCCTTTGCATAACAATAGAAGGGTGAATCTGATAATCAGCGTATCTGGATGGATGACTGGTAATGAGGATGACGTACGCTTGCCGTTCTCCACGGTAGATCCAGTTGAGGGTGACTTATATTCTCTACATTGGGAGCCTGAAATGTTGAAATCTACTGGTCAAACGATAAACATTTTAGCCAGTGAAATTTTCACCCAGACCGTTCAACAGATTCTTGGTGCAACGATACTGACGGCTTTCATGTCGGCAGTTCAGATGCCTATGATGCTATCCAAACTAGGCTATCTCATTGACAATCCCTGGAATGTTTCCTTGGACAGAGCGTGGGCGGCTGGCCTTATTTTAGCAGACACTTTGATTTCTCAAAACCTCGGTCAACGTCCCATAACATTAATTGGGTTCTCACTCGGTGCTAGGGTGATTTATTCCTGCTTGGTTGAACTCTGCAAAAGAAGAGCGTCCGGACTGGTGGAGAACGCTTACCTGTTTGGCTCACCGGTCGTCTACAACCGCGAACAGCTTGTAATGATTCGGTCTGTTGTCAGTGGGAGACTAGTCAATGGATACTCAGACAAAGACTGGATCTTATGCTATCTTTTCAGAGCTACGAGTGGAGGGTTCAAAAGCGTTATTGGGATATCTGAGATAAAAGATATTGAGGGGATCGAGAATTATAACTGTTCAGACTTGGTTGAGGGCCATATGACATATCGTAAAAGCATGCCAAAACTACTCAAGGCAATGGGAATATCGGTTCTGAGCGAAGAGTTCGCGGACATTGAAGAGACGTCGGACCCTGAGCAGCTCCACCGGCAGAGGCAAATTGGTTTTGACATTGAAAAGGCTCATAAAGCCTCTGCCAAGAAGAAACGCGCTAGCTGGGTTCCAGGGTGGATGAAACCTAAAAAGGCAAAGTGGCAAGAAATGTATGAAGAGTCTGCCATTGCACAAAGCCATAAGGAGCAGGACACCGAGAATGAAACCAGTGACTCCTCAACCAAAGCAGAAAAGACGGAGGGCACCAGTGTGAATACGAGCGCCTTGATGAAAGAACTCAACAAATTGAAAAAGGAAGCTGCTATGATTCAAAGCTTGAACAAGGAAGCTGTTGGCACTCAAGACGGCACGAAAGCTAGCTCACCCACAGAGAAAGGAATTAATACTGATAAAAGTTCATCTGCGGGCGACAGGGAGACGGATGAGTGGAAAACGAAGAACTCATTAATGAGCGCTGGTAAGGTCCTGTTACCAGAAGATCCCAGGAGTTTCCAGAAGAAGGACCACGAGTCCGTTGATTTTGCATTTTCAGACGACTTCTAAACGTAGAAGAGCATTGTATCTATAAGCAACTATATACTGACATGAAAGTACTATAGAAAGACTTCAGAGTTCAGCTCCACATAAGAAGCAGCGTAAGGTAAATCAAAGTTCTTCATCACCTCCGGGTGCAGCACACCTAGGGTACCAATCTTTTTGATCTCTCCACCCTCCTTAGGTCTGAACATGACTCTAGCGCCTCTTCCAGGGAAGTAAGTTGGCAATGAATCATCCTCCTCGATCCAGTAACCTCTTGTCGAGGCAGCCTTGCCGTAGTCCGCCACCCATTGGGTTCTGAAAGTTTGCATGATTTTACCCAAGAGACCTTGTATAATCTCAAACCCTGAGGTTTTCCCAACGTAGATAGCACCCCAGTGACGCTCGTTAAATGCTTTGCGCTCCAGCTGATCGTTTTTCAACACTATGTCACCAGCTTCGAACACTTTGATCGGCAAAGTATGCTTTCTGTTTTCCCTGACAGTCTTCAAAATACCTGGAAGCAGAGTGGTTCTGACGACTTGATATTCTGATGTCTTAGGGTTTGCCAATCTGACCGCCTGTTTGCCATCGTCCTTCACTCTCAAAAACTTGTAGTTTTCATCATGGGAGCAAAGTGTTAGTGGGAGAACCTCTATCCATGAAGCTTGCGCAGAGGCAGCTCTAAAAATGTCAGATATTTTGTTGATCGGTAATGGTGCAGCAACGAAATTTGCGTTCGATAGCTTCTCACCCTTTGGCAACTTGTTGTATCCGTAGCCGATGGCCGCATCCTCCATGATATCACAAGGATGTAAGATGTCTGGTCTGGTGATTGGAATCGAAACTTCAAGGTAGCCAGCATTCTTGGAGGGTGTAGCTTTTAGAGACATCTTCTTCAAGTTGTCACAAATCTCTTGCGGTGGCTGATCAAGACCCAAGCACGAGTTGATGTACGCGGTGGAGACTTCCATGACGTTTGGAGTGAAGTTGGGGGTCACACGAGACTGCTGGTTGTGCTCCGAAACAACCTCAACCGGTTCCACGACAAACGGATCTGCACAATAGCGGGAAAACATTGACACAATCTGATTGATGACAATTTCTACCTTGGTCTTATCAGTGGCAGTGCATTCTATAAAGACGTCTGAGGTGTTGAGTGATATTTTAGAGTGTTCAGAATTTATCAATGGTGGCAATGAGCAAACGGTATTGTTGCTGTCGAGCACGACGGGGAAAACTGGCGAATCCTCAATGATGTGAACAAATCTACCCAGGTTATTTTTCTGTTCTGGTTGCTTGTAAAGGTCTATCAACTCAGCTCCAGTAAATTCCTTCGTCTGGTTCAATGGTACAAATTTGAAATCGGTTGGAGGAAGAGCTTTGTAGTAGAAAGGACCTTGGATGGTACTAGCGTCATGGGTTCCCATTGCAACTAAACTTCTGTTTCTGCACAGGTTTGAGTGCAATTTATCTTGCAAATTGATAAAAGACTGGTAAGACTCCTCAGTGAATTTAATACCTCTGAGAAATGCGGCTGCTGCATAAGGTCTTATTTGTTGGGTAGAAGGCTCGATGTAAAGCTTAGTGGTCGCCTTCGAAAGCCTGTAGTTGGGTGTCTCTTTTCTTCCCAAAAACTCATTCAATGACTGTGCAATACCCTCAGTACACAGCAAATCATAACGGTTTGCACCAACCTCAATCTTGAACTCCGGTTCCTCATTTGCCTTCAACGCTTCTTCAGTGGTGTCTTCGTCCAATTCTACGCCAAATTCAAAGCAGAGTTCGTCAAACTCCTCGTTAGTGTATTGTTTGCCTAGCAGGTCAAGGAACTGCTGCTTAGGCACAGAAATGGTTGGCATTGTGGCTGTAGTTGATGGGATTAATCTTAGCTTCTTCAACCATCTTGTTATAGATTTTGGTCAAGTTATCCAATTTCGAAAATTTTCGATCTTCGTCCAACATGATTACGGGGAGGACGACAGCGTCAGGAAATAATCAATGCTTTATGAACCAGCGACATCCCGCTTGACAGTGTTAGGCAGACGGAGTTTCGACACCCAGTAAGATCATTAATTCCGTTAAGAGCTGTCAGGACTTCTCTATGTGGCATACGTTTTCAATTTGCTTTTTGAATGCCCTGCGTTGGGAGTTCACCAGACCTGATTAACTTTCGACGATATATGCCATTCAGAAAGCCTTCGGCCTTCTTTAATCACTCTATGAATCCGTCGTAAATACACCTTATGTACTTCTAAGGATCGGCATCACTGACAATGGTTTCATCGGCTTCTTGACTTTTCTTAAGAGTGTATTCCAGCAGGAGAGAACGCAAATGCTGAATGCTTACAGGGCGTTCAAGTACTTCATCAAAAACACACGCTTGCTGGGCCTCCTGGTAAAATGCAGTTACAGCAATAATCGGGGTGGTCCTGTTGAAACTAGTGGTGTTGCGCAATAATTTGACAATATCGATTGCACCCAGCTTTGGAAGCTTGAGAGCGGTAAACACAAGGTCGAATTTGACGTCACTCGTGGCTCTGCGGACCATTTCGTCACCCATCGAGACGCTTATCACAGAGCAACCAAGACTCTCGAGGTCTTTAGTTAGTTTGAAACGATGTATCGGAATAGGCTCACAAACAAGGATGTCAAGGTTGTACGATAGCTCGCTCACATTTGATGAGATTTTGCTATCACTGTGCCGGCGACTATGTGAGCTGCTTGCCCGAGATAGTAACCGAAGACCTTCGCCTTCTTCGCTGAGAGTATCATCGAGACTGGGGCGCTTAGATGAACAATGTGAGTGAACCCTTGTCTTGGAGGAGGTGTGCTGTGGTGAAAGCGGAGATCTGAAACGCGAAGCTGGCGATGGTGAGTCAATGTCTTCGTTAGCAGGAGCTAAAGAGTTGGGCGAGCTGTCAGTGACCCCGCCAGCACTACGGCGCCGACTGGTCATCGCTAGCTCTATGCTATTCCTCCTGCTAGGGGAATGGTTCTTGGGCACATTTGGCGATGCTGAAGATCTTGTTGATAGAACGGAGCTGCCAAGAGAATTACCTGTGCTGCCAGCTTTAGCGTATTTGACTTTATTAGAGAAATCGGATGAAGAACTTGATCCGCTAGAAGCTCGATGGTGATGGTAATGATGAATCCCCTGTTCCACCAGATGTTCATTCTTGAGCCTGTTGATAACGTCTTTATTGGCCTTATCGAGTGCAGGCAAGTTTCTAAAATTGAAAGAACCAAATTCTGTCTGAAGTTCATTGAGCTTGCTCACTCTACGATCTCTTAAATGAGGAGGGATCGCTAGAGGCAGCTGCTTAGCCGTTGGTGAGCTGTGATTGCTATGATTGTCCCACGATGCAGATTCTAGCACTGATCCAACAGTAAGTTTGTGTACCGGGGTTCCTGATTGACTGCTACGCTCACTGCTAGTCCTTTTCTGTGCTCTTTCAACTTCGCCGGTCATTAATTCTGGAATTTTCTGTTCCTCAGAATCAGATTCGCTGAAATCCTCCAACTGAGCGCCACGCAAGTCAAAGTAGTCCGTGCTTTCTGGATGAGCCACATCAGGAACAAACGACCCCGTTTCTTCATACAAGCATTCCCATTTGACGTCTTTGAAGTAAGGATGCTGGAAGATGTCCTTAACGTCATTTGCCCCTAACCTTTCGTCTGGATTAGTGACTAGAAGCTTTTGTATGAGATCCTTCGCCTCAGGGGAAATAAATTCGAGCTCCGTTTCTTCATCTGCAAATTCTGGCCAGTATATTTTCCCAGCGAGTATGTTACTGAAAACTTGATCCACTGTTGGAGCATGAAATGGGGGATACCCAAAGAAGAACTCAAAAAGCATGCATCCTACAGACCACCAGTCGCAGGCATCAGTTTCACCCGTACCTTCTATCGTTTCAGGGGCCAAGTAATCTGGAGTCCCGAAAAAGCGCTTGTCATTCCTAGAATCATCTGGGTTGAACAAAGTGTAATCTGGCGTAGGACTGCCGTTATCCCAGGTCTCAGAGATATTAGAACTTGCACGTTTATGCAAACTCAAAGGAGGAGGGGATCCCCCTCCAGGAGAATCCGCCATCGAAAACGATAATTGTGACCCCGATCTACGAAGTGCCGGCACTTCTAGGATTGATTGTGAGCTTGAATTGGAATTTGAGCGCTCAGTCTTAAATATGATTGCATCTAGAGTATTATTCGAAGATGCAGAGTCGGTTTTGAAAGGCCATTTACCTGAAAATTCATTACTCCCATCTTCTGACACGGTACTTCCCTCTCTACTATTCCTCGAAACTTCCTTTTGGTTACCACCTCGGTGCCTTGTGACCAGACCGAGCCTGGAGAGACCGAAATCCGTCAACTTAAGATGACCGCGACGGTCTATTAACAAATTGTCAGGTTTTAAATCATGATGGATGATACCACTCTGGTGCATATCAGCCACGCCATAAATCACTTCACTGATATACTGCTTTGCCCATTGGTCGGGGAGACACCCCATCATCTTTATCAGCGTCCCTAAATCACCTCCACTCAAATACTCCATCACCAGAAACAAATTACCACGATTCTGAAAAGTCGCAAAAAGCTGTGCTACATAAGGCTTGTTGCTCTGTATCATCATAATTGCTCTCTCCGACTTCACGTTTGTGACCTGATTTTTAGCAATCATGTCAGATTTTTTCAACACCTTTATTGCGAAGTAGTCGCCTGTTATACGCCTCTTGGCCAAGAACACGCTTCCATAAGCTCCTTTGCTGATGGGTTTTATGATATCGTAATCCCTGATACTCGGTGTACTCGGTTTCGCCTGGTTAGTGGCTAAAAGGAGTGGTGATAAAGGCTGTTTTGGTAAAAGACCGGAATGAAGCTCAGGTGTCAACCGATCTGAAGATATTGCGAAAGGTGACGTTATTGGGGATCTGTCGAGGCTTGCCGAGTTCAGAGGTTTAAAAATAGAGTTTTTTTGAAGCGAAGACAGCGGAGTACTATGCCCTGCTGTGGACGCGACAGAATCTCTCCGAGGTGTACACTCATGAAATCCGCTGAATCTTTGATTACCACTCGAATCAGGCAATATTAATTTCGGCGTTCCATTAACAGATTCAAATATCTTAGGTTGTTCGCTTCCAAAACCAGAACGATTCTCTCTAGTATCAAGAAGAGGTTGTTTGGGTGTTATAGAACGCAAGCTATCTCTTTTTTCATTTTCTGCATTTTCATGACTATCGTGCACATCGTGCTGCCGGGGAATTCTGTCTGTGCCAACGTAAGCCTCCGAAAAAAGTTCACTCTTGGCTCGTTGCGGCTGAGGAGACGCAATCTGTTCATCAGACGACCCTTCTTCTTTGTCAGCGTCAGAAATTTTAATCGGAGAACCCTGAAAACGCAAGTGGGGACCTGTGGAGTCTGGAATAATGTTGAGCCTATTGCGATCGAGCTTTTCTTTGATAAGTTGCAAAACGTAGTTGTCAATTTCCTTCTTTATTTTGAGAGAGTATTTCAGAGCATTATCAAGTCTGAAGAGATTTTCTATTTTATGCAATACGAGATCGGTTGTGTCTTTTCGCAGTAAATCGATTGAGGGGCATGATACATCATCTTGTAGCCGCCATTCCATGACGCTTCGGATGTTTTTCTCCGTTCTTGGAGAGAATTCGTAGAATTGAGTTGCAACATTTTTTGGGTCATACTCATAGACTAATTCCTTCAGTTCACTCGTATTTGTGTTGATAGCGTTTTCACAGAGTGTCATCAACGAGGCTAAAACTTTGAAAGGAAAACGTAAACTTTGAAACCTGGTTGTAATCGTGCTGTTATAATCCGCCGGTTTGTTGGAAATGCTCACCACTCCTGAGTGATCCAAATTTGGCGGTGTCTGTTTTTCAACAGCTTGAGATCGCTCATGTGGTTTTGGTAGCGGTAGCCCCTTGTATTGAGAAATCCGTCCATCGTCGGCTTCAAGGGATATGAACATCTCCTCCAGGTAGTTTTTACGCTCAGCTAACTTGTCGTGGTAAAGCTGCACGATGCTTTCGATTTTGTGTTCCACGATGCACGACTCTGAATGTGTTTCTAGCCACCAAGCGGGAATTAGGGACTCACACACACGGCAAAGCTCATTTCTTGGAGTTGGAAGATCTTCCTCGTCTACGACCATAGATCCCTCTACTTCAGCAAGGAATTGTGAGAAGATGTTGGCACCGAACCCTAGTCTTTTCACAAGGTCCTGCGGAAGATTGTCCATTGCTTCAATTTCACAAAACGGTTTCACGATCCACATCGAGTGTGTAGGTATGTTTTCTGTTGCATCTGAAATGACGACGCCCTGTGCTTCAAGCTCGATTGCATTTGGCTCTAGAGTGGAAGAAACGGTTGTGATGTCCGAATCCGTTTTGGAGTCGTTTTCGAAACGCTCTGCTTCTACCAAAAATCTCACCCTGTAGCTGCAGTCTTCTCGTATCATCAAATCGGTTGCTCTGTTGAAAACCGATCGATCTTGCTCCGTGCCAACAAGAATATCAGAAATAAACTGACCCACTATATCATCAACCTTGGTTCCCACTATATCTTCCCATATCGAACTGATGTATCGAACCCGGCCGTCCATATTCAGCTCCATCAAAATGCTTGCACTTGTGTCAGTGGCAACTTTCAGATACTCATCATACGATAAAGTGGATCCTGTTGGGGACGAAGGATCTAAGCCTGGAGATGGAGAAGAATCGGGACTGGCACTTTTAGAATTACTCGAAGCCTCTCCATGATTTCCCAAAGAAAGAGAGCTGATATTCATAGTGCTTAATCGAATAGATGGGCTCTTTCTCAATCTTTTGTGAACGGTTTTTAGACCCAGATGCAGGGAACAATGCTATAAAATGGTTAGTTTGCTAAGCAATGGGAACGCCAACACAATTCAGGTTAAATTGTCTAAGTAGACGACAATCACAGACGACCCGCCGATCTCTGTGAAAGAGCTCCTCGACTTTGCTGATGTCTGAATGTGTCAATTCCCTTTACTCAAAGTTGAAGAGATATGATTTTAAATTGACTATATATATCATATAAACCTTGGCAACTAAAGAAACTAACTTAAGAAGGAGCTATGAGGAGACATGTGTACGAATTCTAGCCAGTGTTAGATGTAAATTTGATTGCCTCACAGTTTTGGAAGCCCTGTGTGTATTTATTTGTGTGCAAAAATCGTTAGTTTCGGATCGACATTGATCATAAATGTCACGAATGTAGAAATCTAATAGCGCTGACACTGTTGCTTGAGATCTGTAAGTGGGTTCCTCCGAAACAGGATATACACCCAACTTCTTATTGTCTCAAAAGTTCAGGAAATCAAGTGTCTTGAAGTTTTAGAACATATTCAATTTTTTCTTTAGAATTTAGACCATCGTGATGATGTTCATGTTCAACAACTTCTTAAGCCCTTTGACACGCTTCACGCTCCTAATATTTGACGTGATTGGGACAGTCAATGCGAAGATTCGTGACAAGGAAGAAGCTAAGTGGTCAAGTTTTTGGTCTCAAAGTTGGCAGCTGCTCTCTGGTAACCGAAGTTCCCAAATTACAGAATCTAACAAGATATCCTACTGCCAATAAATTTCGTGGTGCAAGAACGGCTTTACGAAACCCATATTTGAACAAAACGGTAATTCACGAACCAAGCCGCATTACGATGAGCGTTGAAGACTCTCTTGAGCCTTTAAAAGCCATCTCGAAGCCTATCGTATGGGTTGATTGTGAAATGACGGGCCTGGACCACACCAAAGACAAGATCATTGAGATATGCTGCATCATCACCGATGGAGATCTGAATGTGGTTGACAAAGACGGCTATGAAAGTGTGGTGCACTGCGAGAAAAGCGTGTTGGATGGGATGGACGAGTGGTGTGTAGAACACCACGGCTCTAGTGGTCTAACGGAAAAAGTGCTTCAATCGACAAAGACTACTCAACAGGTCGAAGACGAATTGCTGGCCTACATTCAAAAATGGATCCCGGCGGAACGTCGCGCAGTGTTAGCGGGGAACACGGTCCATATGGACCGTCTGTTTATGCTGCGGGAGTTCCCCAAAGTGGTTAGCCATCTATTCTACCGGATCATTGATGTGAGCACCATCATGGAGGTATCGTTCCGACACAATCCCGAGCTGGCAAGCGTATTCCCTCGCAAGAAGGGCGCGCATACCGCCAGATCCGACATTCTAGAGAGCATTGAGCAGCTGCGGTGGTACAGACAACATTACTTGAAGAATAGTGTCGAGACAGAAGAATTTGTCGCCCAACGAAGAGCAGAATTGGACGCTGCGAAGCAGCAAGAGACGCAGGACGAAATAAAGCAGAATGATTCAACAGCTTTAGGGACAGTCTTACAAAATGCCAAGAACTCGTTGAAGAACGAAGCCGAAGACAAGAAATCTCCAGACACCAACGGTGAGGAAAATCCTGCCAAAAAACAGAGACTAGGTTGAAACGTCGAAATCTAAGAGCAAGATTTTCTTTAACAACCTCAAAATCAAAAGCGACGAAAGAATTGTTTCCAACGGGTCTACAGGATTCGAATTTGTTTCCTTGAAATCAAATAAATATTAAGAACATCATTTCAATGTATAAGAATGCACTGAAGGTGCATATTCAGCCTCAGGCCTTTTCCACTAACCTCTTCCAAAGTTACGACGACGAGCTGTTTCTCTTAACAGTGGTAGATACTCGTATCTACAATCATCACCCACGAATATGTTTAAACACGTATTGCGTTTATTATCACGTGTGCTCAATGATTGCTAATGTCACTATATACGCGGCTTTTAAAATTGATCAGCCACAAAAACCCAAAAAAAATTACTATAAAAGGCGAGCTTTATTCAGATTTCGGACTTTTCGTCCTGCGAATCAGTTATTATTTTTTAAACCCCAACATCGATTGGTAACGAAAGAGTACTCTTGGAATCGGGCGGAAACGATTCATAGACTTATTCTATACTCCTTTCAAAATAGTCTGCTGGAAAAATGAGTGTAATGAAAAATTATAACCATCACAGCATTGCTGGACCTATGTCTGATGCTGTTGCTGTGAACGACATACCTGTTGACTTTAAATCGACTCTACCACCAAGAAAAAGAGCAAAGACTAAAGAAGAAAAGGAGCAAAGACGTATCGAGCGCATACTGAGAAATCGTCGTGCTGCGCATCAGAGTCGCGAGAAAAAGAGGCTGCATTTGCAGCATCTGGAACGTAAAGCGGCTCTGCTGGAAGAGATCTTGGCGTCACCTCATGTGGCAAAGCTGGTGAAGAGCGACAAGTCTTTGAGTGGCATGTACGATGAGTACCAGTTGATGGCCACGTCACAAGGTGAAGACGATTCTGTGCTGGTGGGTCATGAGAGTCCAGACAGCGCAATTTTGGATAGCCAGAGAACACCTGAGTCTCTGTTACTGTCAGCGTCGTCTTCAAAACTCACCCCTCGTACAAATTCGGCTGTATCATCACCATTGCACGTTAAGGAAGAATATGATGATAATATCGAAGACAAACAGTCGGCACAGTTTCTTCTGGAACCGGTTCTAGACAATACGGCTGCTTCGGGTGTTTCATTCGACGCTCTTCTGACCAACAATATCGAGAACCCTCAAACTCCAATTTTGGACACTTTTGATTCTGCTGCGGCAAATACCACTACAACCACCGCAACCAATTGGAATATGCTGCTGACCGACGACCGCGCCGAGCTCATGGCATATTCCCATGACGAAGTAGAATTCCCCGTCCTAGACATGACTGATAACTCCTGGGGCCTTGACCCATTGCGTAATCCAGCCGTGATTAAGCTAATAATATGAGAGAGCATAAGGAGAAAAATAAAACTTTATGATGAGGGTTTTGCATTCCAATTACGAAAAGCAACGTTCTTCGCCATGCCAATGGTCCAGACTGATACGGACTTCTTAATTGAATGCTCCCGTCCAGTCTGCGAACATTTTCATGATGTTCACATAGAATAGAAATCAATTCCGCCCGATTCCGCTATTCGTGTTGATGTAATCCCTTCATTTTAGTTTTTTTTCTCGTTGTGCTGCTTGTACTGCCAGACGCGCAGTCAAGTTCAGCCCTGGAGTTAGATGATTTCATATCCCTTTGAATTGCAAAGGGATGGGAACAGTTCTTATTTTTCATATTTGGTTCAATGGCCGTTGTGCCACTTGCAGTTTATTATGCATTTCTCGCAAAACCACGAACCGCCTCGGTTCTAGATCGGTGAACTGGGGTTCATCTCTGACACATGGCGCGCTTCTCACTGGCTGAGAGGCAGCGACTGGTCACAACGATGGCTCCTCCGCACCCGACTGGAGTACCAAAGCGTCTCAGGTTTTCGGTGGCTTGCAATATATTCTTCTGTGTCACGTTCGCTGTCAAAGAAACGTTGGTTATATAGCTGCCAATCGTAAGGTAAGATTGGCGTCTTCTGTAAATTAGTTCTATTATGTTGGTACGTTTATTTTTTTTGATCTTGTTCAGATGAGCTGCGCGTTTTGGGTATATTTGGTGGCAAAGTGAGGAAAGATTGATACCATACCTGTTCTTGTTGAATCCGTTTGTATTTGGTTCCACCTCTATATGGATAACTTGTTTCTGACATTCTGGTGGCTGAAATGAACTGTTCATATCATGATAGTAGATACCTTGTCACATAGCGTGGTTTAAATAGAACTTAGTAATTGTAAGTGTAGTCTCCGAAACAGCTCTTTTCAAGAGAGGGCCTGAAAACATCTAAAATCAAAATGACGCCGCAAACGCTTTTATTCGAGGAATTAGCGTCTCGAACCTTGACTTCCGTACTTGAGGAACTGCAAGACGTCTTTGCTGGTGATCGCGCTTATTTAAGAGATCGAGTCGCGGCACTACTGACATACACCATCATGGGTACCTTCGGCAAATTGAGGGAATTGAGGCGTAGTACTTTCATCAGTTATGAACGTTTAATTCGGAGGTCCTTGAAGCACAATAAGGAGACTAATGTGGTTAGCTTCTCGTACCATCTTAAAGACCCTAAACAGTTGACAGATGCTTTAAACGAGGCTTTCGCACCAGTGGTGTTTGAAGTCGCAAGTAACAAGCCTCCATCCGTAGAAGCGGTTTCTCAGCAGCGGGATCAGGAAGACGATTTTTCCTTGAATAGAACAGCGGATGGAGAGATTATCAAAGTTGTGCGGGCCGATGATATTTGGGATCTGCTTTCTGACATAAAAAGAACAATAGAGAAAAAGGTCATGAAGAGAAGACTTAGCGCAGAGATGAAATACGTTTTGACCGTGTCCTTCTTCAATTGCGCCCTTTTTAACGACTTGAAAAATGCAGATCCAACGAAGTTTGAACTGGTCGAGAATGAGTATCTGGGTCACATTTTGAGAGTTCTGGTGAGCGAAACTATGACTCGCATTCCGAGGTACCTATATTTTTTCCCTGTCAACTCTCCGTCCGATCCTTTGTTAGCACTTCACGGTCTCTTTTCGCAAGTCAAGCCAACTCCGAAAACTCGCTCCTCGCAACAAGAGACAGAGCAGAGGTGGCAAATGCTACGTGAATCGCTTTTAAACGCCTATGATAGATTTCTTCGCCGGCACACACAACACGCAATCCTCGCCATCAAGAGAGGCCCAAAATCTCAGCTGGGGCGCCGTAGATGGCCTCGTATCTATCCTATACAGACCACAGCGAATGGGTTGCGCGTCTCGGCAATTGGAATGATTGGATAGATGGGATCAGTAACGACGTTCGAAGGATTTACGCGCATGGGCCCATAGATCGCAGCCTTCCAGACCATTTGTTTGCCTTTTTGTCTGGTTTCTACTGTAAAACCTCACAAGGTCGGTTGGAGCTAAAAGATCCGTCTAAGCTTCCTACAGATCGCTTTGTTGATGAAACTCCCAAGGTCGAAGACATCAACAGGTGTTATGCGGCCTGGAAAGGTTTGGTCGATGATGCAGTGCTAAAATACGTTTACACGTATGCGATGGGCCCTCCAGAAAGAATTTAATAAAAAGTCTTTGTAAGTGACTCGCAACGGTGCTAAATAGCGTACATTTGATCTCTTTATGCAGCTGTGTATTTGATTTCTTTGACGCTTTCAATGTTGAATAATGTAGGCTCTAATCTTTTATTAAACCGGTCCCATACTCATCATCAATCTTTTTGACCATCAAAAACCCATTGGCACCACATTGACTATCCAATGACATCCCACAATGCTGTGCCCTTTCCGGACATAGATCCATACCAAGTGCTCCAGGTTTCGGAGACAGTAACGCCAGCAGAGTTGAGAAAATCGTATCGTAAGCTTATGCTACGATACCATCCGGATAAAACGCAGGATTGGGCTTCAGAAGCTAAAGAAAAGTTCCACAAGATCCAATTTGCCTACGAGGTTTTGGACAACTTCAAAGATGTTTACGATAGAACTGGTTCGGTCGAAGCCTGTTTCCAAGATTCAGATTTGGCCAGCTGGAAAGATCTGTTTGATATGGACGTAGTTATCGACAAACACACCATTGAGGAAGACAAGGTAAAATATCGGGGCAGTCTCGATGAAACAACTGACATCTGTGAGTCGTGGCGTTCAAATGAGCAGGAACATCCTGGGAAAAGATATGTACCCGACGAAGACCAGTTTACACTTTTATTTCAAGAAATCCCACATATTGAGGCCAACAGTGGTGATGAGACTTATATATACACCAGAGTGGGTCAATTACTGGAAGACGGCGCAATTAAGGATACGAACGGGAGTTTCGAGCGCTGGGGCCAAAACCGTAAGAAATACTTGGCAAGTCTCAAGAAAAGATTGGCCAAGGAAGCCAAACTGGCGGATGAAATGTTGGCTCATATGAAAGAAAATGAGAAAACTAAGTCAATTGGCAGCAGCGATGAGAATCTCCGAGAACTGATCCAAAAGAAGAACAAGTCATCTTTCGATTCCCTCATCTCAAGACTTGAATCTCAAGCAAATACAAAGACCAAGAATAAAACTAAGTCTGGGGCAAAGGCCAAATTCAAGAGGAGTCATGCGGAAATCGACGACGCTGAGTTCGAGCAACTACAAGCCAAAATTACCAAGAGGAAACGATAGTTTCGATGTACTCATTGTTCTTCAGCAACCGTGATGAATACACGCATGGACTTAATCACGGGCTGAAGGGCTGCTCCGACTGAATACCCGAGTTGCGTGAAACTTTGTTAACAGCAAATGCCAACGATGGTGTATAAAAGGTCTTGAATGGTGATCAAGTATTTTTTAACTTCAAGCTTTCAATACTTTCTTAAACATTGCTCATCGCACGAAGCTCAATAATGACTGAAGATATACTGCTGATTCCAGGTCCGGTTACGATCAGCAATAAGGTTCAGCGAGCGCTAGGGACTGCTTCAATTTCTCACACAAGCCCTGAATTTGCTGCCATTTTCGCGCGAGTTCTGAAAAACACTCGACTAGTGTTTAAGGGCGGGGAAACATCGCAACCCCTTATCCTGGCTGGTAGTGGTACTTTAGGATGGGATGTGGCAGCATCCAATCTCGTCGAAGCTGGTGAAAAAGTTCTAGTTCTATCGACAGGTTATTTCTCAGATTCCTTTGCCGAGTGTCTGCAAGCGTACGGTGCTCATGTTGACAAGGTAAGGGCATCTTTGGGTGATGTGGTTCCCTTAAGTGAGGTTTGTGAGGCTCTGCAAGGTACAAAATACAAGATGGTAACCATCACCCACGTTGATACATCAACTGGAGTGTTGAGCGATGTGAAAAGTATTTGCGAAGTGGTGAAGAAAGTATCACCGGAAACATTGATTGTGGTCGATGGAGTTTGTTCTGTAGGGTGTGAAAAACTAGAATTTGAGGCTTGGGGCATTGACTACGCCTTGAGTGCGTCTCAGAAAGCGCTTGGTGCACCTCCGGGGCTAAGTGTTTCACTTCTTAGCGAAAGAGCAGTAAAAGAGGCTCTAACTAGGAAAGCGCCGTCGTGTTTTTTTGCTAGTTTGAAGAAATGGATCCCAGTGATGCGAAACTACGATAATGGCAAGGCATGCTATTTTGCAACCCCTCCCGTACAGTTGGTGAACGCTTTAGATGCGTCTTTGACTGAAATTCTGGATTACGGATTGGATGCCCGCGTAGCTAAGCATTGGACCACTAGTGACTGGTTCAAAAATAGGATTACAGAAGACCTGGGACTTGAATTGGTAACTAACAGTGCCGAAGACTCGGCTCATGGGCTGACTGCGATCTACGTCAACAACCCAGCAGAGATCATCGCAGCACTGAAGAAGTCGGGAATAGTGATAGCCGGTGGTCTTCATGCGGATATTAAGAATCAATACATTCGTGTTGGCCATATGGGTGCAGTGGCTTGTGAACCTTCCCTACAGCACCTCCAGTCTTGTTTCGAAGCTTTGAAAGCTTTTGCTGGGGGAATGCAAGCTTGAAACTGTGAGGGAGAGAATAGGTCAACAAACCAGGTCCCGCAGTCATATAGAAGTGACTTATCAAGTAGGATACGTAATGAATATATGCAAATTGGAAGGTTTACACATGCGAACGGGATATGAGATTATACAAATACTGTATTAGTACAAAGAGGGCGTATTCAACCTCACGACCGGTTACACTCGCAGGCTGGAGATCAGTCCGAAAGATTGGTGAATCCCATGGTGCTCATCGAGACCGACGATAAGTGGGACTGATGGCTACAATAAGTGTGGCGTGAGCTTGTGTGGAGAATTACGAATTGGAGAGGTTCCATGTACTTTTATGAAGAATTGAGGGCGAGAGTATGCGGTTCCACTAGAGAGCAAAGGCAGACGATCTTCGTCGTTGGGCATTGCACACTCTGAAAAAGAATTTGCCAAAAACCGTTTGTCAAGAAACAAGAAGGAAATGGTTGGCAACACCAAAGAATGGTATGCTGCATATTGGATGGAAAGCTTGGCGTTTAACACCGGTTGCGTTTTACCAAGGGCATTTCATAAAGATATGAGCGTCTGGACGCCGGATCACTGAGGTCCGAACCACAACCCAGCCACCCAGTCGCCCGTGCCTCCCTCCACCCACACATTCTACCTTCCGTACATTTCTCCACCCATACCCCATGGTCACGTGATCTCAGTGTTGTGGGTTTTTTTCTAACCACCGCCACAGTCATCCTCGTGACCTGTTGGCCCTTTCCCACACGAGTCAAACCCACGGGCGAGTCACATCTCGAAATGGAATGCGTAGGAAGAAGAGAAAAGTATACACAACACACACACACACACACACACACATTTTGCAGCGTCTGATCCCCCATATCCAGTAAGCACCCTATTCCCTAAGCAACTCCGAATAGTTTCAGTAACTCGTCAACAATGTCTCACTAACTATAATCCTCCATATCACCATCTGAACCAGTTTTTCACCTCTTTCTATTGCCATTATCTGCAAAACATGATCGAAACACATTCTTTATTCATCTGGCGTCAATCCAACTTATCATATGTGCTGATTCATTGATTGATCTGATCGTCTATTAATTCCCCACCGTAGTTTGAAAAACCGCTTGGTGATTGATGATATCTTGATATTATGTTAAATTAGGTGTGGACAGTGATTGATGGAAATAAAAAAAAAATTGATTGAAAAATTAACATCTGAAAAATTACAGCATCTATCATCACATTCAAGTATAAAAGGGCACATCTCAGTAGTTACTTGGCAGGTAGATATTAGATTTGTATTTTAGGTTGTAGCGTTCTTGTAACTAGCCTCATAGATCAAGCATATATAACAATGTCTTACGCTTTATCTGACTCCCACAAAAAATTGGTGTCCTCCCACTTGAGCGAATCGGACCCTGAGGTCGAACAGATCATCAAGGCCGAAATCGAGAGACAACAGCACTCGATCGTTTTGATTGCATCTGAAAACTTCACTTCCACCGCCGTTTTCGATGCGTTGGGAACCCCCATGTGTAACAAGTACTCTGAAGGGTACCCAGGCGCCCGTTACTACGGTGGTAACGAGCAGATTGACAAGATGGAGCTTTTGTGCCAAGACAGAGCCCTTAAGGCTTTCGGTTTGACCGCCGACAAATGGGGTGTCAACGTCCAGACGCTTTCTGGCTCCCCAGCCAACTTGCAAGTTTACCAGGCATTGATGAAGCCTCACGAAAGATTGATGGGTCTACATTTGCCAGACGGTGGTCACTTGTCGCACGGTTACCAGACCGATACCAGAAAAATTTCTGCCGTGTCCACCTACTTCGAGTCGTTCCCATACAGAGTGGACCCAAAGACCGGTATTATCGACTACGACACTTTGGAACAAAACGCCATCTTGTACAGACCAAAAATCCTGGTGGCCGGTACCTCTGCTTACTGCCGTCTCATCGACTACAAGAGAATGAGAGGAATTGCCGACAAAGTCGGCGCTTACCTCATGGTCGACATGGCTCACATTTCCGGTTTGATCGCCGCCGGTGTTATCCCATCGCCATTCGACTTCGCCGATATCGTCACCACCACCACTCACAAGTCCTTGAGAGGTCCTCGTGGTGCTATGATCTTCTTCAGAAGAGGTGTCAGATCTACCAACCCAAAGACCGGTAAGGAAGTGCTATACGACTTGGAAAACCCTATCAACTTCTCGGTCTTCCCAGGTCACCAAGGTGGCCCTCACAACCACACCATCTCTGCTTTGGCCACTGCTTTGAAGCAGGCTGCCACCCCTGAGTTCAAAGAATACCAAGAACAAGTCTTGAAGAACGCCAAGGCTTTGGAGCACGAATTCAAGAAATTGAACTACAGACTGGTCTCTGATGGTACCGACTCCCACATGGTCTTGGTCTCTCTGAGAGAAAAGGGTGTTGACGGTGCTCGTGTCGAATACGTTTGCGAAAAGATCAACATCGCTTTGAACAAAAACTCCATTCCAGGTGACAAGTCCGCTTTGGTCCCAGGTGGTGTACGTATTGGTGCCCCAGCCATGACCACCAGAGGGTTCGGTGAACAAGATTTCGTCAGAATTGTAAGCTACATCGACAAGGCTGTTCAATACGCCCATGACGTTCAACAATCTTTGCCAAAGGAGGCCAACAGACTAAAGGACTTCAAGGCCAAGATCGATCAACAAATTGGTGAACTTGAACCTCTAAAGAAGGAGATTTACCTATGGTCTGGTGAGTTCCCTCTACCAGTGTAAGCGCTAGAAGATAATGCCAACACCATTTATCTCAGCAGATTTACGTCTAACCACACCAAATTGATCTAGATTGACCAATTTTGCATTTTCAACAAATAACGGATTACCGGGGAATTTTTCAATTACGAAACTTTAAGTACTATCACATATCTTTAAATTCAACATAATGTGCTTCTCAATCATTACTGACTTGTTTCCACGATGAGCGAAGCAGGGTCGTAAAAGTATCATTCGAAAACGAGCTTTATTCGCCGAATGTTTCTTGCAGCAAGCGAAGAGTTTCACAAGATCTTCGGATTAAATTGTTCTATTAGCGATTCTAGTGAAAATCCTTTCTTGTCACCCACTTCTGTCTGCGGTGCCAGTGGTTTTTTGAGCAAGTGACCACCATTTGTAAAAACGTAGTCGTCAAGTGAATACGCCTGAGGATCTTGAAACAGAAGGTAATAAAATTTCAGATGTCTAGAGAACCAGTCCGAAGGCAAACAATCAACTTTTTCTCCCGTGAATACATTTTCCAGCGCGGAAACTCTTCCAACACCCTTGGCGGATGGCTGTTCGATTGCCTGGAGCGTCAATACCCATAGATCCTTGCCTAAGTGGCGCCAACTTTCATCTCCTGTAATTCTGTAGAGATAGAATATAGACTCTATGACTTCAGGGAATAAATCATACCTTGGAACTGCTCCATCAATATATTCTGGCAAAGGACTACCAACGAGCCACGAATTCGAGAGCTTTATAGGGTCCGCACTCTGTTCTTCTTCGTGAATGTAGACCTTCGTTGGGTTCTCTGAAAGTTCCTTTCCAGGGATGTGGCTATTTTCCACTTTTATGCCTGGAGCTGTAAGCTGTTCGCCAACCTGTGCTTTCTGATATTTGTCTTCAGAACTATCGTAATCGCACGGCTGCTGTAAGCAGTGGCCTACGTGGGCGCTTTCAGGCATCACGCCGATTAATTTGTACATGCGAGCGCAACCTCTGGCAATGTTCTCAGCCTGATCCAGAAATCCCTGATCATTCAGCAACTTCCCTAATGATGCAAAACTAGAAGCTAATGAACAACTTGAGTGATGCATAGTATAGTCAGGACTAATCCTCACAATTTGCTCATTAAGGTGGGTATCATGATATGAAACAGTGGACAAAGAATTGACGAATGACAAATTCTGTCGATCAGGATTAGGCAAAGCTGGTGTGAAGATCATCAGTTTGCGAATGCGATCAAAGCTATTGACCAGGAATCTCGAAAACTGAAGGTCTTCGGATGTGTCCGCACCATTCAGTAGCTGATGAAACTTCACCATATTGCTATAGAATGGCAAACTTCTGTTGTCAGCAGTGAACAAACTTCTAACACCAGGGATGGGTGTGAATTTGTCTGTCTGCAAGCAATGAACGTATTTTCCATCCATGATGCTTTTCATGACATTGACTTTAACATGCTCTCCTTGTTCCAGCCGCTCTTTAGGTATCAGTCGGCAGCCTGTGGCATCAACATTTGTAGGCAATAGATAGTCGATATCAAATTGACCTGTTGACTGAAAGGCAGTCTCGTAAATGTGCGCAACAGCTTTGGCATATTTTTCATCTTTTTTAAGCTGCGATAGTCGAAGAAACTCGACAGAAAGAGAGCCCAGCTCACCTGTACTTGAGTCTTGGAAAGGAAATCGGTTGTTCAATTTGGAGCTCCAAGGGAAACGCAACAGCGGTATACGATTGGGAGTGTTGAATGACTCCAATAAAAAATCTGCTAGTTCGGTGGCCTTAGTGAGAAGGATACCGTCTGCATGATCGGATAGTTCATAACCAGATAAGAGAGCTCCAAGAATACGTTGGGTATTCTGAGATACGTCAATTAGCAATTCCTGTGATTGAGTGAAGTCCATATTAGAGATAAAAGTGAGAACTTTGGAAATTTCATGTGTTTGATTCAACATATACAGCATGTCCAGAGACTCTAGCATGGTGGTAGCCCGAGATAATCCATTAGAAGTTGGGTTTCTTGACAATGGCTTGACTTCGTCACTGCCCAAAGCGAGACGACTGTAAGCCTTCCACGATGATAAGAAATGATCGCCAATCGTTACACTCATTTGCTCTGCCAATTTCGATCCCTCTATTGCAGCTAATTTTGAAGATTGAAGTTGTGGCAATGGCTTAGCAGGTTTATTAGCGGCCAAAGGGTTTTTAAATGAAGCTGCATACCGCACAGCGTACTGAGGTTTAAACGCTGCAGTTTCCTCCTGGGAATATAATTCCAGATCACAGTCTATGGACAGCACATCCTCCTGCTTGTGAATTAACGGGAAATAACGATTTTTGTCCAACAAAACTTTAGGATCTCGCAGTTGTTCATCAAGAGCCACCAGTGACGCCGCGTTGGGCAGTGAGCCGAAGTTGTTAGGAGCATCCTGGCCAGCCAAAGACGCTGTATCCGGTAAAACTGGAACCTGCTTGTTTATTTGCGGTAGTGACTCGGTCTCGGCGTATGAGTTGAGGGTATTGACCTCATTTTGAAATCTATAGTACAGCAACACCGAAACGGTACCGCATAGCACCAAAACGGACCGAAGTCTGCGGAAAAACGAGACAAGTGGTTTCATCCAGCAAATCGCTAACAAACTGAGCAGGCTTCACAGGCTCAAGCAGGCCTCAAACCAGTTGAAAGTAGGGGAAACGAGCTACCAAAAGTGTTGTTGAATCTGGCGATGACATGAACAGAAATTGGATATGTTGAAGATCTACCACGTACATGATGATCAATGCGGTGAAGATGTGGCAGGAGCTGAGTTCGCTGAAGTCAAGTCAAGGTACCATCATTCCAGGGCTTCCTGATATCTCAATTGAGATTCAAAGTTAGATTTGTGGTGGTCGGTAGAAAAAAGTCAACACTTTGGCTTTTTTTTCTGGCGAAAACGGTCAAAGTTCAGCATGCAAGGCTGACACAATGTACAGACGATATTTATGGCAACGAGAAAATTAGAAGAGCACTAAAAGAGGTTGCTTATACTCAAGACCATCCCGGTGTTCTAGTCAGCTGTCGGATGTCAACAAGAATTCTTTTATTAGTAAAGGTATTTGGCATAAAGTAAATCACTAGATGAGCAAGATGAGGTGTTTCTCAATGGGAAATCCCTGGAATGTATACAAAAGCAAGGAACTACCGACGAATGTCCGACTTGGGACAGTTTCAGTCAAAGACTTTCTCATATCATTGATATCATTGATGTTCGATTTGTTTTGAACCTGGCGAAATTGAATTACGATCCGAAATGCGAATGGAGCTTCTGGTATACGAAATATTAAATACTGTCATGAACGAGAAAAAGCAGGCAAATCTCAGATAAGATCCATGCGTGCCTGTTATTTGGAGCCGCTCTCGTTGCCGTTCTTCCGCTTTTTCTTCACGGGCGCATCTACTTATCGCCACCATTGGCAACATCAAATGAGTTTGCGGTCGTCGGACCGTCTTCGCTCGTATTGCTGGTGCCTGCGGAACGCTCGTTCCACGTTTTGTGGCAGATTTACTAGTTCACAATGTGACAATGAGTACAGCAAGTAGTCCTCGGCTACCACCCCCAAAAGCTACTACGGTAGGGTTTCTTCGTTTAACCGAAAATTACTCGTGCGTCGTCATACGATAGTTAGATTTTGGCAAGGCCCTTAGCCACAAAACATGCAGGAAGCTGGGAAAGAAGTTTCAGTCGCGGTCGTTACCGACAGCACATGTTGCTGAAAATGGCGCACAAGTTCTTAAAATGTTGTAAGCTCAAAAAGGTTCCGTGACTTCTCCGGCAGATCATTTTTAGATCAAATTGTTGCTGTGTCTGTGCTCTTCAGGCTTCCCAAAAAAAAAGTTCGAAGGTACTAAATTTCATGCCGACTCACGCCGGTGTGTGAAAACGCCTAATCTTTAGGATTCCGGTTGAGCAACCCCCCTTTTACAGTTTGAACGACTTACAAACAGGAGACCACGAGCCGTTTTAATTTTATTCGTACGACCACGTCTGCGAGCCAAAGCTGTGATTCTGTTCTCCCCGGGCTTTCAAATTGCGGAACTGAAACTATTGCGTTGACCCTTAGATCGTCCCAAAATCGTACGGTTCACTTTTGGCTCGCCCAATATTGCAGTTCTATGTCAACAACTCCTTGACAACGGCACGTAGAAGAGTCCTCATCCTTCTAACAATGCCCGCCTGCTGCCCCCCGAAACCGTATGTCTATCGGTTGAAGAACCATTACATCACGTCCCGGTCAACATCCGCGTGTTCCATACATGCCCTTAGTAGACGTACGCGAGATTCGATGCTCGAGAACTTCTTGAAATGCATGTCGCCGCATTAGGCAGTTGAATTACCTAATTGGGATTGGAAGCTGTCTAACCTACATCAGATCAATTTCAAGTTGACGGTAAACACGGCAAAAGGTTCGGTTTACTTCTTGAAGCGTTTGAATATGGTGTAAAAGCGGTCAACTAACGCAGGACAGCAGCAGCGCTTATTTTTTTTTTCTTTTTTCGTGCCCGTTGCATGTCTACGAATTCGAGTTCCGGCTGGAGCGCGTTGCTGCGCATTAACGCAGTTAAAGAACTCTTTTTGTCCCGGAACTGTACAGTATTGATCACATCATGTCTCATTAAATATACTATGAAAAGAAGCATGGCGGACTAAGAATGAAGACCTAGAGCCAAGCGACCCAAGAATTTTTCTTGGGCCGCTGCGTGTGAAATTCGTTGGTAAGTTTGGCTCAGCAAGAGAAACAGTAAATACAGACTCATAGGAAAAGAGACAACAGATAGCAGCGTTATTTATTGCTTCTCGCCTGGTCTTTATAAGATATACTGTCTAGGGTGTCAATTCTTAGCTCAGGGCACGTGATCCTTGATCTGATCAACGCCCAAATTAAGAGTTCTTTCATCGCTACGTCCATGAATCATGCTGTTATGCGGCGGCCCGCACGCACCATTTGGCGCAATGAGCAAGACGTGCTGTTGGTGTCGCTTCTGACTGAATATCGCACGCTTTTGGACAATCGCAGTGATGCTCGTCATCACGCGGCACGGACCCTCAAGCAGTTTTGGGACCTCATTGCCCGGGAACTCACAGCACGATACCACATAGTACGAAATGCTCGACAATGCAAGGATCGTTTCCGGCTGCTTTATACGCGAGGAATCCGCAACACGCACAATGGTATCGATCCGCAAACGGGCGTGGACGCGCTATGTCTCGAACTGAACCAAATGTTTTACCTGGACGCCAGAAACAACATCAATCTGCTCCTGGAAGGCGATCAGCACAACAGAAGGCTGCAAGTTCAGGACGAAGATAATAGCCTGGAAGAAGACTCCAAGGAACATGGTGACATGAACGAAACACACGATGAAATCACTATTGACGAAGATAAACCATACCTTCAGCCTGTCCCGCAACAGCTTCACCGCAGTAAGATCTCAACGGAATCTGGAACCAATCCCACAGCAGTGCCCTTAATTACAGATCCGGTTGTTTGCTCGCTACCGCCTGCGGTGCCTGCTCTCCCTGCACCTCCGCCGCCGCCGCCGCCTTTTGCTCCAGTGTATCAGGATCCGCAAATTCAGCTACTGATGGACCAAGTTCTGATGCTGGATCGCCAGGTAGCCGACCTATATGCACGTCTGGAAGAATTGGGTGATAGTACCCATCGCCGATTTGAGCAAGTGTTGGGTGACAGCGCAGAGTACGCATCACGTGCTAGATCTCAAAATACGAGTTCGACATTAGGCTCAACCGTATCAAACCCAGTAGTGCAAATTAATCCAATACATCACCAACATCAACAGCTGCAATCTCAAGCACATCGTTCGCTTGCTAGCGTCGCGTTCCGTCCCGCTTTTCCGCCTCCCGTACAACGTGCTGAGCAGCAGACTTCACGACCAGTTTCCAATGCATCTTCAGCACATTCCGAACCTCCGCCTCCTCCACGTTCGGCCAGCCCCAGGTCACGTACGGGTCCTCAAACAAGATCTCGAAACTCTTTATCATGACTCGATGCGAAACCCAGAAAGCCTGGACCGTCTACTCGTATAGCCCTTGGAAGCAGGGGAGAAATAGGGCCTTTCCATGCATCGCTCCATCAGCGTCCCTAGGAACGTGGTGACATACAAGCATGCCTCATCGCGACCGCATCATGCTCTCACACATATTACCAAAAGTCCTGAAAAGAAAAAAAAAGGACGATGAGCATGTATTCGGATCTGGACTTTGCTAGTCGCGCATGTTGTGACGTATTTTCATTTGTCAAAACAATGCGTAAAAAATTCTCGATTCCAAGCCGTTCCCAATCGAAACAGCTTCTTCTGATGCGTATTTGTTCCTCCGCAACAGTTTGGACTTGAAATTTACCGTTACGCGAGCCAGCGTATTTCGACGTCCATGCACGGCGCTCGTATGCCGTTCGTCGTGTTCTGTGCTCGAGGCTGAAAAATCCAATATATGCACGCTCCTGCATAGCGATGCATCGGTGCGTCATACCGCAATGACACGCAAAATATGCAGAATGGACCAAGCTCGGAAAAGCAGCTGGGAAGAAGAAGAAGAGCTGAGATCGAAATTTAGTATATTAGCCTCGCAAAACTCCGTCAGTGCTAGAACTTGGTAACCCTTGCACCTAAAGGAAACCTCAAAACTCCATCATTTCAATCCCTTTTGCATCGATGTCCGCGAGTGGCTCGGGAATCATGACACTTTCTGCAATGGCATGTAGCGCAGACGAAAGCCAGTTAGCCACAGCGACGACGACAAAAACAACGAACGGATACGGACCTTTGATAAAGGACGAGAACCACAAGCTGCAATTGACGCCACTAACGGTATCCCGCACTTCAACACCATCGTCAACATCGTCCGTTTCGTTGCGCAGAGCTCGGAATTTTTGGTCTGTACACGAAGATACAGCTCTGGTCTCAACCGTGATAGACAATACAGCCATTTTAAAAGGCAGTGATAACAGTAATCGACCACGCGGCCGGTTCTGGTTGCATATCAGCTTTGAGCTGAAAAACAGACATGGGTTGACCCGCAACAAGCGTCAATGCCGAGACCGGTTCAACCTACTTTTTTGGAAAGCGGTGCGTGACCGCAACACAAGTCGTGGTGAACTCAAACACTTAGATGCGTTGCTGGCACAATGTTTAACATTGCTGTACATCGACAAAAACAACGTGATAATGTTGAAGGAAAACGGTGTCAGCGACAGCATTGGTGTTAACCACAATTTAATAGCGGCGCCCGAAATTCCGTCTTTGAATGAAGACACCGGTCTGCACAGTCCGGCCATGTCCATGTACAGTTCAGTAAGCGATGGAGCTCCAGATATGTGCTACGAGTCGCTTGCGGAGCTGGCTTTCGGGTTACAACGACAAGTGACTGCTCTTACGCAACAGGTGGAAGATTTATCTGGCGTGGTGGAAGAAGAAAGGTCAAGGGTCGATGTTTTAATGAAACATGGAGTAATGTACCAGCCCGTTACCAGACAAGAGCCTTTTTACGCTGCAGATACGTGCTGCAGACCGGGCAATAATAATGCATACGGCAAAACTCCAAACAGTAACTACACCATGTCGCCGTATTTACTGGCTCGACGGGAGTAAAATGTGGGAAGAGGAAAAGAGGAGAACGTACAAGGAGGATGGCTCGAGACTCCTGGATCCGTATCCTAATTCTTCCGCAACACCCGTACACCACGCATCTGTGAAGGGGGGCCTTGAAGTCACCATAATTTCTCAGCCACGACCCGCCTTAGCCCCCTAACACACACACACTCACACACACACACACACACACACACACACACACACACAAACATACAAACCGGCCTCTTCCGCTCGCAGCCTTGTCCATATTCTTTCATCGATGGTGAGCGCAGCGCGCTAGCATCATTACCATCCATCATTGTCATTTCGTCACCATGATCATCATTATTGTCTGCACTGACACAACCCACATCTCATGTCACACACAACGAAGAAAACAGCAGCACGTGCATATCACGCGACCATACGTATCTAATGACCACATTTTCTTTTAGATTTTTTTCCTTTAGCGACTGTTTTGTGCGTTACGTAACTGCTATTTTTAAGTTCCGGTCCCATCGGTCCGGAACAGCCTTTCGCATGTTGTCGGGGCAACCGGCAATTGTGCAAGAAAAAAGCAAAAAAAGAAAAAAAAAGGAGCATGCGCGTTTTCTTTTCCGGCCAGCGCCTGGACCGGCCTTTGTCTCCGTTTCTTTTGCCTGCGTCTCTGCACGTCACGCATCCATACTTCCATTGTGAGCGGTGCCTGCAGCAAGAATCAGGCACCGTGCATGTCAGTCACCAGGACAATGCGCCTCATGGGCCAAGCCTAGCATCTTTATATGAGCCCCGATCCAATGCGCGACATCTGCAGCGAAGGAGTACCGGAAAAAAAAATACTTGTGGTATTCTCTTTCATCTCTGAAGTTCAGCACAGCACATGAATGCACAAACCTCAGCCGTGTCCCCGATCCTTCAGGTAGATTTTTCTTTGTAGAAGCGGGGTTGGTGGCGCCTACTACGCGTTTCGCAGAATTAGGAAAAGACCCCGATATCTGTCGCTGGGATCTGAACTGGCAGGAAACTAACTAGCCGGGCGATATAATATATTTAAAAGACGGGCGGTGCTGCGAGCGTCTGGCAAGCTCTACTCATCATATAGGTTAATTATCCTACAAGTGCCATAACCAACGGACACCTGTTGAAAGAATAAAGTCGCATTTTTGAATTACAGGACAGAAAGAGTAACTTTAAGCGATGTCTTCGCTCGTGAGATCCAGCGGTGTCGTCTCAGAGACGACGCCGCTATATCCAGTACCAACACCCACACACCAACGGCGACGGGCCCAGTGGTCTCCACGTGAAGACGTGGGACTACTGCGAACCGTTCTGGGCCATGCTCGCTTGCTGTTGCCCGGAGCCGACCCCGCAGAACTCGCGCGCGCTCGTAAGCTGTTTTGGCATCACGTGCGGGCTGCGCTGCAGGAAACGCAGCACGTGGCCATGAATCGTCGTCAATGTCGAGATCGATTTCGATTACTGTACCAGAGGTCCCAGACACGGGCGCAATACCGTGAATTTCTGCCGCCTGCGTCACGTGCGGAAGAGCTGGGTGACCAGTGCGTTCGAGTGTTTCGGTTCAACGAGCATCGTGAGCTGGCGATTGCAGATTCCAATGCCCTCACAGAACCGGCTCTCAAACCCGTGGTGTTTGAATCCTCGCCATTACAGCCTTATTACGGGGGCTCAAATCCAACTCCACCTTCATCAGCGTCTTCGTGCACAGTGACATCGTGCGACTTGCAGGCCGTTAGAACTGCCATTGTAGGACTTCAGCACCAGCTCAGCCAGCTGACACAGGAGCTGGATGCTCTGGCTCAGACGGTTGACCAGGTAGCCACGCATTCGCTGGAGGAATCGGCTCCGGAGCATGCTGCTGACCACCAGTACGTGACAGGGCATCCGGGTGATAATACCGGCTATGCGGGGGTAACAAGCTGGCCGCCTAATTTTTCAGCTTTTCAAAATTACGAAGCCTCTCCCACCTACGACTCGCAAATGTTTCGCCATCCGCAATATGCGGAAAACTGAACGTTGTGATTGCATGCGGGGCACGGGACAACGGCGAGCGAAACAGGATAACAAGGCCCACAACTACATATAACGCGTTATGATGTTCTTAAATTAATATTCATTGGTGAAAAAAAAAGGAGCGAAACAAATTGACGTTTCATGTCTCTCTAGGACGAGCAGCTTGCCAAGAACAGCGGTAGACGATACCCATCGTGTAAAAACCACTTCATCATTCTACACGAGTGAGTCGTGCGACGGCAACGGTAAAAGTGATATTCAAAAAGCTTACATCAGCATTGGCTTGATCTTCATAATTCAGAACAGGTATATAGCCACGCATCGCATCCAACCAATCACCAACAGTTACCCACAGTTGTGGTAGGTACAGCTGATAGCGTGTTCAACCTCAAAATGCATCATATGGTGCGCCTTTCTTGAGTTGAACTCCTCAAACTTCTTCACCATGACCTCACGGCTTTCGTAGTCTCCACAACTTGGCATTTTTCAGATTTCCTCTTGACTAACGATCTGAGTTGTTCCTTGTAGTTAGGAATTTGTTATGAGACTCACAGAATTATAGTGCAGGATTACTGTTAATTGACTGCTGCTTTGGGCTCAAAAAGAACGACAGCAGCAGCAGCAGCAGCAGCAGCAGCTAGCTGGCTACATAGCCGTGCATTATGCAAGCTGCTTTAACGTTGTACTTTGCAGGCTGTTCACGAAAGCCCAGAAGTCTACGCTTAGCTGCATGCCAAAAGTAACCGTTGTCACAGATATGTTCCGTCATCACAATGCACTTATCTGTTTCCTAATCGAGACCATGACTAGGATTCGAGTCCCCCGTTGCCGGTCAATTTTTGACTTGAAGAACACAAGGGTAACTAACGGTCGAAAGAACTGTTGTTTATCGACAACCCTTCCAGGCAGAGAACAAACACTCACACATCGGCAGTATGGCTTGGTGAAGTAGCGATTACTCCAGAGATCTTTCATGCAGGCTCATATTTTACCGTAATTCCACTTAATTCAAACAAACCACATGTGAAAAAGTTAACATGAGCCAGCCCGATACTATGCCAAGGCCTATTGTATCCTGGCCAACGGGTTCCAGCCGCTCGGCTGCATATGATCGACTTTGTAGTTGGTAAGTACCACTTGTTGTGGTTGTCCGCCGTAGCTTGGTGATAAAACTCGTTTTGGCCATAGTCTGATCTTCGAATGTTAAAATTCAACTCTTGCAACATTTCTACAATTGAGAATATGCTCACTTTGCACCTTGGAAGCAGCTAATAGTGCCAAGCAAAACCCCATACCAGGTAGCTTAGGATCATGGATAACATGTCTGTAGGCGATCTCATCATTGGTCACTTTATACTAAACTGTCATCCTAGTTTCTTGACCACTCTGATGCTGCGAGATGTGAAAGAGTACTACGGTCTCGGATTGGCAAGTCGAGCCGTTTGACGCTGACAGTTTCTCACCTAGATGGCAAAATTCCGCTCAGCTACAAGCCAATTTGAGAAAAGACGGATGGGGGACAGAAAATCCGAGTAATATTTCCACTGTGTTGCCAATAATCGCACATTGAGATTTCCTTTCCATAATTTGTACTATTTAAAACTGCCTGCTTACGCTACGGTCTCAATTTCTCGGTTCATGCTTTGTCACCGTATTTTACCGTCACTTTCGAAAAGTTGACGAGAAATCGACTTTTAGGGCACAAAAGAACTCAAAAAAATACCCTGCTTCGCATGCTACCACTATGAATCCACCATATGCCCTTCCCTTTCTCAAATGTGTTCGAACGTCTCTATTTGACTGTCTTTGGTCCTGTGTCACATGCTTCTCCGGTTCCCAGGTCCTTTAATATAATATCTAGAGCACATCCCAAGAACAGGCCTGTCCCCTGGACGCTTCAACGAAGAAACATCCTACCTTGAACCAACATTGACAACGCCAAAGTACTTGGGTTCTATCGACAAGCACCATCACATTCTGGAATCGGCTTTGTTTCATGTTCTGGGCGTGATTTCGTGAATAGTTGTGCTGCAAATATCTCGTTAGATGGTTTCTGATCATTATCGCATTTTGGTGAACGACCATGAGTTCCTGGGGGAATCCGTTCTGGACGAAAAGTCTGTGCTATATTTCCGTGAAGATGAACGCTTGAGTCTGAAAGCTCAGACGATTTTGAGCGCACTTGTGCACGATGATCTGGCGACGCTTTTGTCCCTTGGCAGATCCAAAGATGGATTTGTAAAGCACGAATTAAGAAGACCTCTGTGGCTCAAGGTTTTGAAGTCCAGACTGTCCCTCGACCTCTATGGTGAAATTGGGAAAGACGGAGTCGAACTTGCCCCGCATTCTGACGAACATCAGGTCTCGCTTGACGTCAAAAGGTCTTTTGGAGATGTGCAAGATAGCGCTACTAAAACGTTTTTGCGCCAAGCCCTCGAACAAGCAGTTGTAAGGGTGCTAAGAACGTTTCCACAGTTATGTTATTATCAAGGTTACCATGACGTCGTGGCTGTTTTCGTCCTGGTTTTCATGCACACTCAAAGAGCCGATGATGAAGCGAACCTGAGTGACTCTACTACTAGTGAAACTCCATCTACCGACAATTCTGACTTCCATGAAGCCATGAGCTCGAGTTCGATTTCTACCAAACTCTCGGATGATTCCGTGCTATCTATTGATAGTCAACAATTATTCGAATCCGTGGCCATTTTCACGCTGCTGTATTTGAGGGACTTCATGATGAAATCATTGACATTTACCATTGACCAGCTCGCTTTGATTCCTACCATGATTAAGAAAAAAGACCCCCAACTCTACAAGACTTTCCAGTTAAATGAGATTGATCCCTTTTTCGCTCTTTCATCGGTTTTAACGCTATTTTCTCATGATCTAAGACCTCAAAGTAATGAGTCAATGAGCATTGTGTTCCAAATTTTTGACCTTGTCATTGCATCCAACTCTATGTTGATGCCACTAGTTATTTACAGCAATCTACTCCTGGCCAAGAAGGAAGGCCTTTCAAAAAGGCTCCATGAAAATCTCGAAAACTTTGACAACGATACTGATTTAATACATGGTGTGATACAGCAAGAGATGATCGTTGGTTCCAGTGTTGTTCTGTGGAATGAGGTTTTGGAAACCTCGAGAGATATATCTGCTACAACATTACCCGAATTAAACAAAGCCGTCAACAAATACAGCGTTCTTCTTACTGAAAGTCAAATACCTGTTTCTATCGAGGATGTGCTGTCCTGGTTAACAAATGAAATACAATTGAATGAATCAAAGTCGACTTCCGGAAATCGCATTAGTAAATCAAAGAAACTACCTTCTGCGGCCGCGCGTTGGAAAGTCATGGCCACCCGTGGGGGGCCTTTTGTGTTCAGGATATCCTTGGTAGTGGGAATCGCAGCGATCTTGTTGAAACTGTACATGAGATCTCTTGAGACCCACCCCAATTATCATTTACTTCCGCTCAGGTCTTATCTCGAACAACTCAAAACTCTTAAATTTGCGGGACTGCAACAACCGCCAAAGATATGGCTAGATCCGTTAAAAAGCGTTCTCAAGAATATAGGCAGGCCCTTCACTTCTTAAGTAGCGTTGTCGCAACAACCATATAATGCACTTTCATAGGTCCCGTGGCCATTTGTCAAGATCATCACTCGACGTCTATGTCGTAGATGAGAGTGGCATCGGTTGAGACCCCTTGCCATCCTTTATCACCACTAGTACTAATCAAAAATCGGCACGTAGGATCAAGATACAGGTTAGAAATCATACCTCCATGGTGGCCCGGGACAATCAAAAACGGTACCTTCGATGAACCATATTGAGAAACATCGTATATTCTCACATTATCATTAGAGGCGCATAAAACATGCTTATTGTTTGGCATTGCACGGACACAGGAAACAGGGCCAGATATGCTAGGGAATTTCAATACCTTGGACGGGCTACTACCCATTTTGAGATCGAACTCCTCTACTATGGCATTTCTTCTTCCTGCGTATACTCGATCTCCGTCTGTTGACCAGCACGCTGACATACACCAAGGCGGCACTTGAGGCCCACGAGATAAGCTCAGTGCTGGTTTTTTCGATATTCTGCGATCCCATATCTGAACTGCACCATTGGTGCAAGAAGCGAGAAAGACGTTCTCATCCAAAACTGTTCTCAGTGTTGATTTTGAGATTTCTTCTGTATGCGCGACCTCGGAATCTTCATTGTCCGATGCTTTGTTATCCAAATCCTTCTTTTGTTTCGTTCTTTCTTCTTCCTCTTCATCACCAAATAGCGAATCGAGGTCATCGTCCTCTTTCTTCGTATCGTTCTGCTCGTTTCTTGCCTCTAAATTAGCTTTATCACCTATATTCACGGTAGAATAAAGAGGTCTAAATTCTAGTGATGAAATCTGTGAAGTGGATCCTTTAAACTCATTAGAGCAGCTTCCGGTTTGTAGATCCCATTCTAAGATCTGCTTGTCCCACCCACCGCTCATAAAGCGACTTTCGTCATTGCTGAGTCGTAACTGGTTTACCGTGCTAGTGTGTTTTTGAAAAAGATGTGCAATATGCCCCTCCATGTATCGGCACCCTTGCATTGTAATTCCCCCGTTTTCGAGCCCGCCCAAAACAAACATACACTCACTTTGCACTTCCAAAGCATGTACAGGTGACACAACAGGCTCGTATTCTTTTCCAGATTTTAGCAGCTTGATGTTGTCACGACTTTGAGGTACTTCGTTTTCCCAATATGACAGCAGGATCCCTGCGTTGGAAATGGACTCCACCAGTGAATGTTTTTGAAGAATCGTTAGAGAAAGTTTACCCTCAATTGTGTTCAAAAAATCGTACTTTCTAATGAACCCGTCTTGACCGCCCAAAAACAAGTATTTGAGCCCTTTAGACATGGCTATGCTGTGAACATGTGTTTGGATTGGGATGGCTGCCGTTGGGTATATCGAGTACACATCCGCAAGCTTCGCAGAGTTGTAAAGCTGTATGTAATACTCATGAATTTTGTCAAACGCTGAGGTTGGTTTGCGTATGGAAGGTGGGTGAGTTTCCACAGTGACACCTAGATCTGCTCCTGGTTCACCAGATGGTCTCAATTGGTCAATTTTTCTTCCATTTTCCAATCCTTCCTCTTGGTCGTCGTCTTCGTCACCCTCATCATCACTATTTCCTGTTTCCCTGTTTTTGCGTAGATCTGACCCTCCGTCATTGTTGTCGTCGTCCATGTCGTCGTTGTCATCATTGTCGTCATCATCTCCGTCCATATCCTCGTCGTCGTCATCTTGATCCTGATCCTGACTTTGTTCCGGATAATCGTCCTGATCTTCTTGGTTGTCCTGGTCGTCTTGCTCACCTTCTTGTTCCCGGTCTTGGTTATCATCTCCACCGGCTAAATCGACCATTTCTTCGTCCAATTCCTCATCTTCGTCCTCTTCTTCGTCTGCCACCTGGTTCTCATTCAAAATGTCATCTACGCCGTCCATGCTGGCAGCCTAAAACAGCGCTGATCGGTGCGTTGTAAGGTTGATGGAGGAAGGTTGGTGATGGGTTAGCGATGTGCCCGCCAACTATTGAAATATAGAGATATTTATGGTCACTTTGTACGCGTGTGACACCGGTGCGACACTGTGAGCCGACAACTTTAACATACAGTAACCGTTGACCATAGGTCCAGGACCCCATTGATGTGTGTTTTATTCTAATCACACAACTCAAGATAACTTCTTTCGTCTTCAAGCCGAACTGATTTGCCGAAACTGAATAAAGTGCTAGCGTGTCACATTGGATGTCTGGCAATTGTGAGGGAAACTGGTCTCAAAGTAAGGGCTTAAAACAAGCTAATTTGTCCATCTATGGGTTTTCATTCACATAATGATGAATACCCTTTAGCTGCTGCTTTGTGAGCTTGAACAAGCTTTCGAATGGGTGGTCGAGCCTTTGATGAAAGCTCGCGGAACTTTTGAGAGTCAAACAACAAAATGAACTGACACTTTAGGAACCATCACCTGCGGTAGGTTTGCTGAGTTCATTTCTCATTTATTCAAGCCTTTTGGTTTAATTAGGCCTTCTATGTTATGTGGGAATTATGTGCTGTTGAATCCCTGGTCCAAAGATAAACCTGGCAACGAAATATATTCGAAAACGATGTCCAGAGAGACTTGAAAAGTACTAATTGTTCATGTACTGAGACTCACAATAGCTTAAGTTATAAGGCATTGCAGTTCTCAAATCTGACCCACAAAGATGAGCAAAAGGATCCTCGACACAAAACATGACAACACAAGTGGTCAGTAACGATTGAGAGCTAAAAAGCTGGAAACCCCTCTAAAAGGTCCAGTGCAAATGTGGATCTTAACCAAAGGGTTGGCTCTGAAAACTTAGGTTTATCGTTTTTGATTTGACCGTCATCGAAAGAGAACACGCCTATTTCACGTGGGCACGCCCGGAAATTTTAATCGTCTGAAGTGATCAGCTATTAAACCTTTACGGTAAGCCCATCAACCATCTTTATCCATTTGAACAGTGAAATCAACTGAAAGGTTGCTATCCCCAGGCAATTGAGCTCTCTATAGCACATTAGATTCTTTATAGTCACCCCACTTGATCCCGGACACTTTGATTTATCTTTTTCCCGCCAAAAAAGCTATCATTTTCTATACCCTTTTAACAGACGTGGAGGACTCTTGCTAGAACAACAATCTAGAGCAGCTCACACCTTTAAGCAAAAAAGCCCAACCAAATCTGTCTTCTAATCATGTCGTTTGCAGCTGAAATCAGAGATCTCACCTACAAATTCCCGCACAACGACGAGCCCGCCTTGAAGAACATTGAACTTGAATTGGAATGGAATACGCGGACTTTGATTGTCGGTTCCAATGGTGCCGGTAAATCGACGCTTTTGAAGCTGCTGAGCGGTAAAAACCTGTGTTTGACCGGCCACATTCGAGTCAACGGACTGGATCCATTCAGCCCGCATTCCATGCAACAAAACCAGGTCGACGAGTGCCAGATCACAACGTACTTGGGCACCGAATGGTGCCACATGAACATCATCAACCGCGACATAGGCGTGCAGGAGCTTCTCGACAGTATAGGATTCCAAAGCTTCCGCGCCCGTGGTGAGGCTCTGATAGATATTTTGGACGTTGACGTCCGCTGGCGCATGCACCGGCTCAGCGACGGCCAGAAACGTCGAGTCCAGCTCACAATGGGCCTGCTCAGGCCCTGGCGCTTGCTTTTGCTCGACGAAGTCACCGTCGACCTCGACGTGCTGGCCCGCAGCCGTTTGCTTGCGTTTCTCCGCCACGAAACCACCGTTCGTCGTTGCAGCATCGTGTACGCGACCCACATCTTCGATGGACTGGCAGACTGGCCCGATAAGGTCGTACACATCCGCCAAGGCCGCATTGTACGCCAATTGTCGTACGCTACCGATGTGAAATTCGATCCTGCTGCCCCCGTGCAGAGTGTTACCACACCTACATCTTCCACCAACACCGTGACTCTCGGCTACGCCAAATCTTTACATCCGCTCGCGGTGAACTGGCTCTCAAACGACGAATCCCAGCAATAGCGTCCCACGGACCTCTGTTCCTGCTTCTACCCATAGCCTCCCCAGCCTCCTCCCTACCGCTAACCTTCTCCACAGTGGTCCGATTTCGAATTTGAAAACAGATATGAATTCTTCTCGCTGCGCTCTTTCCAACGAGCATACGAACGCCTACATTTTCTATGCTCGTTCCTCCACAATTGGTAGCTGTCTGGGCCGTCACCCTCCTCTCGGCCATTGTCGATGGTTTTTTCCCGATATCAATATATTTTTCATCGGTTCTATCGTTTACAGCGTTTATTCGAGGTCGTAGCGAGAAGAGGCGCATAAACGAGAATACCAAGGCGATATTTGAAATATTATATAAAGAGCCACATTGTTTAAACATCCACCTCATCGGTTCACATTCAAGAGGCCAAAACAGAACCGGATTGACTCCAGGTGACAAAAGTATTCTCAGAGCGGTAACATACGGAATTTGAGCTTCCAGTGAGTCTTTCAAACCCTCGAATACGACCATTTTGAAGCGATTGACACCAACATTTTATAACAATGGATTTGGTATTGGAGTTTTTCGACACTTTTGGTCTGGATTACGTGTATTCCAAGACTTTGCCAGCGTCTTTGGCGTCGCAGTTTTCCTCGCAACTGCAACAAACGCTTGCTTTGAACAAGGGCAATCTCAGTAGTTTGGTGGAATCAGCATCGGCATCAGCAGCTGCATCGGCTGGAAAATACGGGTATGCTCCATATCTGTTCCATTTGACTGACTACACAGCGGAGTCCTTGCTGCCCCGTTACAACGTTTTGCGTCAGTTTTTGTCGCTAACGGTTATTATGACCGTTTTCGGCTGGCTGCTGTATCTTGGGGTCGCAACGTTTTCGTATGTGTTCATCTTCGATAAGGCGATCTTCAATCACCCACGCTACTTAAAGAACCAGATGTCGCTCGAGATTAAACAGGCCATTTCTGCAATCCCGGTGATGGTCTTGCTGACCGTACCTTGGTTTTTGATCGAGCTACAGGGCTACTCGAAGCTGTACATGAATATTGACACCGAAAACCACGGTGTACGCCAGTTCTTCCTCGAATATGTGTATTTTCTACTGTTCACGGATTGTGGCATTTACCTGCTGCACAGGTGGTTGCACTGGCCTCGTGTTTACAAGGCGTTGCACAAGCCACACCACAAGTGGTTGGTTACCACCCCATACGCTTCTCACGCTTTCCACCCGGTCGATGGCTACTTTCAGTCGCTTCCATATCACCTCTACCCCATGCTATTCCCGCTAAACAAGGTTTCTTACTTGATCCTTTTCACATTTGTTAACTTCTGGACCGTTATGATTCACGACGGTGAATATTTGGCCAACGACCCGGTCGTCAACGGCGCTGCATGCCATACCGTCCACCATCTCTACTTCAACTACAACTACGGTCAGTTCACCACGCTATGGGACAGATTGGGAGGCTCTTACCGTGAGCCAGACAGAGAACTGTTCAACAAATCGTTGAAGAAGAGCTCCAAGACCTGGGAAGAACAGATCAAAAAGATGGAAGTCATCAAGCAAAAAGTTGAAGGTAAAGAGGACGACAGAGTCTACGGAACCGAGGAGCGTTACAAGAAGATTAACTGAGAAAAGTGCGAGCTAAACTTTCTCTTTTTTGCATAGCTTTCCGCTCCGGTCTCAAGCTCGTCGACAATATACATACACTTACTTATCGATACTATTTCAAAACATGACTTGACGTTTAAGACACAGCCTAGCCATTCAGACTTTTGAAAGCTCGTAGATTAGCTTGCTGGGTCACTTCAAAGTCCTCACTTGTAGTACGTCTTATGTGACTGTTCTTACAGCATAGCTCATCTCATCGCCTATAAAAAGGTGACAGACGGACAGACACAATCAAGCATCTAAGCGGTACAAGTCCTCGAGGCTTACCAGTTAGATTTCAACTAGCTTTCTCGCAATGACTACCGATTTGGGTCAACTGGTCGTATCAACAAGGTTCTCCAGCATCTACCAAAAAGGAAATCGGGCCTTTAAAGTAACACCAATAGCATCTGTGGTGAAACCACACGATCCGATCGTCGAGCTGGAATTGTTAAAGTTGATGCAAGAATCAAGAAACGAGCATATCATTCAGCTGCTTTCATTTGAGGTCAAAAACGGTGTGGTTACACTACAGTTTCCATATATTCAATTGAATCTGCACCAGTATCTATTGGCACATTACCAGAAACGTCGCTGGAACCCTTACCTGCTGGACGATAATCAAACTACACAGTCTTCTCAGCATATAAACAAGTTACCTCTCGAGCAAGCTATTGGCTTTTTCCAGCAATTAGCCTCAGCACTGGAGTTTATACATTCAAAGGACATAATACACCGCGACTTGAAGTTGCAGAACGTTCTGGTAAAGGAAAGCGTTGCGAATGAGCTCCCACGCCTTTCGGTGATTGACTTCGGGATCGCGTTCCACCCTGAGGTGTCCCAGGAGCCTCCTGACACCAAAATCACAGATGTGTCCACTTCTATCTACAAGGCTCCGGAATTGTTGTTCAGCGTTAAAAACTATACAGCTGCGGTAGATATCTGGGCTCTGCTGGTCATAGTATCGCAACTGTACCAAAGAAGCAGTTCAAGCGAAAAATACATTCCGGCGTTTGTGGACGACGGATCTGAGGAATTGGATCAGGGCAGCGACATCCGATTGATTTCGTCAATTTTCCACAGTCTTGGCATTCCTGCGCTACAAGACTGGCGAGAAGTCCGTGATCATGGGTCTCCGGCGTTCGAAGGCATGTTTGGAGCATCTGGTGACGGCAATTACATTGAAAATCAACTGGAATCCGTTCAACGAGAAAAGTGCCTGCACTCGTTCCCACGTTTGGAAGAGGTTAGCGAGCCTTCCAGAACGATTGTCGTCGATTGCTTGCTGCGAATGGCATGCTTTGAATCCACCAGAAGGGCAACCTCAGAAGAAATTGTACGCTCGTTGCATGAACTGGAATGAACTACTTTCATACATCAACTAGGGACAAGCAATGCGTTGATATTTTCACGCCTTAAACTTGCGTTCCAGCTCCAAAAACCTCACTAGCTCCTGCATGCGTCGTATTTCATGTGAACTGATGATGTTCTGGCGTGCTATCTCCTCTGTGGATAAGTCTGTCCGTCTTTTACTCCGTGTAGGCGATGAGCTCTCATCGCGCCTCAGTTTCTTGGTTTCCGCTCCGTTTCTGACACTTGGAGTCGAAGGGGTTGTGGGGGACCGCTTGTAAATGGATTTGCTCGTCATCAAAGCTGTCTGAAGAGCCTATATCGACGGATAATTGGGTTCAAATGGTATCTGGAGTACGGCGATGAGCTTAAATTCCACGGTTTCTGTGGGAGACCAAGAAAAAAGTCACTTGGAACGTGCATCACCAAACACGTGATGTTTATGATGCTCTCGTTTTAACGATGGGAACTGACTCCAGGTTTGGGTCTATCTCTGAATTCAGGATTTCTCAACTGGAAATCCATCCTATTGAATGTTCATGTTCTCACTAGGTTCATTTTTGCGGTCCTTTGGTTCTTGTATTTTCGAATACAAGATTTAGGCCTTTGAATCCTCCAGCGACGACGTTGAAGTCAGTTTGGATAAAAATGAACAAATATTTTATTCTGACGTATTTATGTACTTGAATGAAATGCATGGGTTGTTCCCAGTGAATAAGTCTAATGATGAATTTTGACTGAATGCGCTAGTAAAAAAACTGGCTCGGAAGTCTTCTCGATTCCAGTAATGAGAGATTGGTTCCCGCAGTCACATTAGGCGTTGTCATCTTTCCAGCCCAAAAACTCGAGCTCTTCGGAGATCTTGTCCTCAGACTGAATCTTGAGAATTTGAGTATCTTCTAAAGGTTCTCCAGATGCTTGTTTGAGTTTCAAAGCTTCTATGGCTCTCAACTTTTTCAAAAGTGAGCGAATTTTTTTCTCTTCCGGCGAAGCCTCTTTGTTCACCTTGGGCTGTGCGGCTGACTCGGTCGACGAATCTGCAGGTGTTATTTCTCCTGCACCTGGCGAAGCTTCAGTTCTTTTGCTCTCTCTTTTTTTCTTGTTCTTGGCCGCAGTCTTGGAGTCCTTACCAGAAGCTCCAGGCACTGACGCGCTCATACCCGGGATGACCTTGGCAGGTCTGATAGCAGCACCTGGAACCGATGGAGCGCCGCCTGCTCTTCTCGCATGGGGTGGTCTGTAAGCTCCAGTGGGCTTGGTGGCGGCTCCGCTGGTGGACCCGTTCTTTTGACGTTTAGCAATATAATCGGTAGCCGAAGAGTGAACCTGCACCTCGATCTTGCCTAGCTTGGGGTCCGAGAAAGGATCGCTGATGGATTCCTCGCCGCTTTTGAGGACATGGCTTGCGGCCAGTTTAGAGGAAACATGGTGTCTCCAGTCGACCTTCAATAGTTCCTTGTATTCTTTCACAAAACACAAGGTGCCACTGACATGCCAAATTTTGAGTCCGTTATCTACTCTCAGTCTTGGAGAAGTAGTTGCAGTCAAAATGAACTCGCCTCCCGGTGACCATTTGCAAACAGAAGTGTTTGCAGCGTCAAACTTGGTAATGCACTTGAACTTGTCGTGGCGATCCAAAACCTCAACCGAGCCTTGTAGATTTCCAAACCCTGCTATCAAAATATACCTACCAGATGGTGAAAAAAGCATGGTGTTTTTCGGTTGTTCTGGTAGGGAATGCACAACGTTGCCCTTGAGGTCAAAAAAAGTGATGGTAGCGGGCATGTAGCCGTATATGACACCGAATTGTCTCGAAGTCGGGGACCAAGTAAAGTCATGAATAGGACCCTCTTTAGATAGCGGCACACGGACCGACTTACCACCTAGAGTTCCATTGGCACCTTGGAATGACAATAGGTATAGGGTGTTTTCGCCGTAATACGATTTGTTTGAAGAATCGAAATCAGTGATGGCCATGCACAGAACCGCGTTACCTTGCAAATTCCACTTCAATTGGCACGAGTCTGCCTTGAAAAAAGTCTTTGTTGCGATTTTTTTGTCAGAAACGCCTTCTGTAATAGAGTATATGCTCAGAATCGCTGGTTTGCCGGATTTTTCTGGTGAGAAAGTACAAATCGTAGGGAATTCTGAAGGTGAAATAAGAAAACTCGAGATTTGCTGTTCTGGCACAAGTTTGCTATAAGGTTTGTCAAAATTAAACGTAGCATTAGCATCGTGTATGTCGATTTTCACGATCCTGACTTCTTTGCCAAACTGCTTCAGGGCAAAATTGTCGAGCTTACTGAACTGCAAAGCCCAGCCATTTTGCACCTTGGCCTGGTATGCATATCTGGCCGAATCTGGAGGCGTTTCCAAATTCAGTTCCCAAATTTTCACGTTTTTATGATCTGGTTCACTAATGGATGGTCTTTCCCAAGTGCTTAAAAAGTTGCCCGATGGTGAAAAATGTAGGTCATAAACGTCTTTGAGATTTACATTCAACAACAGTTGTGAAAACTCAACCCCTGTGAATACTTGAACCGTTTCTGTAGTAGAAAGAGCCATGAATCGTCCGCATGGCGACAATAGAGAAACTTGGATTTTTTCAGCTTCATCTCTTGTCAATTGATCGAACGAAGGGTATCCTTGGAACAAATTGATTTCTGTCGAAGTTTTCGCGAAAAACTGGGTCGACATCGCTGATGATGACGGTGGTGGTAGTTTTGCAGTGCTAGAAGGCCAATTGACTTGGTTTTAGCGTGGCAGTTTTGGTCTCTGATGGGCGGGATCAGGTCAAAAACTTTTCAATTTATTTAATAGTGAGATATGGATCGCGACGTACGAAATGTTAGATTTGGGACTTCTCGAAGAGTTTTAGACCCTGGCGCGATATGAAAGGAGGTTGAATTTAAGTCGTTTGAAAGATCTATTAGTATTCAACTTACTGATGGAATGGCATGGTTTGGTAGATTAAATATAGAAATCCCTTTGAGCTGAAAAATAATAAGTCTACTGGAGGGTGGAAAGATGATAGGTATTGGATGATGGAAGATGACAAAGGACAATGCAAATGTCTGGAAAGTAGGATACTGGTCTTGGGGATGCGTTATTCTCGAGCAACAAATGAAAGTCAAATGATCGATCACGTGACCATATATCAGACGACGGATAGGGATAAAATGATATATGATTGGTGTAGAAATTTTAAAGCAAGTATTGTACGCAGTGCGGCGGTCTACATGTGTATGAAATGTGCTTTGAGTGCTGGTGTATCAAAGCGCGTATTTTAAGTTTAATAAAAGAAGTCCTTTTTTCTCAGAATTCTCATAGCTCCGAGGCGATATGCCAGAGCCTGTGAGATTTTTCGAATGGCCAAAACTAATTTCATTCAACTGGGACCTATCTGATACTCTGCGAGATCTCTGTCTGCGACGATAAATGTTTTCTTTCAGCCAACAGGAGAGGGAAATTTCAAAAGGGAAACCGATCGAAATTTATACACAGCGGCAGGAAATCCGCATTTGAAAGGTTAATATCACCGATTCAGTGCATGTCAAGCTGAACTTATTCCAAAACCTTGCTGTGTCCCCGCCCTCGCTTCCCCTGTAGCTTACCGACCATTATTATCGCTATCGGTTTATGTGACGCTCTAAGATCTCTTTTCACGAATGTGCGACGGTATGGGTAAAAGTGATATGAGTTTTCCACATTCAGCTGTGCCACTCGTAAACAGGATAGCTGTAGCATTAAAGGTTCTTTACTGGTTCATGTTTTCCGCGAGTACTCGCCGCTAATTCGACTTCGCCAACTGATTGAAGACTGTTTCTCAGACAGGAACACTCTGTTTTTTTTTTTTTGAAGCACGGATAAGAGTGTTGTATCTTTCAAACTCACACGATTCTAACGACGTGCTTTATATCGACCTTCTGTTCTGACAGTCCAACTGAACGTTTCCTAAAATACCAGGTCACGTGCAACCCAACTATCAGGTACACTCCGGGCTTAATTACTCAAACTGATCTCATCTGGCTCCCATCATCGACCTTCGATTCGAAGTCGGAATACCCAACCGCTCGCCTTGCAAAACCGATGCGATTCATAATGAGGCATTGGCGTGTTTCTCACGCACGCCGTTTTCTATATAACAACTCACAGGCCGCGAAAGTGGCCAATCTGGGGTTGATGACTGAATATCTCAGCTCAGAAGCTGTTCCTCATCTATTGCATAAACCGATAAAACTAGAAAAATTAGACCCCAACATAACACTTCGGCTGTTCCCTACCACCCATGCGTATCTGCCCCGGATCCAGGGAATAACTAGATACAAACACACCATGCCGTTACTCACATTAGTAGCGCGAAGTCTTGTTCTTCATGAATGTAGTGGTCTGCACGTGACGGGCGTTGAGACCATAACGGGCGTCAGTAAAGAACAGCGCTACAACACCATCACTGGAAATGACAAGATTGTTATACATTGGCAAACCTGTGAAGATGACAGGGATCGCGAAGTAGACCAAACAAATTCTACATCAGCAAAAAAACACTCGTTTACGCAGGCCGATTTGGACGAAGTCGGACGCAAATCAGATTCCTCTTTCAACGTAACGACACACGAATCGATCAATGCCAACACTTCACCAGACCAAGAACTACTACACTACATTTTGAGTCCAGATCAAAAATCGTCTCGCGAATTTTCGGGCCGTCCTCTCACTTTGCTGGACGAATTGAAGAAAAAATTGGGTTCTCCCCGGACTCTTCACGGTCTTTTCATATTCGAGCTCAACAGCGACAATACTAAGATCCTTGTACACACCATCGACAACGTGGAGATTTTTGGGAGACACGAAAAACAGGAAGCTGGAGCTTCTTTGGCATGTTAAGAGTTTGGCTACCTGCTAAGTTGGTGAAGCCAGGTAACCAGGCCGGAACAAAAAAAAAAAAAAAAATCTGTATGTATGAATTCAAGCAACTCAATAGACGAACCTTCTAGTGTACATGCTTTGATTGATAGATTTCCATGCTTATGTTTTGTCCGTGTTTCGCCATTTCAATGCAAACTTTTGGAAAACACCTTCAAAACTAAATATCAACATACGCCTAAACACTTTTAACATCAATTTATATTCAAGAATCCTCACCTAACTAACCAATTTGTCTGGTTTTCCCCCCGAAAACTGTTCCTCCAAGATCCTGGTATCCGCAAATTTCGTGCAACAGGTGATGTTCTATTTGCGAGACGCCACCAAAGTTCCATTTTATGAGTCTTTATTGTATCACTAGCGGATTCCAGTTTTACATTCAAGCTCATTTGAAAGGTAGTCTTCGGGGCCCGCTTTCTTGTATTTGCGATCTTGTGGCATTGGCCCGCCATAATTGGGGGATTTACTTCCAGAACCCAAGCTGTCCACAGCGGTCGATCCCGAACTTGTACTTCCGGAGTGGGATGGTTGGTTCGATTGATCCGCCCTTGAGTTCCCAGCTGCCAATGCGTCCGCATCTGCTGCATAACCAGGGAAGTAGAACCTAGCGTACACGTCATCTGCGTCAAGTTCAGGCGACACGGTCATTTCATTGTCGACGTCTTGAGGAGCCGAGCATGTTCTCGGAAAAGGAATCAAACTGCTTAGTTGTATCAGGAATGCTCGCATACTTCGAGCAGCAGGAGTGACCTGGAGCAGATTGGTGACAATGCAAGTTGCCAGTGACTCCAACAGCTGCTCACGGTCCAAAACCGGACGATCAAGTTCAGGTAGGCTGAGCCATCCAGCCGGGCCATCAAGAACTGTTACATCTCCCTTAGGGGTAGGAATATTGATGGGCACGATGCCACGACCAGCGCGCAAAGGCTTAAAGTAGTAATCAGACATAAATTTATGCGGATTGGCAACATAATGTGCAAAATTGGCATTTTTCGGGTTCTTTGACAATTGCGCACTTTTGAAAGGACATGCGCCGAATAGCAGAAACAGTAGAGTAATGCCTAGTGACCAGTAATCGGCCAAAAATGTGTCGTAGAGGCCACCATAGGCCTCGGGGGCTAAATATTTTTCGGTGCCTACACGACGGTCTTGAGAAACACGCATTTGACAACTGAGACCCCAGTCTGCGAGTTTGACATTTCCTTGGTCATCCAGGAGTACATTTTCGGGCTTGATGTCGCGGTGAGCAATACCGCGCGAGTGAGCAAACTCTATAGCAGAGCAAAGTTGTGGGACCAATCGAGCGATATTAACCTGAAAACGGGACGGACTTTGGGTTTTCCAGTGTCGGATAACTTCGTATAAATCGCCATGAGCAGCAAACTCCATGACAAATACGTAGCAAGTGTCACGTTCATAGAAGTCTAGAAGTGCACACACGTTAGGATGATCGCAACCGAGTGCCAAAAGGATATCATATTCAGCTGCAACGAGCCGGGCCAGCTTTTCAGCCATGGCCGAATCTGTAGGCTTTTCTACGATCTTGAGGGCCACATCCTGCTGTGAGATTGAGTCGTACGCCCGATATACGGTGCTGAAAGATCCGCTTTGAATCTTCGACAGCTTCGTGAACATTAGACACCAACACTGACTGAAAATGAATAGTGCACGCACGAGTTATAGTTGCCGATGCAATGCAATGCAATGCGAACTACTGGGAAAGAATATCTCTGTCGTTCGTGTGAGACATACGCAGCTCGACCCAAAAATGTCCAAAAAAACAAAACCAAGTTAATCGATCAACCACGGCCTAGCACTAGACTTGAGCTTGTGTATTTTACTCTCGAAAACTTCCTTCTACGATCCAACAACAGACTATAGCTTCCACATTCTCGTAGTTAAAAGTCACACACTTCGTTATAAAAACACGCCTACCGTTCATCTCCCCAGTGTTTTTATATAGAGTCCAACGATCTGCAATTTTAGATCCTGCTTTTGCGCTTGGTTTTTCGACCTCGCTTAACGCTGCCATGCCCACCTTTGATCCCATACCTCTGCGCTATTGCTCAGAATAAACCCTCCAACCACGGCTGTATGCAGAATCTCATCTCTCGACAAGCATAACCATCAAAGAAAAAAAAAACCACCAGGTTGCCAGATGAAAATTATCTTGCTATGAACCCCGTTGATCTTGCGTTTAACTGGTTTTTTTTTGCCTGAAATGAAAGTATTGCGAAGAACATTCAAAATCATCGCAACGGAAGGTTAACCGGTTTTCTCTCACGTTGCCAAAGTAATGCACGAGGCAAAAGGCAGGGTTCCGAACGCAAGTGATGGCCGATAGTCATAAGGAAGAAAAAGGGAAGCAAAGACGATAACACCGTTGGAAGATGCGAAACAGTTGTTTGATTTGGAGCTTTTCTTGGAAAAATGGTGTACAAATTCGTAGACCTTGACTGTCGTTAATTTGGCAGTAAGGATTATAATAGGAAGCCCGATATCTTCAAGTTGGAAAGTCGATGGAATGGACGGTTTGGGAGCGGAAATTACGCAAGCAAACCCTCACCGTAGATACCCAACACAGATTGGATAAATCCGACAACTGAAATGCCAAATAGAATGGGAATTGGACGTAAACATTTGGAAGAATGGGCAGTCACGTGGTCAGAAAGGGTGGTAGTAGCACTATCGGGAGTACTAGTAGCAGTAGTAGTAGTAGTGGTAGTAGTAGAGGCTCCAGTTTTGCCGGCGGTAGAGGTAACGGTCTCGTATTCATCATGAGACGCAGCAGATTGACCTAGATCAACCACTGATTCGTCCAACGACGATTCCGGCGCTTCTGGCTGCTGTGTTGCGGCAGCAGTAGCGGGCTCCGTAGCAGCCTGCTGGCTGGCGGCACGTTTGGAGCACTGTTCGCGACACTGACGCGGTCTCCGAAAACTCATCGTCAAGCCCATGTATGATGCAGAGACAGGCCCCACAAGCATTCCGTATAGCAAATAGGGATGGCGTAATGCAGCGGGAGCGCCAAAAAAACTGAGCCCGAAGAAAAGTGACGAGACAGTAGCAAAAGACGCTGCCACGCGGGCCACAATCTTTGCAGGACCCATGAGCTGCGATTTTACCACGTCCATAGGCGTGAATTTCGCCAAAATGGTCGCCGAGCACAGCGTTCCGCAGTAGATCCCTAAACTCGACACCGCGATCGTCTTGGTAACAGCGAGGCACACTGACATCGGAAGAGCTTTACTTATTTGCAAATTGAACAATAATTAAATAAACTTATAGAATATGAAGATTCCTACAGACACGAGCTGTTTGAGCTGAGGAAAGATCACTAGTCTTCTTGGTGTTCTCGGATTCACGTTACGGTTTTGAGAAGTGAATCTGATTTTATTGAAGGGTGATTTCGCACTCTCACTGTATACGGGTCATCGCTAAAACTTGTAAAAGCTAGCGCTGAGTGTCGATTATTTCAAGCTATCAGCAAGGTGGGAAGCAATGATGTTGCTTGAGCTAGTCAGGGTGGCAAAAACGTAGGCTATATCGCGTCTTGTTGGCATGGGGTCTTCAAGTATATCAATATGAGTACTTTGAACGAATCCGTCGCTGGACGTGTTTTTTACTAAAGATGGGCTTAATGAGATGCAGATGGGTTTAGGAAGCTCGATGGGAACTTGATATGGCACTTGAGGTAATGTAGGAAAGCTCTGGTGTGAAAACGGAAGCGGTTTGATGAAAGGAAGATGGTGTCGTTCTATACGCACTATCGTTACGGAGTTCCATGCTTTCAGGCATGATTTAAAGGCGCAGCATGTCTGATCGTTTCTAACCTGTATAAAGTTGTTTACACTCGTGTTGAGACTTTGTCTCTGGAGTGTCGTCGCACGATAATATTGAGGCTCGACTACGTCGGCAGTGTTCAAGTTATTAAACTGCTTCGTTTGCTCAGTCATGATTTGCTCTAAGTGAATGGTTATGGTTATGGATTTCACTCATTTCTCCGTGGTTCTTTTGACTACAAGTTTGGTACATTTGGTTTGACCAAACCACGGATATTTAAACGATTTTTTGGAGCAACAATAGCAAACAGGAGGTAACCTTCTAGACTCTAGCCATTAGTAAGGATTGCTTAATAAAGGTTCTAGATTACTTGCGAATCCTGCGTAGTGTGGACATATCGTTGCTTCACATCTTTACGATAGGTCCCTTTCATCTTAGCGCTCAATATGTCATTTTAGACTAATATGTCATTTTCTGACTACGCAATTGGCACTATACCATATAGTTTACCAATTCCAACCGATAAACGTTTCATATCTTGGGTGATTCTATCCATTATTTTAAGATGTAAGCTATTAGTTTTATTGAGTAGGAGTTATCTCTCCGTGACTTATTAAGCATAACTAGAATGATCTTGTAGGGTGGACAAAGCGTCCCTTCTTATACAAATTCTTGGAAAGGTTCCGTCGCGGAGGAATGTAAAAAGTTTCAAGCAATCGGGGTGCAACTGGTGCTGATGGTCTAATCTTGGAGAAATGCCGTCACTTGTAAATGGTACCACTAGGTTTCATCGACATCATTCTTGTTAGATCAGTAGTTGTTCTAGATTCTTTGAGCATCTTGTTGATTACGACGCTGTCATCTGTCACGTGTACGTGATCACTTTGTCGTGGCTCTGACGCTAGACAGGCACGGGTTCCGACATGCCCCCACCCCCCTAGCGTTAGTTCATGCTTGAATTAGACTATCCAGCCCTCAAGGTGTTTGGAAAATAGTTTCACCTTAAGTGGTTTTGCCAAAATGTCGGCATTATATTTTCCTGTCTTAACATATTCGACTTGAAAGTTAGATGCATGAAACATCTGTTGCAATCGACGCGCTTTGGTAATTGTCGGATGAGTTGTCGCAAACTCTCTAGCCTGAGTACTGCTGTGAAAACCGCATTTAGTCCGGCTTCGGTTGACGAGACACAGCTTTTCTTGGATCGCGAAGATCGAGCAAAAAGAATATGCCCGTTGAGCTGATCGAAGTGTCCCATTTGAGAGGTGAACTTCTCTTGGGCTAATGGGATGCATCCGTGATAGCATGCATACCAATAGGATTGGGTATTTTAGCTCGTGTCCATGTAAGCTTCTTGTGTTTAGTGTTCCAGATATATTGAGTGCAGTAAAGTGCTACTTCAAATACCACATTACATGGATACAAGGTATGCTGCGCGAGAATGTTCGCGTAATGTGAGATTTCTAATCTGCATTTGTGAGAAACGAAAGAAATTAATCCCACTATTCTTTGCAAGTGATGTACATTGCGGTTAAATTCTTCTTTTGTTAATTTGAGATCTTTCTTAGATGCTTCAATGACGTAATCTGGTGGTGCTGGGACCTTTGGAGCTCGCTTGTTTTAAAGTCTCAGTTCAAGACGAAATTGTCGACATAAATTCTTTCCCATCCCGATCATCATGCTGTCATATGAGTTGTGCTCGACTTCGAGACCTAGAATGTCGTATCTGGCTTAAGAACCAGAGACAGGTAGACCTGAAAAAACTACTTTGGTCTCAAACTTTTCTTGTAGAGAACATTATTTTCGTCATACAAGGTTTCGTTGCTCGTCATGACGACCATGTCATTGACAAATAGATTTACCACTAAAATTTGGTCCTTTACATGTTTGACTAACATACAAGGCCACGTTTTTACCTCGGATAGTTTACATGCCGTGACGAAAAATTGCGGATGATTTCATACCAGTTGGATCCTGACTGCTTAAGTCCGTACAATGATTTGTGTAACTTGAACACTTTATCTCTTAGTCCGTAGTGTGGTGGTGTTCGGATGTACCGCCCTTCTTTTAGAGGAGCATATAGGTAAGCGGATGTGATATCCAGCTGTTTAGTGGCCCATCCGTTGTCTAACGCCATTGCTCTGCAGGCCATGAGAGCCTCGTGAGCGACGGTGTAAGTTTCAGCGTCCGGATCGTGCGTTTCCGGTGTCCGTCTATCTCCTCGTGCAATACATCTGCATTTTCGTCTACCATCTCTCTTGGTGGTGAAAATGAACATGAAGCTAGTAATTCTTTACCTGGGTATCGATTCAAGGCTTATGGGGTTGCTCACATCCCATGATTGATGTTTTTCGATTGGTTTGTATATTCATATACTCTTATATTTATGTATTTACTTTCATGTTTCTCTTAAATTCGTTTGTTTAATATACTCAGTGTATAACTTCTTAATACATATCTCACGGATTATGCAAATACTCTATTTCGTCTTACGCTTAGTGTATTAATAAAGCTATGAACTTGTGCTTGGCTTAATTACCCTGCTCATTAGAATTACAGTTATATGGCGACTGCAGTTCTTCGCAGCCAGCATCCACCCAGCCCTTGTAAGTGGTCCACCTCACATTAGTAAAATAAACCGACGGTGATGATCCAATGATGATGTCTCCTTTCCACGAGCCATGGTGGTCTATTTGGAACAGATAGTTGTTACATAACTGCGATCCTTCTAGCTGACGCGCCGCTGCTTGTAACGCGCCCGCTATAGTCTTCTGGTGTATGGTCGACGCGCAATTACCATCTATGGCATAGTACTTATAGTAGAATGGTCCATGGGAATCCATTACTACTACGCCACGATTTCCGCTAGAAGCCATGCGGTATATGTCATACCCTGCTTGCCAGACGCCTTCAACTATATCCCAGAACCCAAAAGCACACTGGCCAGCTTCCACCAGCCACCATGGGCTACCTTCGGCATGAGTGCGCTTCACCAATGCCCCCTGCGAGCCTAGAGGAGAAGCGTCAGCAAGTGCTATCATACTTATGTTAGTCAACCATTGGTCTACAGAACCGTCCCGCTTATTCAGGGTAATATTACTCTCGTCGAAATAGTCGAGGTTCAACCGCGCAGCCAGGATCGGTGCGACCGTACCGTTGCTAGACATAGCTGATATACTAACGTTGTCTGCTCTAGGTTCGACTATTATAGCCACCGCCCGACAACAGCCGATAATTAAGGCACAAAGATAGTACAGCCCAGAATCTTGGCCAAGCATGTCCGAACGTCAATTTGGTGAGGACCAGAGGAAATAGAAAAGAAAATAAAAAGCGAAAAAATAAGTCAACAAGTATGGATAACGGTTCCGTATGAGTTATTTTGATTGTTTCTGGTGTTAGAGTTATCTCTCTGTAACGTGTGTAGCATAATTGGTACGAGTTTGCAAGGTCGATAGAACGTATCTCTTTACACAAATTTTTGGAAATTTTCCGTTGTTAACGGATTTAAAAATCTTCAAGTACTCCGGGTGCAATTGGCTATACGATCATTGCAAGTGGTATCGCTTGGTTCAATCGATGTCTTTCCTGTTAGATCAGTAGTAGTTCTGAATTCGAAAGAACACATCAGGTGATGCTGACGTCAACTGAGCATTGTCGCTGACGTTCCGATAAGAGTAGTATCTTTCCGTACTTTATCAAGTGCGCAGAAGATCGTCTTAAAGGTTGGACAGACGATGTGTTTGTACGTACTAGACTAGGATGCGTTTCATCATCGAAGGAATCGAAAAGTTTCGAGATGGTATGACGAAAAATCAGACCAATTGTTGGGCCCCATAAATTTTAGCGGCATCACATGGTGGCCATGGTGCTGGAAACTCGGGAACTTGGTAGTTCCTGTTGATTATCAACTTTATTCTATCGCTGTCATTCTGTCACGTGCCCCACTTTTTCAACAGATCTGACGCTGAACATCAAAATACAATCTGAGACGCTTCTAAACAGACTCCATTGTTCGAGAGCCTCTCTATCAAATCTCTAGTTAAACAACTAAACCTATTTTTGCCATTGTATGACGGAACGACTCACATCTACTCAGAAGCCCAAAGACGCACATCAGATACACAAACCTTGGTTGCACCGCTTCCATTGGCACTCTTTAGGTTTCTTTAGCCTCTCAAAATCCCATTGGATCATTTAAAGCACCTTCTTGAAGTTCTAAACGCCCTCTAAAACTCACTGGAACGTTTTTCTTGAAATCACCCAAAACACAAGCTAAAATTCTCGAAAAAAGTTCCAAAAAAATCTCTGGTTTTTCCTTAAAGTCAACCATCACTATAAATAATATCTGTACCTGTCCGCTGTCCTTCTATTTCTTACTACTCCGTTCTCTTCCCTGCTGGTATTTTACTGACGTCGCAGTTATTATTTTACTAGCTTGAAAAAAAGCACATATTCAAGAATGAAACTACTACATTAGCATTTAAAGGAAGGTTGAGCAACATATCTAAAGCATCTCAAAACCAGGTTCAAACCAACGCAATGGTTGTTCAAGATGTCATTAGGAAAAAGTCAAAGGCACGCGGTGACCCAGTGGCCAGACAAAAGCTAATTTGGGCCGTTGGCCACGCAATGACGGTGGGTTTAGGTGCCCTTTACGCACTATTTTATCTCTGGCAATGCTTGACCATGTACCGCTACAGATCATGGAAAACACTCTTTTTGATTGCCAGACCTCCACACGTCGATTCTAAAACGTGGTTGCAGCTGTTGTGGCGGTCTCTGCCGCAAATTAGTTACCGATTGTCTTTAGTTGGTGTTCTGGCAGCTTATTCTGTGACCAGCTACCAAAAATGGTTTTCGTTGAACCCTACCTGGTACGACCTTTTGAGCAGAGAGAATTTTCAAAGCATTCTAATCGCAACGTTGTGGCTTTTCAGCAGAGCGTCACTTTTCAAATTGGTGCCCTTTATTCTCACTAGTTTCCTGCATCTAACAGTGAAGCCGGAAAAGAAAACGGATGTGAAAGAAGATGGCAACAAAGATGAGGTCAAGAAACCATTGAATGAGAAGGATGGTAAGGAAACAAAACCTAAGGACAACACAACTACATTATTGCACATTATTGCGTACTCCGAGCTTATTACGGTGGTTAGTCTATTTTTCGACATCATCACATTTAGGGATGGTGTCGCTGGGTTTGTGCTGGCGATTTATATGTCGATCTACTGGCTAAGACTCAATTTCTCCCCCTACGCCCAGGAAACGCTGCTGAGAATTGTACTAAAAGTGGACAAAAAAATTCCTCCCAAGTACCAATCTCAGTGGAAAGACATCAAGCAGTTCCTATACCTGAGGATGGATGAGAGCCGCAGAAAGGATTAGATGGCCCAACAGATCAGCCGCGCATTACGTAGAGTTGAATAAAATACTTGTGTCTGCACTTGTAGGCAACCAAATATTATGATGATTACAACATCAGTGAGTCGATCGAGGAAAGAGAAAAGAAAAAATACACTACTACACTTAAGATTCTTTTAGTCTTGCGTTCAGATTTTTGAGCTTTGGTAAATTGGGTATCTTCCTGTATGTTCAGAAGCAGAACTGATGTTTATGTTATCATCATGCAAAGACAAAGAGAGAAGGGGGAATGGAAAAAGAGTTTCCGTCAATTATTCGACACTACGTTTTTGCCAAGTTGGCACAAAAAATTTTAGCCCAACACTAATAATGGATCGGTTTTTCCAGGTCAGATGGTGATGCATGATGTGTATCCGTGGCACATATTCAAAGAATCATCGCCGGATTATTAAAAGACGTGGAATGTCGTTCATCACTCGGGAAAGCTAACCGATTCCAATATTCGAGTTGGTCCATGAACTCATGGACACACGGGCCATAAAGTACTTATGTGTCGAAAACGCATTTCGCAGCGACTGCTTCATCTTGAATCCACATCATAAACGAAGAATTCCTTAACAATTTAGTCCTGCATATACATCCTCAGACTTGAAAGATTGTTTTCATAATCATGTAAGAACAAGAAATGAAGCCGACGACTTCGCTAGCGTATTCATTCAGACATCATAACTATTCTCCATGGCCCTAATTTTAGTGCTTGTAGTTGTAAAGAAGAGTGTCTTGGCTGGAGCAGAGGTTTCTCTTTATATAGTCGAGTTCTGAAAATTTTGTCAAAAAATTAGGGCTTCCGGGTTAGGGCTGGCGGTGATACTTTAACAAGTTAGGGCTGCACACAGACAAGTTTAGTAGTGCCAAAGGGACCCAGCAAGCTCACCTGTAAACCAGTACGCGGGGATTCTTTACAATATGAATGAATGTTGCATATACAACAGATTATACGTGATGTGAAGCTAAAAATATCCTCTTATACACGGATGGAGATTTTCCGACTGCCATCCGGGTTGGGGCAGAATTGCTGTTTGCACTTAAGCAGCAGTAGCTCTGCTGTAGATAGCCTGGGTGGAGTGCTTGGAGACTGGCTTGATAACACCGTCTTGTTCCAACTGTCTCAAGACGATTCTGGCCAAAGAGCCACCGAGCTTCAATCTGTCGACAAGAACGGAGACAGACACGTATCTGTAGGTAGGCACCTCCTTCATGATTCTGTCGTATTTCTCCTGGTCCAAGACAATGGCGTGTTGGGCCTTGTCCTTGTGGGACTTCTTGGACCACTTCTTCTTGGACTTCTTACCACCGGCCATGGCGGCGGCGGCCTTCTGGGCCTTAGACAATTGTTGTTTTGGAGGCATGTTACTGTGAAAACGTTAGTAAAGGTGGAAAAATGCGTTGTTAAAGCAGGAAAGACGATCGTTGCAGAACAGAAAGGACTGAAAGCTTGAACGATATGGTGTCGTTCACAAAGCAAGAAGAGGAAAACTCCTACCACCAGGTTGCCATTTGGTATCCCACATGTATCCTTGGTTTCTCACACTCTAGTATACACTCCAGCTCGAGTGTAGCCTTTAGACCATCCCAAAGAAAACCACCGTTCTAAAGCCCTTCATCATTCCAATACTAGTCCCCACTATCTTCTCTCGTTCGATCTATCTCAGTCTGATCCATGTACCCCGTTACATACTCTAATTTCCGTTGGTGGGTCTAACCAAAAGCTATGATGCTCAATGTAGAGAGTGAATTGATATTTTGTCTTTATCCAATGTACCACCAGCACTACCCAGCGTGGGTTAGGTACCCACCAGAGAGTTGGGCTAGACAGACTTAGGGAGAGCCGTCCGCCCAGGCTAGAAGGGATCAAGCTGGCGCTAGTGGGAGCCCAGCGAGACGGACGGTGGTTGTACAGTAGCTCAGCACACTGGAAACGCTCAGACGTGTGGCCGCATCCACACTGGTGAAACATATGTAACCCACGCAACTTTTATTTAAAAACTCTGAAATTCCTATCTCGTTCGGTGTATGGGTTTAGCAGTCATCTGTGCCATGTATCACGTGGTTTGTAAATTTCTTTAAATTTAGTGATGACGGTAACAACACTAGTGCATTCATTACGTATGATACCAGAAAGAAATTCAGATTCTCCTAGTAACGAGGACCTAATATGTGAAGATGGAAAGCAGTGAGGGAAAGATTAACAACTCGTCTATTACTGACCCTTAAGTGATTCATTCATCTTTTAGGCGAAAAAGCGAAATCACCATGTGACATATATAACAGGCTTGTGGGAGGCTCGTGATATATGCTCACTGCTATGTACGTAAACTAACTCCCAACTTACATCTCCAGTCCGATATAGTGTAACGGCTATCACATCACGCTTTCACCGTGGAGACCGGGGTTCGACTCCCCGTATCGGAGATATTTTTTTGTAAGTTTACTTAATTTTTCAGATTTCGTACTTGGCGATTTTAGTTTTGGAATATTCAAAATTGTAGTCCTGAGATGATGAGGTCTGAGAACAAACTTGTAGCTTGCTCATCGGGACAACCACGGCGTCATTTCAATTATCTAGTAGATCTGCTCTTTTTAGCATTCCACGCTTTCGGGCAAACACTCACGAAGTTTTTTAGTTTGGATCAATTTTAGTGGTTTGTAGACCCTATAACAAGCATCTCTTCGAAATACGTCATTGAACTTCACACCCGATATACATCATGGCTAAACGTATTGCAGACAACCAGATGACGCGGGAAGCACTCGAAGCGGCCGGCAGTGATGAAAATGAAACCTCACATCCTTCCCAAGAAGGGTTCAAGCAAGCGTCGAGTGACGTACTCAGCAAACGCAGAATAGCGCAGCCCAGAAAACGGAAACATTTGGGTTTTGAAAACGGTAATGGCAACAGCAACAGCAATGGCTTTGGGAATCAAGCAGGACCCGCCACAAATGCTTTTTCATTCGGACAAACATCGTCTAACGCATTTTCCAATGCATTCAGCGGAGGTAATGCGTCCAAAAGCGTTAGCAACGCTGATTCCATCACAGATTCCGAAATACCCGCCAAACGCAACGCCCTGAATTTGCAATTCCAAACCAAAATCTCTGAGTACATCTCCAACGATCCATGTGCTGATTTGTCAACTGTGTTCGAGCAATACAAACGTTATCTCAAAGAAATCACCACGACACCAACAGCGTCCACGTCAATACCGGAGTCAAAATCTGTCGCTCCCGCTTCTGTCCCTGCTTCAGCTTCAGCTTCAGCTCCTGCTTCCAACAAGAAGACCACCATTCAAGATTCCGATTCTGAATCTGATTCCGACGCTGACATCAAAGTTGAGGGTCCAACATTCACATTGAGTGAAAAACCAACAGTTAAGAATTCCGTCTTCAGCTTTGGTCCTAAAAAGGCCTCTAAAGTGGACACCAGTGATTCTGAAAGTGAGGTTGAGATCAAGGGTCCTTCATTTTCTTTCAAGCCGTCTTCCACCTCGACCACTGCCAAGCCTGTCTTCAAATTTAGCTCTGAACAATCCAAGCAGGACACTTCTGACATTCAAGCTGACCAAAGTAGTAACTCTGGTGAGGCAGAGGATGCCAGCGCGACTAGTGAGCAGCCTCCTAAATTTAGTTTTGGCGCTAGCGCATCTTGGAAGCCCGCCACCCATGCAGCAGACACTACATCTGTTTCTGACGCTACCACTTCAGATCAGCCTTCGAAACTCTCTCTTGGCTTTGCTCAACCTTCCAAAACTTTAAATACTTCCAGTGAGACCCAAGAAAATAAAACGCCAGCATTCTCTTTTGGCACTAGTATTGCCACAAAGTCAGATACCAATGGTGTCAAACCACAACACGGTTCTTTGTTCAGTCAACCAGTTGCTTCTACAAGCTCCGAGAAGGTGACAGAAAAACCTGCGTTCAAGTTTGGACCATCCAACTCCTCAGTTGGCAGCGGTGCTGCAGTAAAAACCCCCAGTTTCACCTTTGGCACTTCCATAGCATCTGGAGAAAATACTGGAAAATCCTCAGGAGAGAAAACCGAGAAACCTTTTTCCGGTTTTGGCCTGTCTAGCTCGTCGAAGGACTCCGCTAATTTGGAATCAAAGGGGGCAACTGTGTCGAACACTACGCCAGCGTCATTTAAGTTTAGCTCCGCGCCCAAATCCGATCAGGTCACACAGCCAAAGCCTGCACCTTCATTTGTTTTCGGCAAAAAATCCGAATCTCAGCAAGCTGAATCTGATAAGCCTAAATCCTCCTTCGCATTTGGTACTAACAACGCTTCTACGGCCCCTAGTTTTACCTTTGGTAAGCCATCTGATACTAAGGAAACACCATCGAGTGGCTTCAAGTTTAGTCTACCTTTTTCATCGACAGCAGTGGCCACTGAACCTCAGAATAACAGCACAGAATCACATCCTGAGAATACTACCACCGCTGAGACTCAACCAGAGGAAGAAACAAAGGCAATGACAATGACGAATGGCGAGGAAGGAGAAGAGTTATTGTTTTCCAAGCGCGCAAAACTCTTACTTGTTAATCCCGATACAAAGGGCTACGACTCAAAGGGTACAGGAGAGCTTAAGGTTCTACAGGATAAAGACGACAAGACCAAAGTAAGAATATTGTGCAGGTCCGATGGAATGGGCCATGTGCTTCTTAACACCAGCGTTGTGAAGGCTTTTCAATATGTTCCAGCTGATGCAGGGAGAGAAAACTTCGTGAAATGTCCGGTAGTTAATGGCGAAGGGAAACTTGAAAACTATGTTCTTCAGGTCAAGCAGAAAGCAGACGGTCGTCACTTGTGCAAAGCTATAAAAGATGCTCAAGACGGCATGTAGCGAAGTCACAAGTCGTCACATTCTTACTATGAGCTCGGACGCATCTAAGGTCGTCCCGCAAAAAGTTTTATCAAATAAAAGTAGTCTACTTAATGCATGCATTCTAAAGTTCCTGGGATTTTAGACCGACTTTCAGAAGGTCTAAAAACTCAGGCAAAGCCCATTCCAATCTCCTTTTCTGTCTTTCAAATTCCTTTGTACCCTCTTGTTCCGTGATGAAAGCCTGATATTTAAACCTCTTTTGTAAAAACATCCTCAAAGCAGCGAAGACTGACTTACTATTGTCAAATCCATTGCTGTGCTCAGCAAGCCTCTGAAATGGTGCCGGGTCGAAGCTGATAGCTCTGACGCCTCCCGACTTCTTCTTCACTTCACATTTTTTCGCAATAGAGAGTAGGAATTGGAACACCATGACTTCAATGAACAATGTCCCGTCTCCATTGAGTCCACCCATTAGCGGAACATGCTTGAAAATGTCGAGTTTTAAAATCTCTTGCGCCAAAAGAGAGCCAAAAAATCTACCTTGGCATGAGATCTTCTTCAGCTTTTGATCTTCACTAAATTCAACTTCCTCGCCCGCACTCTCAATGTCAGAGTCATCCTGCTCGAATTTTTTTACCATATCCCAAAAGATAAACTGGAACGCTTTGGCGACGTGGTGGCTTTGTTGACTTAGCTTAATACCTAGGAGTGCGTAGAACGGGTTGTAAGATCCTTTGGAGCCCTCCATGGCTAGACAATGCAGTAATACTCTAGGAATCTCCAGGCTTTGCTTGTTCTTCAGATTTAGCTTGTCTATTCTGGCAAATGCATCCATGAAATCTTGTGCAGACATTACACTTACGAACAGGGCTCTTCTAACCTCAGTGTTCATTCTTTGCGCCCTTGCTATCTCACTCCAGTCCGGAATGTCGTCGAAAATATTATCCTCTATGGCAATGGTACTGCTGGATTCTTCTTTCTTGGCCAAGCTCTTTTTATGCTCGAAAGCAGACTCTTGGTTGCCCTTCCAAGAAGCACCGACGAGCCACCATTTCCCCTTGGTATCAATACTTTCAATATCATCTAGTGTCACTTGTAGTGGATCGCTAGGAGAAGAAGCCGTGTCATTGATGAGCTTGGAGATACTTTTCTTTACTCCTGAATGGCTAGCTGCCAATAAGGAAGGCTTCAATCTGTTGTTTTTAAGATCTGACATAACTTCGAGTAGGAACTTCATCCTCGTAGACTGTTTGACATTTTTGACATTGGTTAGCAGCTCTGATATTATTTCCTTTAGTGCCTTCGGATCATCACCACGAATGAGTTGGCCCGAGATCGATATTATTCTAAGCAAAATATCGGACGTGAATTCGTTAGGTGTCTTGATCAACAACTCGATCACATTGTAGATAATTCTGGAGGATACCATGCCAAAATTGTAACAATAAGAGAGGAAAGAAACGAGGTTCGTGCACTCCTTGGACATCACAAAAGTAGACTCTTCGCCATTCTCTTTTTCCAGCTGCTCCAATTTTGCTTGACCCTGGCGAAAACTTTCCAGTAGTTTTTCCACCCACGTTTGTAAGAACGAAGCACCTACCTCAGTTCCTCTGAGCTTCCACAGGCTGAAAACTACAGCCGCATAGTTGATCATGAGGCTGTCTAGCAGCTTATCACGTTGACATACAATTTCCAGGATTTGATTGGCAAGGGCGTCGCTAACATGTTGCCTAGGATACGAGTTGTAAAGTTCATTTAATGCGCTGACAATGACAGTGATGTTTGACACTGAAAGTTTGTTGAGAGATGACTTTACCTTCTTGCGTAGTTCAACGACAAGTTGGGATGGCTCTGAAGATAGATTTTTTTGGCGCAAAGAAGGCGGTACATATGCTGCCGGCTCGGACGTGGGAGCAACATATGGATTCTCTCTTACTGTGGTTTCTTGGTCGGAGGTCTCACCTTCGAGTTCGCGAAGCTCTTTCCACTCTTGCTCGTCCAAATCATTTTCGTCGAATTCTTCAAAATCACCTTCGGAAACTTCATCATCAGAGGAAAATGGATTTTCCGGGCCATTTTCATCCGCTTCACCAGCAGAATGGCGTTTCGAAATATTCTCTGGCTCGTCAGAAAGTCCGTTGCTAGCCTCACTTTCCACTTCACTTTCAGATTCGTCGCTGATATCACTGTTGTAGTTTTCAAAGAAATCAAGACCTTCTAACAAGCCGCCAACGGCATCGAACTCGCTGTTAGCCTTGAGAGTCTTTTTCTTGCCCTTAAGGCCCAACTTTTGGGCGTAGTAGTCGTAATCCCATTTATCCCTTTCAGCTTGAGCGAGTTGTGAGGGTGTTAATGATGGTTTCACGGTAGGTTCTTCAGCGATCGGAGGATGGTTGGAACGTTTTTGCTTATTTTCCGATACCGGTTTATCAGTTTTTGTCTTAAGATTTGCAGCACCGGTTTTTTTGGCATCTTTAGCACGTTTGAGAGCTCGCATTGTTTCTTCAGCTGTCATTTCAGTATCGGGTTCGTCATCGCTATCGCTGTATCTAGCTTTTTTGACCTCTTTAGCACGTTTCAGAGCTTGCATTGTTTCCTCAACAGTCATGTCAGTCGATAGTTCTTCATCGGCATCGCTATGTGTAGCTTTTTTGGCTTTCTTGGCATCTTTAGCACGTTTTAAAGCCCGCATTGTCTCTTCAGCAGTCATATCAGTCGCTGGTTCATCATCGTCATCGCTGTATGTGCCTTTGTTGGCTTTCTTGGCTTGTTTAGCACGTTTGAGAGCCTGCATTGTTTCCTCAGCAGTCATATCAGTACCGGATTCCCCACTCCCTTCACTCTCTTGGCCATTCTGTTCTTCCACATCGTCTCCAAAATCGTCAAAATCGCTGGAAGAAAGCTCATCGTCGGATGAAAAGGGTAATGAGCCCGAATCTGAAATTTCCCGGCCGTTTCCGACTACTTCTTCCTCTTCTTCTGCTTCTTCTTCTACTTCCTTCTGGGCCACTTTTTGTAACGGTTTTTTCACATTTTTAGCAGGTTTATCAACCTTGTTCCCCGCTTTTTTCAAATCTTCGCGAGCTCTGCCACCTGCTGTGCCCCTACTCTTCTCCTCGCGGCGCTGCTGTTTCCGCCTTTCCTTTCTTCCCAGCTGCGTTGCACGTTTCCTTTTCCCAACGTTGAATCGTCTATCTTCGCCGTAATCTTGACGTTTTAGCTCGTCCAAAATGGTGCCAGGAATTCGAATGCCGTGCTTCTCATTCCGCATGGTATTTATACTCCTAACTTGGTACTCTATCTCCTTCCAAAGGGCTCAGGTTTGGTTCAAAAAGATGAGCGATGAGATGCGATGAGATGAGCTTGAAAAATAATGAAAAAGTTCCAATTTCCAAGTATTCAAGCAGCTCATCGCATAGAAAGGTGAACATTCAAAGGCCCAAAAGACATGGCACGTAGCATTGATCTTAAGTTTATAGCAGACCTCTCGGTACTTGTGGGAACAGGTATCTCTGTGTACTATTTAGTATCGAAACTCCTGAATGAAACGGATGGAAACCCGTTGTTTGGGAGATCGAAAGAGGCTCGCGAGAAACAATCGCATACGTGGGACAATCTGGTGGCTGTGCGACCCCAGCTTCGCGATGTTAAGTTGAGCTCGTACGAGCGGAATGTGCTGTCATCCGTGGTGCTACCACAGGACATAGAAGTGACGTTTGCCGACGTTGGAGGCCTAGAGGAAATCGTGGAAGAGCTCACAGAATCGGTCATTTGTCCGCTTACAATGCCGGAGCTGTACTCTGTGTCATCGTCGGTAAAGGGAGAGGGTCTTTTGTCGGCTCCTCGTGGCGTCCTGCTGTACGGACCGCCTGGTTGCGGTAAAACTATGGTGGCCAAAGCGCTTGCCAAGGAAAGCGGGGCCACGTTCGTCTCGCTGCGTATGTCATCGATCCTGGACAAGTGGTACGGTGAATCCAATAAGATCGTCGACGCGGTGTTCTCGTTGGCCAACAAAATCCAGCCCTGCATCGTTTTCATCGACGAGATTGACTCGTTTCTGCGAGAACGGGCATCATCGGACCACGAAGTGACTGCGATGCTGAAAGCAGAGTTTATGACACTGTGGGACGGTCTCACGTCTAATGGCCGTGTAATGGTGCTCGGCGCCACCAACCGCATGGGCGACATCGACTCTGCGTTTTTAAGACGGCTTCCCAAGAGATTTGCCATACCCCTACCGGGTGCCCAGGAAAGACGTCATATTCTTACTATTCTACTGCAAGGTTCTGAATTAGACCCTGAAGAATTCGATATGGATCTTATTGTGAGTGCCACCCGCAATATGTCGGGTTCGGATTTGAAGGAATTGTGTCGAGACGCGGCTTTGAATGCTGCCCGAGAATACATCCGCCAAAAACGGCAGTTGGCCGTTGCTGAAAAGGCATCAGAGGTGTCCAAGATGCCCAAGGGTATCAGACCACTGAGAACGTCTGATTTCGCTAAGAATTTAAACATTGAAACCCGTATACCTCTTGGTTCAGCAGGTCTGGATTGATACGTCAACAACTTGGTGGGCGCATTCCTTTTTACTTACTGACAGGATTTGATCGAATAGTGCCCCAGGCACCGATAAAGGCTCTTCAAAATGTGGGATAACAAAATTGAGATAGAGTCTGTTCAAATGGCATCGCTTGCGTCTACAACCATGTATACTAAATAATACGCCAAGAAATGGTCTCAACAACTTGACTCGAACTTTGAAAACTGGTAACGAGTACCATCATCTTCGCAAGGGGGATCTCCCGCTATGATTAGCAAATTAAACTATGTGGCCAGCATTGCTTAACAAAAAGATCTATAAGATGTAAAATTATAGAGGCAATTGTCTTTAAATCGTTAACTTTGCCCTCGTCATCTAGGAAAATAGTGCCAAATTCAAAGGAACACTACTGCCTCTCCCACTTGGGTACAGCTTCGTCTTATTTGAGAAAACTCTGGGTTTGGGGAGTTGCGAACTATTGGCCCATTTAAACCGGCTGTCATCGATAACAAACTTCGTATTGTCGAGTTTCACACCTGTCGTGGTTGAACTTCCACTAATGGTGAAATTCCCGGTTTGAATTTCTGGCTGATTGGTGTGTGGATTGGTAGCATGACTGGCACCGTTAGTATCACCATTTGAAAACAACCGGTGCTTTAGATTGTTTGCTGAGTTTCCAGAAGGTGGGGGCGGGGGAGGAAGTTTCGAAACTGATTCCGTAACATGAACTGATGGCGAGGACGGTATGATTGTTGGTGGAGGTGGCGCACTTGCTGGCGCTGGTGTACTTGGAATGTGCGATGGCGCTGGAGCACTAGGCGGTGCAGGTGGTGCCGGTGCACTGGGGATTTGCGGTGGTGCTGGAGCACTAGGCGGCACAGATGCATTAGACCTAGGTAATGATGGAGCAGAAGAAACTCCTGATGGCGAACGTCCTGCGCTAGCATGAGTCGAGCCTCCTTTACCTTCCACCACATGAGAGTCATCACGTTTGCGTTCAATCTCGGCAAGGAACGGTAAACCCCCACCAAGAGCAGCTGATGGAGCTGGAGCGCTATTAGGTGCTGACGCTTGTGGTAAGGGCGGTGCAGAAGGAGGCTTTGGGATGGATATTGGCGCTGGTGGTGGAGGAGGGGCCGAAACCTGTGGTAAAGGAGGTGCAGCATTTTGAGGCTGTGGTATCTTGGGCACGCTTGGAATGCTTGCAACAGGTACTGCAGGAGCACTATTGATTGCGGGTACCGTTGGTGGTTTGCTGGCTGAAGCGTTGTGATGAAGTTTGGAGTTCATTTCGTCCAGAAAAGACATACCAGTACTTGAAGGCGCCGTTTTCGGAGACTTAGGCACATCAGCTTTTATAGGTTCAGATCCCTGTGCTTGTTCAGTCTTCGTAGTATAGCTGGAGCCTTGATCGATAACAAAACGGTCGTCTCGCTTTTTTTGAATTTCAGCCAGGAAAGGAAGACCTTGGGAAGCAGATGCAGAAGGTGGAGCTGGTGGTGACCTAGTAGTTTGTGATGTTGATGGAGCAGGAGGTGCTGGAGGTGCTGGTGGCGCTGGTGGTGCTGGTGGTGCTGGTGGTGCTGGTGGTGCTGGTGGTGCTGGTGGTGCAGACGTCTTTTGCATGACCGGAGGGGCTGGTGGGGCTGGGGGTGCAGGAGGTGCTGATATTATCGGGATAGTCGGAGGCACAGGAGGTGCAGACGTCATTGGAATTATCGGAGGCGCTGGTGGCGCTGGAATTTTGGGAGCTGTTGGTGCTGGTGGAGCTGGTGGCACTGGTGGTGCTGACTGAGCAGGTGGCATAGGTGGTGCTGACTGAGCAGGTGGCATAGGTGGTGCTGACTGAGCAGGTGGCATAGGTGGTGCTGACTGAGCAGGTGGCACTGGTGGTGCTGCTGCGCTAAATGCAGTTGGAATAGGTGGCGGGGGTGCCGAGGGAGTAAACGTTTTTGGTGCACTAGGGGCCGCCGAAGTTGGAAGAGTGGGAGGTGGTGGAGGTGGTGCCGAAGGAATGTATGTGGAAGGCACATTGGGTGAAGCCGGAAGATTTGGAGGTGCTGAGGGTACCGAACTCGAAGGTAGAGGGGGGGCTGATGCATGCATACTTCTTCTAGTAGGCCTTGACGTTGGCATCTGTGGTCTAAAAGATGGAGCTTGTGGAGCCACCGGCGCGGGAGGCGCTGAGCCTGGAATTGGCGGCGCTGATCCCGGTATAGGTGGTGCTGTAGTCGCTGGAGCAGTTGAAAACGAAGTTTTGGGCACGTTTGAAGCCGCCGGTGGCGGGCCAGGAGGTGCCGCATTTACGTTACCACTAGTACTGCGCAGTTTGGGTACCCCACCCGCCAAGATATCGCCCAATTGCGGTGCATGCCCCGTTGGAACCGGTGGAGCGTGTGGAACACCGGGAGCGCTGAAACCGGTGGAATGCGGTGCCGAATCACCCACAACACCCCCGCCGACTTTAGGTGCGCTTCTATCGTTAGTGACAGCTTTTTTCAGCCGAGATCCCTTGCGAATGTCGCCCAGCAGCGCATCTCTTCCGCCGGCACTTGCGGACGCTACAGAGGTTGGTTTTCCTCCGTTCGAACTCATGCCACCCATCATCGGGGGCGGTGGAGGAGGTGGACCGGCCATTTTGACGATGTCTTAGGTCCAATTGGGTGTGAATTGAGGTCTAGTTTGTGTGAAGGGAGTTTGGTTTTTGATGAATAGGGTTAGGTTAGTTCTTTAAGTTTATATTCTTAGTAGTAATTTAAAAGAGATGACACAGTCGTTGATGGTGATGTTCATGCGCTATCGTTTCATACGAATAACAATAGAGTACTTGTAAACGATTTCGGGTTCGTCATGTGAAACGACTTGCGGATGGAGAAAACCCCAAGGTGGAGGGT